TTTTACTTACTTTAGCATCTTCTTCCAAATTCATTCCTGTTCCGGGTCTACTTAAAATAGTACTCGCAATTTTTTGTGCGTGTTCAGTAAGGGCACTGACAAGTTCATGCTCCGACATGGGTTTAGGTGAAAAAGCGAATTGTTCAGATCCATCATCTAGTTTAAGGACAAAAAAATCTGTAACATTTGCAATAGACTATTGAAATGTTAACTGAATTATCTCGATAAATCGAATCAAAATATTTTAACGTGGTTGTGACGAAATCTTGGTAAAAAGAAAAGTACGGTAACAAGGTCAACAAAATATACCTAGTTATTATTGTTTCCCTTTTATATTTACTATTTATTCAATTCTTAAAAACGTCTATAAAAATATCGAAAATGCAATTTTTGTGTTTGCCTTTCTTTTTCCCTGTCAATATGACTTAAATAGGAAAATCATGTGATCGGAATAGGGAGAAAAAAAGCCAGTAATTCTTATTCATTTATATTTTTTACTCGATTTCGTCGCTTATCCCCGTTAAAATGCTTTTTTTTGTTTTTTTAAGGGTTTTTTTTTTGTCATTCGTCGTCGTCTCTAGGGATAGTAATTAGTTCTTATTGAAAATATTACAAACTAAAAGGTAAAAAACAAAAAATGGAAACCAAAAAAACTAAAAAAAAAAAAAATACACATTTTCAAAACGTCAAACGTAAAAAAAAAATAAGAAAAGGTATAATAAATATAATTACAAATACAAAAAAACTCCATTCAAATAATTAAATCAGAGAGGGGAAAATGTTTCATAAGGGTTTTGTTTTTTCAAAAAAACAAAAATATTGATAAAATAAATGAAAAAAAAAACAAAATTACTTCTTCAAAAAAGACAAAATCTGTTGAAATCAGAAGAATTTCGTTGTTTTATTTTATTGCACAGAACCTTTTTAATACCTGATATATATGATAGATTGTCTGACGGTATGGATCTTTGACTCTTTCTTGTTGTCGTTCTTGAATTGAGATAATCGATAATGGGATTGGACTGTATCGATTGTCTTGGTGATATTCTAGACATGAAATTTTCTTCGTCAATTTCTTCTTCAATAGTTTTTGGTAATTTTTGTAATTTTTTCGACGCTAAAAAACCCTTTTCTTTTCGCCTTCTTCGTACTGTTTTGTCTGGCGGTAGGTCCATTATTGGAAAATTAAAATGACTAACTTTCTGCGACTGATTGTACTGAACGTGTGGAATGGTTAGAAAATCTCTACCATCGGCTTGTAATTGCTCTTCCAGTTTTAAGGAATCAGAAGCTGATTCATCCGTTTCATCACTAAACTCTTCTTCCCCTTCCTCTTCCTCTTCCTCATCCTCTTCCTCCTCGTCGTAGGAGTCGCTATTAGTGTACTCATCTTCATCCTTGTATTCTACCCTTTCTAATTCAGCAGTAACGTTTTCTTGATCTCCTTCAATGTCATTAACTTCTTTTTCTCTATCACTTCTAACTCTAATCTCTCTAACATTTTCCTCTTCAAAATCCTCTACTACTATTATCTGATCTTCCACACTAATATCTCTATCCAGACTATTTTCCGTCTCTTTCTTCTCCTTACTATATTCTATAAAAATTCCTGGCACATCTTTAGATTTTATTTTTTTAATCTTCTTCCTCGTCTTTTTAGCATTTAACCTATCAACTCGTCTAATATGTTCACGTTCCAAATCATCTAAATCCTCTATTACGTTTAAATGAATAAACTAAATAATCTGTTTTCCTTTTCTTATGTTTTTGTACAATAAAAATCATTTTGCACGTAAGATAATCAATGAGAAGATAAATACATAGATAATAAATAATAAAGATTCTCTTTCAATGTTTCTATAATCAACTTAAAATATAAATAATAGAAATAAATACGTAATAAACAAACAAATAAATAACTTAAAAAGAGAATGAAATATATATAAATAAGTAGTAAAGTAATTAAAAGCTTACCTTGAGGTAATTTTACACTTAATAAACTTGCTCCGGAAGGAGATAAATCATCAGATCTTTCAGCTTTTTTTTTTACAAGAAAAAAGGAAATTATTAATACTATTATCTCCGCTAATCAACTCTTTATTTCTAACTTAATTCGACTCTTTCCATTGAACTCTTAATTTGCTGTCCTGAAACAAGTGATGCGGGAGATGAAGGGCGAGTCCATTTTTCGTCATCCTAATAAATAGTAGAAGAAAGTAACATTTTCCTTTATTATTTAATTTAATATACTACCGTAGTAGACGCGTTCAATTTAGTAGGAGTGACAGGTCTTATTGTGCCTCCTACACTGACAGTCTCTCCACCAGGAACAACAATAACGCTGCCAGTTGTTGATTTTTCTAAAGAATGATAATTAAGAGAAATGAAATGAGAAAGTTATTGGCATATAATCTGACAAGTTAATAATATTAGATATTTCTTTCCTTTACTTAGCTTATATTAACATATATTAAGGAAATATCTAAAATATTAAATAAGGTCGTTCAAAATAGTTTATGCAAAATTAAAAATAGAAGAGAAAATTTTAAAAGTCATGAATATTCATTAGGCAATATATGGTCAAAGGTTTGGGAAGGAGATGGCATAGATGCATACTTTAATATGAAATAAAATAAAAAAGTCTTAGATTTTTCTCTTAATAACTAAAAAGATGTAAATTTAGAATAAAGTAAATAAAAAGTATATAAAACTGAAAGAAGATAAAACAGTTGGAAGGATGAAAAATAGAAATATAGAAATTTTTCGTCTGCTTTTTTTTTTTAAGAACCTTCTGCTCCTTTCTTCTTTTTTCTTTTTTGTGTCGATTTGGATTCAACTGTATCTTTTAATCTCCATCCTTTAATTGTTGATGTTTATATTTTTTGTTTTGTTTTAGGGTGTAAAATATGTGTTGAAGTGAATATTTTGGATTTTTGTTTAAAAAAAAAAAGAAAACTTATATAATGTTTGTTTTGTCAGAAAATGGTGCATATATTAAAAAACAACACCTGCAGGATTCCCTGTTTTATGTTTGTGAAAGGTAGAACTAAAAGAACTGGACAATACGGTCGATCCAGGATCTTCGAATTGTCCTAATAAATTTTAATATAGGACTTTTGTGGAATTTCATTATTAATTCTAAAATTACCCTTTAATTCAACTGTGTGTAGTGAACTGGACGGAGTAACCTTGATATCTTCTTCGTCTTTGAATAAAAGAATAAATGAGTGTTTAGAATCAAAAGAAGTTTCTTTTTTTTCACAGTTTTACTGATAATCAATTTGTTTGTTTTGTTTAAAAAAGAACATTGAACAAAACCGAACTATGAGGAAAGATGCATTTAATTAAGGTTGTAAACACAAACCTGTCGTTTCATCTTCGGCTTCTCTGGTAACTTCTAAGGTAGGTTCTCTACTAACTGCGGTTGGTCTAACACTGGCCTGAGTGAGAGTGCTGGATTGAGGGGTTGGAGGTTCTACTTGGACTAGAGGTAAGCTTAGGTCGATTATGTGCTTTTTAATTGGTGGTAAAGCAGCAGCACTAGCAAAAGTTTGCTCGCGTGATAGCAAACCCGTTTCATCTACGGAACGGATTGGTGATAATTGACCTGTGATTTTTTCAGTGCATTTAATTCATTAACACCAATAAAAATAATTATTTTTGTTTTTTAAATACAAATCTTGTGTTTAATTTAAAAAACAAAGTTAATTTCATTATAGTATCGTAACTATACAGTATGACGCCGTACAGTATAAGTTACTTTCATAAAGATGGCATTAGTGGGGGCATTTTACAATGTTCTTTAAAAATTTCGTAATTTTCAAAATACTATCCGTATTAATTATTAATGTCAAAAATATCAAAATTTATGATTTATTCTTAATTAAAAAAATAAAAATTTGGATGAAAACTAAACGGAAGTAGTATTTTTTCTCCGCCAAAAAATTTCCCCAATTTGCCTATTATCGTAGAAATGGAAAATGATTAGATTACTTATGAAATTTATTACTAAAACTTAACTTCTTATCATTGGTTAAATAATAATCTAATTGTTTTGTTCCATTATCTACAAAGTGTTCTTTTTTTTTCAATAAATTAAAAAAAGAAAAACACTTTTAAAAACTTAATTTTAAAAAAAAACAACAACAGTTAATTAAGAAGCTGTAAATAAACACCAAAATGAATAAAAAAAAAAAACACTGATAAAAAAGAAACTCCAAAATTCATGCATAAAAGCCGGGTTAGCAGGTGTCAAATTTCCATGCTTTTGTTTTGATTTATCTTACCAAATTTCCTGTAGGCTATTGGATCCTCAAAGCTAACGCCACTAACACTGGAACGTCTGGAACTAGCACCACTCTGTGGAGTTGAATCCTTTAAGGATGCTACAGGTATTCCCCCGCAATATTCCCTCTCTCCATCAGAATCGGGTAAACTTCTACTCTTTCCTTTTATTTTTTACAAGGTGCAGTTTTTTGTTTTGTTTTTAAATTAATAAGAAAGCAGAAGAGGAAAAAAAACAGTAAGTTTTTTCTTTTGAATAATATAAATAATTAATATGTAAATAGTTAACCTATCATTGAGGAGCTAACTTTCTAGAATCAATTACAATACAGTTAGTTTCTCTATCTTTATACATAATAGTATAGATATCAATGCTTAATGTGACATAGTTTCGTATTGTTTACCACGAAAAAGAATGATAAAAGCGTACTTTTTAACAAAATAAATAATATATATGTATATATGTATACATTGAAGATATATTGTATATAAAGTAAAAAGTATACCTGTATTTTTGAAGCGAGGGGATTTCATTGATACTTTAGAACCTTTTGGTCCTGATGAACTACTTCCTGTTGCTGATTTTACAGATTGTACCTCCAATTGAGACTCAAGATAATTCTAAATAGGGATTAGATTTATTAATAAGTTCTTCTTTTATAATTTAATTTCAACGAACCATAACAGCTTCACCCATGTCAAATTGACTGTAATTTGATTTGGCACTGCTAGCACCATCAGGTTTGGCACGAGAGGGAGGATGTTTTACAGGGCTGGATTCTTTATCGAAATCCTCCTCTTTAACTTCGCTAATTACCTCTTTTTCCATTTCATCGTACATCTCTTTTTCTCTTAGGGCCTGTTCTTCAAGAACTCTCTGTGAAAACAAAAGGTATATTGGTTGGTCATGTTCTATTTAATAGTAAATAATGTGAATTATACCATCTGTTTATCGAGAGCGTCATTTATGGCACTTTTAACTAAAAGATCAGCAAGAACGTCCTCCTTTTTACCTCGAGGTAGACGTTCGTAGGCTATTGATTTTTTCTGCTCCTTGTCAACAATGGCTAAAGTGGAGAATTTCTGCGTTAAAGTATCCGGATCTTCTTCTTCGGTAATTTCTTCAAGTTCTGTTCCAGTTTTGGCGAATGAGAAACCGCTAAGTAAGCCGGGTGCAAGAAGCATCTGCCTGAGTATTCTATAAGGAGGCGGTAAGGCCGAAAGATCATCGTTAATTCTCGTCCTAAGACTTGGATTAACGGCATTGGGCTGATAGATTGTTTTCTCTTGAACAAATCCTTGCGCTGTGAGTCTCTCTAGGAACGAATCATCAAACGATCTAGTCAATCGGCTAAGGTATCTTCTAGCCGAATAGCCCGGTCTAAGTTTCTTATATTTATCAGCATTGGTGAACTTTAGATTAACTGGAGAACCCTGTATTAACGGACCACTTTTTAAATTATTAATTGAAAATATAGTCGTATCCAGCCCATTGAAAGAGTAATATCTACCCTAACAATCAATTTATAAAATGGTCGAATAAACTTCAAAGAATTAATTACTTGCCAAAGCGCTAAAATTTTGTTCATATTTCTGGTCACATGATTAGATTTTTTGATTAAAAAGTGACAAAGTTTATATATCATAGATGGGATTGATAAGTCTATCCTTTAAAACAAAAAAAAATGATATATTGACTTTGTACACTATATAAAATATACCATAGAAGAGTAGAAGATTAGTACAATAACTGGGAAAAAGGTGAATAAATAACTTATGAATAATCTATGTAAATAGTTTGAGTAACTCTGTAATAGAGTTTTAAATAAAAAAAAGGGCATTTATTGTTTAGAATAGAGAAAGGATCTGCTGTATATTTTATCTTATAAATGTTACACGTAACGCGCCTACTAGTTGAAATTGTAAGAATAATAACTATTAAATAATTCAATATACCTTTCCACCGTAGCTAAGGATTGCTCTTCCTAGATCTTCAACTGTGTGTAAAATCTCTTCTATAGATGCGCTTTCATCTTCTTTCTTTTTATTCTTTTCGGCAAGATCCTCCGAAAAGAGTATTAAGGCACCCTTTCTAGTGGTAAAGGTTTTAGGTAAAGGTACTTCGGATCTCGACGTTGAAGTTGCAATTGAATCCTCAGAGACCGGTGGTAAATATAATCTTGCCGAATGATAATTATGATAATCCTGAAAGATTAGAAATAAAATATTGTATTTTTTCTCTACTATATAAAAATTTAAAGCTACGATCAAACAAAAAGAGACAATGAATTATAGCAGGATTGATCGAAAAATGACTTAAAACTCTCATCCTTAAAGAAAGAATTATCGACGAAATAATAGAAATTATACCCTCTTTTTCAACTTGAAGTTTCTCAATTCCTCTTTAATATATTAACTGAATAATATAGGAGGAAGAAATTTTTATCAATGTATTGGCATTCATAACAAATATTATTAGGCTTTATGTTTCTAGTAAGTGTTGTTAAGGATAAGGTTTTTTTTTTCTTTTTTTTTTTTGCAGGTAGTTAATTAATAAAGTAGAAATATTTTCTATTTCTATATTTAACAATATTCCTATTTCTTTCTTTTTTATACCTGAGGTTCTAATTCAACATCAATTCTTTCATGACCATTCTTTCTTCTTGTTCCGACTCCTCTTGATAAAAGGGATAAATTTATCGTTATTCCGGGCATTCTAAGGTCATATTAATAATAGTAAGTTTGGTTTTTTTGTCTAGTATCCATATAAATGTCTGTTGAAAATATCACTGAAATAATTATCCGATTGTTGAAAGTTGAATTTAAATTATCCTTTTATATCCTTCTATTATTTTTCGCTCTTTTCGAGAGAATTTCCTATCATTAAAACTATAAGAATTGCGAATAGAACCAAACGAGAGAAAGTAGAAAGAGTAAATAATAAAAAAAATCGCCGCGTATCGAAGTGGCGCTGTTTCGATTGGTTTCGGATATAGAAATACAGGCAACAGGCCGTTTTATTCAATAAGCTTGAATGGCAATCAGTACAAGATATATATATATATATATATATTTATGTATTTATATACGTTTTAACTAGTAAAAAGAGGCCTGTAATCATAAACAATTATTTTGAAATTAAGCCAATTAACATAAATATTTAATATAAGATAAGTATAAGAGGGCGGTCAAAAAGGAAAATAAGAGAGGTACTTTTGTCGGTAATGTTTAAAAATTTTTAATAATAGTGATAATCCAATAAACATCTATATTAACCTGTCTCTCTATACTATTTATATGATATACTTTCACTTTTAAACACGATTATAAATACACATATAGTTATATATTAATGATAATGCTGTATGAATATGCAGTGCAAGCTTTTTAAGAAAATGTAAAGCATTTGATATGGATCAGCTTGAATGAGGAAATGAAAGAAAAACAGTAACGAGTTAGTCAATCTATCTTGTTCTAAATTACAATTGAATTTTTTTTATTCATTGAAAGCTAGTAAATCTCTCTCTCTCTCTCTTTCCTTCTCTCTCAATCGTATTTTAACACATTTTCTCTAGCTCTTGAAAATGGTCTATCACCCAATTGATAAAAGAAAATTTTTGCTTTTTTGATTTATAATATTATAAAAATCTTAAGACATAAGCATATTTTAATTTTCTCTCTATGTCTTTTGTTCTCTCTCTCTCTCTCTCTTTCTCTCACTACCATTATGTTTAATCCCTTTAAAAAATTTTGTCATTCAACATATAAATGAATGGTGGGTTAAAAAAAAATTCACAGTCAATATTCGCCTATAGGTATTAGGCTATAGAATAAGCGAAAACAACAAAAGTCCTTAGATCAATAACCACTTTGTATAAAGTGGCGGGAAGGACGCCATATTAGTTAGTATTGCCAGGCAACAGCACAGATGACCACGTGCGAGAGAATTTCTTACATAACGATAAGATATTTCGCAGTTGGAGGGGTTGTTAAAGCTTTAAGAGTATTATAAACTGATTATTACATAGGAGAGATAAGGAAATTTTTTGTTGTATTCTAGATTATCTTAGATAAGATCGAATAGATTAGAGCACCAAGTCGTAATAAAAGAATGTTTTTCAAGGAATTTTATACTCGTAGGCGTGTTCTAAGAAAAACAAAAAAAGGTAGTTGACATAAAGAAAAATTGATTAGATGAATGTCAATGATGTTACATAAGTAAATATAGGGAAAAGAAGTTCTTGTCAAGCAGGATATCCGTTTGTTTCACCTTTGAAATAAAGAAAAGGTATAAAAACTAAATCGTTAAAACTCCAATTAGATTATCTATCAATAACTTTTACACTTATACTTCTTTATCGATTTTTAATTAGTGTCTGTTAATAATCCTACTTAATAAGTTGATGTCAAAGAAAAACTACAGATGGCGATTTTCAGCTACGCCAAACGCTAGAGGCAATTATGCAAGAATGTTAATGAAATTGCGACAAGCTAAGATATGGTGACTGATGGCGGATAATATGCAAATTGCCGCTTACTATTTTCCTTTTTGTAACAAGCAATTCTCGTCCATCATGCTGATGGTATAGACAATATAAAGATTAAAAATTCTTTAGTGTTTGCTCTATGAAAATACATGATTAAAGATTACTCTGACTAGAAAGAGATAAGTCAGCGTTCGAAGATATAATTCAAAAGTTTGTCCAAAATATATGGGCTGTAAAGAAAAGTGTTCGAAAATTAGTGATTGTTATTGGCAGCGTAACAAAAGTAATTTCAATTTCAATTGAAACGTAAAATTATCTTGAAATAAATGCTTATAAATAAACTGAAAACGTACTCTGGAAAGAAATATGACTAGACGGTAAACGTTAAAAATAACTGTTCAGGTTACAATTGAAATAGATGAAAAAGTCAAAGAAAATGTATACTTTAGCCAAATATATCTTGTAATTCGTCATTGGCTGTTTTGTCATTACTTTTGCCAGCATTATTCGTTCCAGGAGTATTCTGTTTTGACATTTGTAAATTTGAATAAATTGGATTCGGAGGAGTTACAGGAATATTCGGACGGTATGAAAAATTCATCATGGGAGAAATTGGTTGCAAAGGATTTGCTTGTTGGGAGGTCGCTTGTGGTTGAAACGATGACGGTGCATTCCTCGGTTGAAGAAACGGGTTGGTTTTAGTTGGTCTACTACTGACAGGTCTGCTTTGTGGTATCATAGGCACACTTCGTGGGGTCATAGGCAGACTTTGTGGAGTCATAGGCATACTTTGTGGAGTCATAGGCATGGTATTTGGAGTCATAGATCTGTTTTGTGCTTGGGATATTGGAGAAATAAGTGAATCTTGTAATTGAGAGCTTAAATCTTTAACTGTCGATGCTTTTTGTGCAGTTACCGACTGATTCAAGTTATTTAAAGGTTTCAATTGAGTTGATGAATTTTCAGCATATAAATTTTTTTGTTCTGTTTGTCGTGTCAGTTTAAGCTTTTCTTCCATTGTCAGCTGAGGCTAATAAGTCAAAATGGATATTTTTAAAGCTAAAACGATTGAAAAAATAAAGGAAATAAACCTTAGAATTAGAAAAATTTTTCGTTGAAGCCTTATTATTTGTATTTTCTGTACCATTCCCATTGAAAGTTGACATAAATCCGTCCATCTAAAATTTAAAGCAATAGAGAAATTTAAATCATATCAAAGTTCAAAAGTAACAAACCAATGTGTTGCCATTATTTTGCTTATTTTCTTCGGATTTAACATTGTTAGCAGCATGATGTTTAAAATCTAAACCTCTGCAAAAACGTAAAAGAATATACGCTTGTTTTTATTCTTAAGTCAACTAACCTTTGTTCATCCTGTATAGACTTTATTTGTTCTAATTTTACTCTATGTTCATCCTCTACTTTATTCAGCATATCGCGTATAATTGACATGAAAGCATTGAACTGTATATGGAAAAAAAGAAAAAACTTTATATTATTTTTCATTCTGAAATTTTTCTAATCAATATTTATATGTTACACTAGATAGTTATATAGTATAAATTATATATATATATATTAATCTACTTTCAAATATTTGCTTTACTAAATTTGAGATATTGCAATATATATAATAGTTAATTTTTTCAATAAGCTTTTTATCATTGTAGATAATATTGTATGTATATATAAATGTATATACAGTTTATATAGTATATGTGTGTAATGCATATTAGTAGTATATAATTAATTTCAAAGTTAAAAATATTGAATTAACTTTAAAATTAACTTTAGAATACCGATATTATATTTTTAAAAAATTTTATATATAAAAAGTTACAATACGAAAGTTTTTTATGTAAATAAATAAAAAATACAATTTAGAATACAAACCTGATTTAAATTTAAACTGTTGTCAATAGAAAGGGGTATAATAAACGGTAATACCCGATTTGCCATAATATCCTTTGTAATTCCTAATTTTTTATGGGTTAGCGCTACTTTATAAATTCCTGAGAAATAAAGATGAAGAGTTAACATCTTCTTCAAGCTTGAAGAGATACTGTATTTGTTAAATACGAACCTAGCATACTCATTAACACAGCTGGTTCTCTAGATGGTATTTCTGTTAGTATTGGAAAAATATCGTCCAATACATACCATTTATCCATATATTCCATTATCTTTCCAATACATATTAAGCAATTAACCCTCACCTAGAATTGTTTAATGTTAAACTATATTATTAAAGATATATTCTAGATAGCTCACACTTAAAATAGATGTTTGCAAAGCCAGCTTTCTAATTCTGGGGATAACATGATTCTTGATGGAATTGTATTCAACCAAATTAGCAAAAGTAGGCAGAATTTCGAGACATAGTTCCTGTGAATAAATTTAATGGGTTACGATGGAATATCGCATTTCCTTATAGAATAGGTATTATCTACCTGTATTTGAGCAGCATTTCCTTCTAAACATCTATAAACCATGGGCAGAACAACATCCCTTATCTCAACAGATGAAGTTTTACTCAATAATAAATTCATATTTTGAAGAAATATCAAAGATATTTGTACAGGATCTCTCAGTGAAAAAACTGCTTTCAAGTCTGGCCATATTAATTCCATGTATTCCTTATCTGACGATTTTTCAGCTACACTTAAAGTAGTTGGCAGAACGAAAGGGACCATATTTGGATTCGAAAATTCCTTAGCGATACATGGTATAACGCGATTCAGTTGAACTCTCTATAAATAAGTGTTTATATAAATTAAATTACAAGTAATATTACTTAATATTTACCAATGGCATTTGGTTAATAATCTGAGGTAAACCTTTGAAAAATTTAGACTTTTCCAAATTATCTCTTTGAAAAAGCGAATCCAAATATTGTAGAGTCATTACGCCAACATCTTCAAAATATGGTACCTTTGAGAAATAAGAGATGAACGATCAAACATAAAGCATACATTTAATAACAAACTTTGGACATTTGGTCAGCATCTGGTCGTAAAGTTGGTTCTGTGTTTAATAGCATTTTAACTTGCTCTCTTATTTCTTCTGGTAAATCGTGTGAAATAGAATTTCTAATAGTTCGTAACTTAAAAAAGGAATTATTAGAATAATAAAGTTAAATTTGAATTAATTTTTCTCACTCACCTTTTCGATATTTGATCGAAATCCGTCTAGATTATCGCGACAATCATAGGGTGTTTTTCCTTCATTATGCAGGGCATAAAACAGAATTCCCAGCGAATACATATCGCTGGCAGGAGAACTAGCTTGCTGCAGTATACTTTCTGGAGATGTGAAATTAAGCGGAGGCTGCGCTATTGGAGGAAGGCTCGATCTCCATTCAGGACAAGCCCAAAAAGGCTGGAATTAATAAAAAGGAAACAACAGTGTTACTTTGTCGATGTAATAAATTTAAATATGTAACTATACTTCTTGGTCATTGCTATTTGAGTTTGGGATTGAAAAATCAAAACCAAATAGTTTCCAAGCTCCATTCTTATTTAAAATAATGCTTGAAGGAGATAAAGCAAAATGAACTAGCTTTGCGCTATTATGAAGAAATGTTAAACCCTCTGTGATCTGCATAAAGATTAGAAAATTAGAAAAAATTTTGTTTTCAAAAACCTATAAACAAAACTTTACTTGCAATAAACCATATTTTACTTCAACAGGAAACAATTTGAAATTTTGTAAATTAGAAGGAATGTTTGACGATAAATTTGTATGATCACCAAGAATATTTCCTAGACTTGAAAACACTGGCTCGGTCACAAATGCTAATGAATCCCTTTTAATAGAATATTTGCGTTATGAAGAAAAATCTTGACAGAATACTAATACCTTGACTCTTCGAGTGGATGCATAACAGAGAGGATTTTAGGATGTCTTAATTTAGTTAGCTGAGAGACTCCTCGTTTTATGATACTAATAACTATTTCGCGATCAGGTTTAGAATATTTTTCTACTAACTTCTTGTCGAATATCCAAACAGCAGCATTCTAAAGTGAAAGAATTGTTTCAAAAAAGAAGCTTATAAAAAAAATACTATCTTCAGCCTACACTAATAAAAAAATTTTGACAAATGATTGTTTTCTGTCTATTTATTTGTTATGAAATCAGAAAGAATCGCATACCTCTTTGGTGCTTTTCTTAACAGCTGCATGAATCTTCCACTGATAACAGGGGCCTCCACTTCCCTATTTAAAGATATTAAGTAAAACTCCTCTGTTGAGATTATTAATGAAAGTTCTACAAACTTGCAGAGTTAACACTTCAAAATCTCTTGTTACTGGATTCCCAGGTAGTGCTCCACTAACTGTTGACTTTATCTTACTGAAGACGTCCATTGTTTTCCATCTGTAAAAATTAAAATCATTTTATGATTGATAATTTAAAAATTAAAAATTTATAAAGAGCCCTGATCAATATCACCGAAGAAATAAAAGCCAAGATATATTTAAAAACAGAAATTAGATACATGCAAATTTATATTTTTTTTAAATATTACGTTACGTCTCTAGTTGATTTTTGTAAAATTTTAGCAGCTTGGTCCATTTTTAATGCTACTTTACAAATAATTAGTTAGTACAATTATATTATTTATAGAAATAGTAATTTTCAAAAGAAATTGCAAATAATACCTGTTAGTTCCTCGTTTGACAATATTATTTAATAAATAAGAGAAATTAAAAGTGAATAGAAGAGAATCAAGGGAAATATCACTAGCACTAGATGAACAGCTTATACGTCTGCAATTTATCTATTTCCGCTTCCAAATTTCTTTTCTAAAGTCTGGTTCCCGGATAATATTTTTAAAAAAAAGTTTGTCTATTATTTTGTTTTTATTCCTTTTTTGTGACAATATTTGAATATAATAGTATCATAAGTTGACTCTATTAATATTTGTAGGACAAGGTTTGATAAATCGTATATCATAAAGATAGATAGCAAAAAAAGTTAATTTTAAAAAGTTATTTGACAGCACTGATTTTTTGTATATTGCAAAGTAGTGACAGAAAAACCTTTATAAGACACCGTGCCCCCGTACTTTAGACACACCCTTCTAACGAATTCAGGAACAGAAATATTCTAAGTGTGAATGTTCAAAATATCTTCCTATTCAGGAAATTATAAAGCATAAAACCACATTTGCTGAATCTAAGATAATTTAATTGCTAAAGGAACTGTAGGTAAGTTTTATGTTCCATTAATTAAGTTTTATACCATGCAACAAGTTTTTTGAATAGCATAAAAAATATCATGGTCTCAAAAGATATATATTTTTGTAAAGCGTTGTATTGTATGAATTTTTATCGACTATAACAAACTTCAAAATAGTTATAAATATATAAGAAGACTTTTTAGCGAAAAATAATATTAAATAAAGTTGAAAATGAAAAATGTTCTAAAATTAACACGTGTTACTATTTAGAGTTTTACAGTTTTATACTACTTTTTCATAATTGAAAAAAGCTTTAAAGTCTTTCATAGTCACTTTTATAAAACGAAATTTCAATTTTCATTTTTAAACGTGTACTTTAAATGCTAAATTTTTTTCTATAGCGGAAGTTACCAGTGCTTTGGTGAAAATTAATTGTCAATGGTAACATGTCATTTGAAGAAAATATGAGCGATAACTATCTATCCTCACCTGAAGGATATGATTTTTCTATATTTAAAGAAGCTCCAGAAGCAAAATATACTTGTCCAATATGTCTAATGGTTCTGAAGTTGCCATTTCAAACAGTCTGTGGCCATCGATTTTGTAAAGCTTGTATACTGTCTTGGATAACGTAATGATTTAAAATTAAAATTATTTCATAATATAAGCTTATTTTTTCTTATTAGGCAAACTAATGGAAATGATTGTCCGGTTTGCAAAGAATCTATCGAAAAATATAAAGTTTTTCCAGATAATTTTGCAAGAAGAGAAATTTGTGCATTGCCCATCTGTTGTCCTTATCAGCAATACGGATGTTCAGCAAAAATAACATTGACAACGAAAGTAAAACATGCTAAAGAATGTATATATCAACCTATAGCATGTAATACATGCCACAATTTTGTACCCAAGTCGCAAATAGATCAGCATATAGAAGAACAATGCCCTGCACTTTTCAAGCAATGTGAAATATGCTGCAAACAAGTTCTATTAGCTGACTTTCGTGTCTGTTTTAATTCTATCATTGGTGTTCTATCTTTTCTAAAAATTAAATTTTTTTATATAGAACCATCACAAAGCTTGTAAAAAAGAGAATACAACTTGTGCATATTGTTTAAAGTCACTTAAATTATGTGAGGTACGTATTTGAAAATATCTGTTTGAATATAAATTGTATACTTACATTTTTCAGTTATCGTTGCACGAAGATAATTGTGGGGAAGATGAGCTAACCTGTCAATTCTCAGACATTGGATGTCCGTTTAGAGTAGTATTTAAATGCTTTTCATATCATAATTGCTTATTTTATGAATTTTCACAGGCTAAGAAGGAGAAAATGGAAGAGCATCTGACCGATCCTTTTAGCATTTATCAACATCAATTTTATTTAAAGGAAGCATTTCTTCAAAAAAATAGTTCGTCTCGTGCTAGTGAAAAACGTCAAGATGATCAATTAGCTTATTTAAATAATAAGGTCTCGTACTTGGAGAGCGTTGTTGAAAAACAAGCAAATCATCTTGATAACAACAATTCGGGATTGAATGAAGAACGCTATTGTTTTGGAAGATATATTTGGAAAGTTTATCCTGTGGACGAATTGAGACAGAAAGCTGTTCTTGGTATAAAAAGATCAGTTCATAGTTCGTCTTTTTATACTTCTCCACATGGTTACAAAATGTCCCTACGAATAAATCTTAATGGCATAGATTCGTCATTAAACAAATGCATCTCTTTGTTTATTCATATTATGCAAGGGGAATATGATGACTATTTGAGCTGGCCATTTCGAGGCACCATTACCCTAACTCTTGTTGGTCAAAACGGTCATGATGATGTCGTCGAAATCTTGAAGACAAGAACCAATTTAGCTGCGTTTTTTAAGCCGAATGGTGTTCGCAATTACAAAGGATTTGGTTACATGGAACTTGTTCCGTTGAATACCTTGGGAAATTACGTAAAAGATAATACTCTAGTTGTACGTGTTAAAATTGTTGAAGAATAAAATATCTGGCTTTAACTTGAAATTGTTGTATTTTTTCATATTAGAAAAAACTTTGAAAAACAAAGTTTCAATGAGTCATTAATTTACATTTATTATCTCGGGGGAAACGACTGTTGCACGCAATGACTCAACGCTTTGTGCAGCCCTGAAACGGGGCCAGATAATCAATAAAGCAACGGGATTTTCGGTTCTTTTTCCTTTCTATCGTGAAACATGTCTGAAGTCTCCTCTGAATCGTCAATTATTTTCGGAGTAGGTTCTCCCATTCCTAAACCAAGGATGAAGGGCGGTGGTATTTTTGGTCATGTACCAGACGCTTTTGATGGAAAAAGCCTAGACTTTAATGATAAAATATATGAAAACGGATCGAAAAAGTTTACAAAGCCAGAGAATAGTGACGACCTTGTCCATTCAATTAATGTTAATGGTTCCAATATTTCAAATTTATCATCTGCTTCGGCTAAAAAGAAAAATATAACTGAAAATAGATTACTAAAGAAAAAGGAAATTTCGGCTAAAATAACATTTATTGATGAAGAGGTAAGGCTTTTCTTGTCTTTTAATTTTTATCTATTTAATTTACCATATACAATTCGAAGCCAATTAAAAGTGGTAACAAAAACAATCAACCTTTATGCTTAATAGGGTGTTTGATAATTCCATGGAACATTCTATTTATCAGCGTAATTGAACATGGAAATTACACGAATCCTTGTAAATCTTTTTCAGTTAAATTGAAATGCGATATTACAATAGATTATTTTTTAAAACTTTTAAAAATCGTCGGCTAAATCTAATTGGCGTATTTAGGATACGGTACCACTCTAGGATAGGGCGGCCATATTGGCATATTGTAATGCGTTTTTGAGACCGGCGCCAAGCTACTCTGTCAATCTCAAGTTAACTGGTTTTTTCGATCTCTGCTAGAGTTGTGCACTTCAAAGATTCAATTTTTAAGAATTTTAAAAGCCGATGCGAAATGTCGAGAGTTAATCCAGTAAAGAAAGTGCCCCTACATTTGCAGGTTTGTCTATCGCCAATTTTATTGGAAGCCTTCGCCGTATAGATTTTTTCACTTTTCGTTTATCCGATGTTTGACAGATGTTAGACATTTCGCACTATTAACAAGTCTAAGTATTTTTAATGCAACGAATGTGGAAAAGCAAAAAAGACTATGTTTATTTGTTTTTTTTGTGCGATCTACTATTGTTTTTTTTTATCAACGCGGGAAAAAAAATGTTATGTCAATGGAGTGACTCACAATTTTAATTATTCATTGTCTTTTGCAGAGCGCCCAATCTAGAATACTTATCAAGGGTGGAAAAATTGTAAATGATGACCGCTCATTCTTCTCTGATGTCTACATTGAAGATGGGGTCATTAAGTAAGCTACACAAGAGTCTGTAAGAGATATCTGAATTAAAATGAAATAATATTTTTTCAGACAAATTGGCAACAATATCACAATACCAGGTGGTGCGCGTACAATCGAGGCCAAGGGTAAACTCATCATTCCTGGTGGTATTGATACCCATACTCATATGCAACTTCCATTCATGGGCATGACCGCCGTTGACGATTTTTATCATGGAACAAGGGCCGCTTTAGCGGGCGGAACAACAATGATAATTGATTTTGTTCTAGATAAGAAGGGAACTCCTTTATTGGAGGCATACGAGAAATGGCGTTCGTGGGCTGATTCCAAAGTTTGTTGCGACTACGGTTTTCACGTTGGTGTTACTTGGTGGTCAGATAAAGTTAAAGCTGAAATGGAAACACTCGTAAAAGAAAAAGGAATAAACTCCTTTAAAATGTTTATGGCGTATAAAGACATGTTTATGCTACACGATAATGAATTATACGAATCGTTTAAGAGATGCTCAGAGTTGGGAGCACTTGCGATGGTTCACGCCGAAAACGGCGAAATTATAGACGAAAAATCGAAGGAAATTGTAAGCACTGGGATTACCGGCCCTGAGGGACACGAACAATCAAGACCAGAACCTTTAGAAGCCGAAGCAACAAACAGAGCAGTCATGATTGCGGACCAAGCCAACTGCCCGCTATATGTTGTTCACGTTATGTCGAAGAGTGCGGCTGACGTTGTAGCTGCGGCCAGGCGAAGTGGCAAAGTTGTTTTCGGTGAACCTATAGCGGCTGGCCTTGCTACCGATGGAACTCATTATTTCAACAAATGTTGGCGTCACGCAGCCGGACATGTGATGTCCCCTCCTCTGCGTCCAGACACTACCACACCAAAATACTTGATGCAGCTTTTAGCTAACAACGATCTTCAATTAACAGGTACCGACAATTGTACCTTTAATGCCGATCAAAAAGCGTTGGGTAAGGATGACTTCCGAAAAATACCCAATGGAGTAAACGGAGTTGAGGATCGTATGAGTGTTATATGGGAAAACGGAGTTCATTCCGGAGTTATGGATCCTTGTCGATTTGTTGCCGTCACTTCGACAAACGCGGCAAAAATTTTTAACATTTACCCGCAAAAAGGACGTATTGCTGTAGGATCCGATGCAGATATTGTTATCTGGGATCCCACTGCTACTAGAACCATTTCAGCTAAAACCCATCATCAAAAATGCGACTTTAACATATTTGAGGGTATGACTTGTCATGGTGTACCAGAGATCGTAATAAGTCAAGGTGCTATTGTGGTTGAGGATGGTCAGGTCCACGTTACCCAAGGTATTGGACGATACATTGAAATGCCTCCATTCCCTGAGGCGGCGTTCGCTAAGTTTGAGCACAAGCAAACTGGTCCCATAAAAATCGATAGAGAACCATACGACGGATCGGTAGCTCAGCTCCCTCAAAGCGAGGTTAACGATACACCTCAGTCAATAAGATCAAGAATGATGGATGGAGCAAATCCAATCACAAACAATCCGGATTTTCATAATAGACCTCCGACTCGTTCTGGTGGTCGTTCCATGCACGATTCCAGCTTCAGTCTTAGTGGTATAATTTTTTAACATATATTAATATTTAATACCTTTCTAATTTTTAACTTTTTAATCCTTTTTAGGTGCACAATATGACGATAAAAAACCACCAAAGTCTGGTATGAAAGTAATTAATCCTCCCGGCGGTAAATCCAGCGGTATTTGGTAAGAAGAGGAGAGAAGAAGAAAAGTTTTAATTCATTCATACTCGAAGATGATTCTTTTCCTAATCATTTAAGATAAAATTTTTGAACATTCCGTAATTGTTCCTTATAACGAAAGCTGTCTTTCGAATTAAAAATTTGCCTAAATGTTACACTTTTTCGTGTTCTGTAGCTAACACTCTTGAAAAGCTTAACATGACAAAAAGTCTTTTATACATTTAGTCAAAATCTATTTGGAAGAAAACTATAGTCAAGTCATCTGTTTTATTTTGTTCAGTTAGTGACAAGCAACTTGGCCTTATTGTGGTTTATGCAGCTAATAGTATGATGTGAAAAAAAGAAGCATAAATACATAACTATGTAATAGCAGGCGCTTTATATCAGTGGCTTTTGATGTGATTGTCAAAAATAGACTAATACGAGTTAGAATAATAAACATATCTAAGTAAAAAACAAAAATTTGAAAAAAAAATCGTCTGTTTTGTTTTATTTGAGAAAAGATACAAAGGCATATTCAATTTCTTGTTTGAATTAAGTCTGAAGATGATAAATGTCAGAAAAACAGTATTCTTTTCTTCTATTATGATAAATCGGAATTGAACTGATCTTCTGATTGATAAGTAATTGATACTTTTTCCAAGGATGGTCCTCTACAAATCAGACAAGTTTTTCTATTCTTTAACAATAGGCGGAATGTATCAATATGTTCCTCATCAAATACTTTTGTACTAAATGCGTCAATAACATCTATATTCGGATTATTGGCCACAAGATGAACTAATCCTTCGGCAGTGAAATTCTCAATTCCTCTTATATTTAAGAAATTGATATATTTTAAATATTTAGAGATATTGTAAAGAGATCTATCAGTTAGACTTTTAGCATTTGCTAAATTTAGATTTCGAAGTAGTGGCAAACCCTGGAGGAAAAATTAGTATAATTACTTTTATGTGATTATATAATAATTTCGATAAGAAGAATTTACTAACCCTTAGTAATCTTTCTACAAAGTGATCATTTAGAAAGAAATCGCAGTTATCAAGGGAGAAGAACTTTATATTTGGAGATTTCGATAGAATTATTTTTATTGTTTTTTCCGTTATATAAACTCCGCTCAGATCTAAATGCTCCAAGGTTAAAGCTAAAAGACTAGATAGATCTTTATTGTTTAGGCGTCTTTTTAGTTTACGGCGTCGGATTAATTCGCTAAAATTTACAAATTGAAAAGAAAATTAGGATTAGGTTAGGGTTATATGAAATCTAATCGCTTACTTAATTAGATATTCATCTGGAAAATTCTCAAAATCGTATTGTTGCACATTTACAAGAAGATAGTCTAGGCATCTCTCCAAAAGTCGGATAACTTTTGTTCCCTCGTGAAATGGACTCTATTAAATAAACAAGTTAAAGTTCTATCATTAAGATAGAATAATAAACACACGAATGAACCTACTCTCTCAAAATATCGTCCGTAGGATGCTCTCACAAACATTTCATCATTTTCAATCTTTTCCTCAAATCTTCTATGTCCGCTGAACGATGTCGACTCTTTAATTGTGTGTTTTACATCTTCCCAACTGGTTAATTTCATAAGGGATAATGACATTATATCTTCTAAGCGTACATAGCCATCACCGTAAATTACTAAACCCTCTTTGACCGCTCCGTGCCTTAGGAGATAGGTTAATTTTCTACTCGTCTTATTTATTCTATCAATTAATTCCCTATTTTCATTTGCAATATCTATATCCAATGAATCACTATTAAGAGTTTGAATTTCCTCCATTTTCTCTATTTATTATTATTGTTATTATTATTATTCAAAATTTAACTGAATTTTCAAGTATTTCAAGTCCTTTTTTTAACTGGATTGATCGTTGTTACGTCTAGAAATTTATTCTTATTATCAAAGATTACGAAATCGTCGCTTTTAAATAGCAGAGAATATTGCACAATTAAAGCAATTAGAACGATTTTGTGTCTGTAGTGAAGATGGCGTTAGTTTATCATGGCAACATTCGAAGTCACGTGATATAATATATGAACGAACGTTTTCAATTCTATTGGAATTTAATAGTTTATGTGTAGATTTTGTCGATAAAAACATGCTGTGTTGTGGCCCGAAACTATCTGCATGTGGTATGGTACTAGGCCTTTGGGGTGTTATTATGCTGGTAATCCTAAAATTATAAACATTTTTATATTTTCACTGAGTTCCTTTGAATCGTCAACAGACTTTCCTGGGCATATTTTTTCAAATCGAAAGTCCAGCCCTAGCCGAAGATTTACCAGTTGAGGAGGAAGAACTTCTAAAAGACGACGTAGGAAAATACATGAGTGGACTTTATAAACAGGCTTCGGCTAATTGTTTTATAGCGGCCGTTGTATACGTTGGTGTACTATGCTTTTCTTTCGTTTCCTACAAGCTAAGCGATAGAATGGCCTACTTAAAACCATAGGTTACAAAATTGTTAGAGTTAAATATCTAGAAATGTTTCAAATTTTTTTATCATTTTGTTCCTTGTTTCAAATGCTAGTCTCAAATTCCTCTAGTCAAACCAATAGATAAAAAATGTTTTATTTCTTAATGATAACCTTTTTATTTTTCTTTACAAGTTAATTTTAAATTGAAGAAAATATATATATAAATTGTATTTAATGTAAATACATTTAAATATTATATATAATACGCATTTATATAATGTAATATAGAAAAGATGAACGCAAACTCATTGCCTAAAGGGCTTTGGTATAATATATATTCTTTTAATTTCCTTGTCACGTATACGTAAACAGTAAAGGAAATTTAATTGGTTTCATTTTTCAGCCATTTTTTGTGTAAATCAGTACCGAAAACCTTCAAAATAACAATTATACAATGTCTTATAAGTATTTTTCAACTATGAAGAAGACAAGAGAGTTTTTAAAATGTTGAAAAAATTAGAAAAATAAGAAGAAACAATTAAAGTCAAAAATAAAAAGAAAAAAATGTTATTTTTAGAAAAAAAGTGCCTTTAAGTTTAAGCAGCAAATATTAGAAAGTCAAATAAAATATCACCATTTCAATCCATTTGGTATGTTGGCAACAAGTGGAAAAATAGGATTAATAGCACTTGATGTTTGTTCTATTTTACAGATTAAGTGTGCTTTTTATAAAATGCATCTAAATGACCTTTTTCATAGACAGAGAGAGAAAGAGAAAAAAAGAGATTGAAAATCTGAAAAACTATGTAGAGTATTGTTCATCATCATTGTCATTGTAACTTTCATTTCGATCGTTTCTATGTCAATTTGTCTCTAGGGTATATTATGATGAATCAACATAAATGAATGCAAAAATTCAACATTAACAAATCGAAACATTTCCACAATATAGTTCGAATCAATTAACTCTATATATTCATGTGGATTTTTCTGATATTTTTTATGTGGTTATCTTTCTAATCCTCTTAATAATCCTTTACAGATTTAAAATACCAACATCGGCTTTATAGAAGCTCTTAATCAGTTTAAATAATAGTAATAACAATAATAATAATAAATAGTAATAATAATATTAATAACTCTGAAGCTTATGACTTTTAATATGGTAAAACTAATCACATAAGAATCTTAGATTTTTAACAAGGATTTGATATTTATCCCTTAGGGGTAATTCAGTTTCTAAATAAAGAAACTTTCCACTTCCTTCTACGAATTCTTTAATTCTATTTCTTGATTTTGAAGTTATACCTTAGAAAAAAACGCTTCAAAATACTCTTAATTGTCTTGTTAATGGAAAAAGAGAAGAAAGTAATCAAGGGAAAATCTCTGCCTTATACATTTCTATGTTAATCCCATATATATATATATAGTATATATATATATTCTTATAAATAATTACATTTATTATTAATAACACTTTATTCAAATATAAAAAGAAATTGCTATGATAAGTATCATTTTTTAAAGCTGGAGGTGGATAAAGAAACTTGGGGATAAGAGAGAAAGAGAGAGAGAGAGAAAGTGTGAGTGTGTGTGTGTATAAGAGAAAGAGTTTGTACTTATGCCTACATACGAATGTGTTTGTGTGATGTAAAAATATACGGTATAAAGTATATCTATACTCTATACAATACAATATAATAATTAGAGAGATTCTACGTTCAAGAGAGTTAATTATCTCTATTATATCTTATAAAAGGATTAGTTCAAGTGTTAATATTTATTGGTTTTTTATAAAATAAAAAAAAAAGAAACTATTCGTATGAACACAAATATAGAAATGACAAAAATTCAATGGGTTCTCAACGTAAAGTTTGTTTAGACTGCATAAATATAAACTGAATGTTATATATATATATATATATTTGCTAAACTATTTCATTGAAAATAAATATTTCTACTAGAATCGTAGAATTTTTGTTTTCTTTTCTGTTTTTATCTTCTTCTTCATCATCATCATCATCTTCTTCTTCTTCTACATTTACAAATCTTATCACAAGTACTGCTTCAATCGTATAATAATTATTAGTGTTATTAGTGTTTATTCTGTAAATATGGCTAAACAGACGTGTAATATTAAGCTACAGTCTCTGCTAAGGTAGTAGAACTGGATAAAAGATTAAGATATTAGCTTACTCAGCACACACCAGGGAGTCTTTAAAAAATTATGCTTTAAGAATAGATAAACAAGAATCAAATATGCTCTAAGTACATCAGAATAAAGATTGTTATACTATTCTAGATAGGCCTATATATAAAGGGTGTATTTTTAAAAAGTCTCTTAATCAATCTCGAATTTCAAACATAGGATACAAATAAAACATTTAATAGGTTAAATAAGAATAGAGTATGCTATCTTTTTCTCTCTTTTAACAAATAATTTACTCAATTAAATTAAAATAATTATTAAAAAAAAACGACAAAAGCAAATATGGATTTTACAATAATAAAATAATATACAGTGTATTTTCAAGGTCATCGAAAGCTTAATTGGACGAGTAAAGGAGTAAGGGGTAGATTGATAAATGGGGGTAAGTGAGTGATTTTTAACAAGAATTGTTTACTTAACGGCGCTTATACACTTCAATTTAAAAACTAGAATAAATTTTCTAATCCCTCCCTCTCCTATCACATTCTTTCATCTTCATTATCTTCTTTATCACTCTTCCTCCTCCTCCTCCTCCTCCTCCTCCTCCACATACTCCTCCTTATATTACTCACCTATGAATAATAATAATATATAACATATATTAAATCACATATTGAAAGAATTTGAAGAAAAAACGTAATAACTATAGTCCTACTTTTATAAAGCATATGGTCATAGCACGATAGATTTATATATATATATATATATATTTAAATCATTATGGATTAAACGTGGAACTCGGGCAATTAATCCGTACTAAAGAGCAGATCTAATCTTTAAAAGAAGTGAACAAAAAAGTAAAAGTCTATAAAAGTTTAAATTTTTAATACGTATTATTAATAGAATGATAACTCTAAATATTATTTTATTCTTTCTTTCTCTCTCTATCTCTCTCTATATATATATAATATCTCCATATCTATCTCTATCTCCCGCTCTTTCTCTTTCTTCTCTTCTTTTTCCTTCTTTTATGGCAAAAAATTCTTAATGGAATTCAGCGTTAGTTAATTAAATAATCAAGATTGCTTTAAAGTGCTTCAAGTAAAGATTTCATGAATTTTTAAAAGTAATTCGAAAGTGTTCCAATTCTTCTTGTTTTGTTTTTTTTTTTTAAAAAATAATAGAGTGGAACAAATTTTCCATTTAAAACTTTTTCAAAAAGCATTTCATTATTATTTTTATATTAGTTTTTTTTTAAAAAAAAAAGTTAAGACGTAACAATAAGAAAAACAATAACAGCAATAAAAAATGATTGTAAACAATTCATACTTTTTTTTTAATTGTATTTCCTTTCTCTGTTTTTTTTTTCGTACAATTATCATTATAATTATTATTATATAATAGGAACTGAATGAATATACTAATTGAAGTGGGGAGTTTGTAGTATATGTTTTGGATTGAAAAAAGACAACAAAAAAATGATTAAGTTTATTAAGAAGATAATAGTTTGGAAATAAATGGACAGCTATTAGATATTTTAAAACGCATCCATCATACTGCATAAAGATTTAGCATATGTTATACGCAATGTTTTACTAATCGTTTATTATACTAATATATTCTTTTGAAAAAAAAAGACCCCTCCTTGTTCGCCCCTATGTGCTCTATTAAATGTTCATTCGTTTTCCGGACAGTGCCATCTATCGGTCAGAGATCATCTGTTCGCCTCCATTTTCTCCGTGGCGCATGCGCTTTAAGTTCTATTTGACAACATGGACAAGAGTATTTTCTTGAAATCAATGTTAATTGTTGTCGTCATGTGTCTTTTGAACTGTAATTGGTGCCATGGAATGAAGATAAGTAGGGTTCTACAAAAATTCGAAACAGTTCGTGATAAATCAGGGAGAAAATTCGACTTTTCCGAAGACTGTTATTCAATAAGTACGAAACGAAACAAGAGGAATGTCATTCTTCAAGATTATATAACAAGTATAGTGAGTACAATAAGTGTGAAAACTTGTAGCGTGCTACTTGAAGTGAATCCATTTTACTCTTTATAGAAAGTAAGTGACTATATGGAGAGTAAGGATATGACACCAAGATATTTGCTTGAAAAATTAGCTAGTTTTTATAAAGTACCGTCCGAACATGTTCACTTAAAAATGTGTGGTCAGAAAGCTTTGTTCTATGTGGTTAAGAAAGAAGCTAAAGCTAATTCTGTGGATGTGAAAGACTGGATAGCCCCTTATCTTGTCAGTGCAAAATTGAATGCTGCTATTGCTGCTGTTCCTTCCGAAATAGGCTTGACGGCCCAGAGTCAGGTATGAAAAGTGTGAACGTAGGCAATTACTATTTGATAGCGTTACTAGTTCGATATACGTAGCGTTAAAGGCGCACTCTGTTGACAGAAACAGTCTAATGAGGAAGATAAGAGCGTAATGGAATACGTTCCTTACGTAGTCGTCGCCGTTATTTGCCTAGTGTTACTGGCTGTCATATTATCGGTGAGCGTTACTTATTCCAACTTTTACGGCGTCTAACTATCGTTGATATTTTCTTTTTTCCCTTTCACCTATTTAAGGTATGGGCTTTTACTAGACGTAAGAAGTCAGAAAAATGTCAGGAGCAGCGTTTAGTCTGCGTCTATCCGAGTGTTAAGCCGAATCTGATCAGTACGAGTCAAGTACAGCCAGATTCGCCCTCACCCAGCCCTTTCAGTACTCCGAAAATAAAAAACAGGAGTTTACTGGAAAGGCGGGGTTCCAATGCATCCTTGACTATAAGCTTAACACCCCCACCACCCCAAAAATCGGCTATCAAAGAATGTAGCGCTCAACTGTCTTTGGAGAGTAATACTCGATGCCTTTCCTTCAATGAACTCAGCTCTACATTAGAAAATGTTGAAAGTTTAACGAAAGAATTCTGGGTTAGTATTTTATATTTATTTTGTTTTTTTGTCTCTTTTTTTTTTTAATCTTTTTTTTTTAATCTTTTTTTTTTTAATTTTTTTTAACTTCTTCTTCTTTTTCTTTTTCTTCTTCAAAAAGGAAATACCAATGAATCATCCGGATAAGGCGATTGTTAGCGGTTCCGGTACATTGAATCGCTATAGGACAATTATTCCGAGTAAGTACTGTTTTAAATTATCTCCGATGTCGGTTGCTCTTTCATCTCCGAAGGTTTACTTTGCAGACGAAACAACGCGAATTAAGTTAAACGAACAAGATGGTAAGCCAGGATATATTAACGCTAATTACATCCGGGTTAGTCTTTTTTTTACAACTGATGAAAAGACGTCTTGTATGGGATTACATGTTGCTTTTTAACACGGGTATAGGGCTACAACGGTCAGAAAAGAGCTTTCATAGCTACTCAAGGTCCGATGCCGCACACGATAGTTGATTTTTGGAAGATGATTTGGCAGGAGAAATGTGAAATAATTATTATGATTACGAAATTGGAGGAAGAAGCAAGAGTTCGTATTATTACTTTATAGCCTAAAATAATAATAGATATACTTAAATATATATTTATATATATATATAGATATATATATATATAGATATATATCTTTACTGTACATAGTACACATGAGTGTATTGTTTCGTATAGAAAGATGCACTACAATTACACATCTATTAGCTTAAAAGTTCATCATCCGTTTAAAAATTTTTGCTTAATCAGATAGAATTTTAATATAAATTAATCAAACAGAACAAGTGTGAAATGTATATACCAGAAACTGGTGATGTACGTCATGGTGATTTTGAAATTTCCGTCGAGAATATTAGCTATCATTCGAGTTATGAGATACGAGCAATTTGCTTCAGAGTAAGCCTACTATTTATTTGTATAGCAGCCAAAAAGTGTTATAAATTTTCTTTTTCGTTTTAAAAGTATAATGATGAATCAAGAACGGTGAAACATTTTTGGTATACTGCCTGGCCGGATCAGAAAACTCCTGAAACGGCAAGAGATTTGGTTCAACTAATTGAGGATGTCAAATCGGTAAAGAGGGACCAACCCGTCGTCGTTCACTGTAGTGCTGGTATTGGAAGAACCGGCTGTTTTATAGCGACTTTTATAGGCATACTGCAGATTTTAATGGAAAAAAAGGTTGATATTTTATCTATTGTTTCTCAAATGAGGTTGGACAGAGGTGGGATGGTACAGACGTACGAACAGTACGAATTTATACATCAAGCCCTAAACGTCTACATATCAGACTTTTTGCCAGATACCTCTTAAAAAATATGACAAAAAAAATAGCATGCATTTATTACCTAAAGGAGACTAAAACAACTAAAATATCATCGCTTTTTCATTTGTATTTCTCTATCTCCTTTCTCTTGTCTTTTCTTATTCGGGTATATTAATATATACACATACATTTATGTATATATTAATATACTAGCAGCATATCTAAAAAAAGAAAGATATTTTGTGAATAGGCAGAACGAATTTTATCCTGCAGACAACGCGAGTTTTGGCACTTATGTATATATATATATATATATATCGTTCATGATTTAATAGTAATGATAGTGATTATTATATTATTATTTAAATATTTATACGGTACTTTTTATTGCCTTAAAAAACGAATTCGCCTGAAACTTGTCTATATACATACACACACACACACACATACATACAAACATACATGTATACAAGTTTATATATATATATACAGTATATATATAAAATATTTAATTTGTTCTAATTGAATTAATTAATTAATTATAAAGAAGAAAAAAAATTCACAAAAACATAATAGAAAAAAAATTTAACGTCCTTCTCGTATTTATTATGATATATAAACTTATACATATATATATACATATATATATATACATACTATTCTATTTAAATGCATATATATATATATATATATACAAACAAACATACACATATACTCATTTAGGTTTATTTTTTATTATTTTTTTTTGACTAATATGTTCAAACTCTGTGTTCGCTTTTATCAATTCTAGTCACTGCATGAAAATTGTATTGTCAGGTCTAGTTGTCGTATTGATTATAGGTTTACCTCTGATTCTTGAAATGGGAACTTTAAATAGTTGCTACGGAGTAAACGATAATGAGTGCTTTACGAAAATTGATATTATTTTTGTTAGTATTACACTCCGTGTTTAACCTGTAATTATATTGTTTATTGCCAACCTTTCAAAACTTTATTATTATTATTATTATTATTATGGTTATTGTTATTGTTATTATTTATTTAAATATTTGCTTCTTTCGTTAAAACGATAAAGGAACAAACTTAAAAGCTTTAAATTTCTCTCCTTGGCCAAAATTTTTGGATTGATTTATTGACTGATTATTTATTTATTTATTTATTTCCATTGTTGTTGTGATTTTACGGTCAAAACTGCCCTTTTTTCCCGATGGTTCTAGTCCATGAATTTCCTGCTAACAACAATATCCAATTTCAAGTAATTTCTAGTTTAAGTTCTACGGATTCTTTTAACGCGCTGTGCACATTTACAGTTTTCTGCAGTAAATCGCTTTATGTGTAAAGAGTCATTTTTTTTCTCGTTGATTTATCCAATCGGTATTACGTGTTTTTTTTTTCTTTTTTTTGATACTAAACAAATGTTCAGTTCTTTGATGTTGTCACTAATGAATATATTTTGATGTTATTTTAAATATATAAATGTTATGGCAAACCTTGTCCAAATACGTCATTTACGTTATCTCGTCTGCCTTACCCATATTATTATTGATATATATATATATATATATATATAGTACATTTATTTATTTACATGTTTTGCCCAATTATCAATATATACATGAATACAGGAGTATTGATACATTTTTTATTTGTTCTAGTGTAATAAACAAATAGATATGTAAAAAAAGGAAAAGTGATTTATAAGCTCTTCCTATCTACCTATTATTGTTTTATTTTATCTATAATTACAAGCTATAAGACGTTAAATAGACGCTGAAGTTTGTTTGTCAAAAGTATAACTGATACTACATTATCGATTTATATAATTCAATTGTAGTAGCCTTTTATAATTGTTACCGTTTTTTTTATTTACCTGGCAATAGACGCTTGTTACTTTAATTAATATTTTATAGTATATAGTCTATAAATATTATTTGCTGATTATTTAAACAGCTCTTACTCTTCTGATAAATGTATAACTAGGACAAAAATACCGTACATACATGCATACATCCTCAGTATTTATTATTCTTTACATCAAAAAGTTCCTTGAAACAGAAAATTGGACAATTTTTTATCATCTTTCATCCTCTATTCCCTTTCTTTTTCCAATGATAGCGAGAAGGAGAAATCACACTATCTCGCTACTTTGTTCTTTGCAGAGAAAACTTAATCTTTTCTTATAAATGATATTCTCCTTCCTTCCTTTTTTAGCTATTTCAATAAAAAAAAGGGTAAATGGAAAAGTTTATTGAATATTCAAGATAATAAAAGAAGAGAACGTTATAAAATTATCTATACGAAAGGATTTTTGTTACAAGATGTATAGTTTATTCTTCAAAATTGCTGACAATTCAACAAACAAGGCAGAAAAAGGAGATCACATGACGACATTTATGTACTAGCTTTAGGTTTAAACTTCTTAGCATTGAGAAAATTGTCTAGGAAACTGAGAGTCAAGTAGGTTGGCTTATACTTCTTTGATTACTTTTGTTTCGACGTGATAGTCTTCTATTTTATAGGTTTCGAAAGCAACCGTCGTCTAGAAAGAAGCCATACGGAAGTTTTAGAATCGTACGAATCTACGAATCGTACAAGAGACAAGAGAGAAAGAGAAAGAGAAAAAGAGAGAGAGACGCTTCAATTTCTATAAATACTTTATACGGAAATCTAGTTCTGTTAAACGGGCAAAATGAGAAGGAGAAAAGAGAGCGAGAGAAAGTTAAAAACCTCCTCTTAACAATAATACAATATTTACAAAATCTACCAACTAAGACAGAGACCCTTTTCTTCTAATCTCTATCTTCACTTACATCAGTTCTTTGTTTTTTCCTCTCTTACTACTTTTTTTTTTTACATTAAAATACTAATTGAGAAAGATATTCATTAAGATTAATTAATATGTGATATACAGCATGCATATTCTCGAGTTGTTTTTTCCAAGAACCTTTAATGACGTTTATATTAGTCTTTTCATAAGGAAAGATAGCCATAACTAAAAGAGCTAATTATATTTACTAAATGTATAAGATTCACCATCATTTTTTATATAGTAGTATATATATATATATATATATATATATATATATATATATATATATAGAGAGAGAGAGAGAGAGAGAGTGAGAGAGATGATATACGACGTATATATCAGTATACATCATTTCTTTTTATCCTATAAATTTTTATATATGGCATAGTTTTCTGGAATGTTTTATATATAACAACTGTTTACAAACTTTCCCCGTATAAATATCTCTTCTCCCATCAATCGCTATCCTATTATTGTTAGCCTTAGTTTTAGCCTTGTACAATGTGACACTGTTTTTGTTTTTTTTTCAAAAATAATGAAAAACAATGAGATAATCTGTTTAAAGGATTATCCAAACTTTTTTAGAATAAAAATACTAGAGTTTTCAATGTTGAATGAATTTTCAATTGTTTCCTAAAAACGCTTTGTTATTGCATGATATGTGATGAATATTCCGCATATACTGTATATACGTTATTCTATATAATAATTATAAGCTACCTATGTACGTAACAGTTGTTTAAAGCCTACGAATTGTGAACTTACATACGGATCAATAAATATGATAAGGGTACTCAGAAATACTAAGCTTTTTAAAGGAGAGGTTAAGATGGCGATAGCATGTTATGAATTATTATGTATTTTATACTTATAGGGGTTTAAAGTAATCAATTATGATGTTTTTTTTCTCACTCACTCACTCACTCACTCTCTCTCACTCTCTCTCACTCTCCTCTTTTCTTCTCTTAGCTTTCCCGCCCATTTATGAAAAATATATTTCCATTGTAGAATGCACTATAATACTTATTATATTTTTCATAAACATCTAAGGAAAAGAGTATTTATACATTGAACATTCTAACTTTACGTACGAAAAAGCCATAATTACTATAGGTATAGTCACTTTTTTCTATTATTTTCTCTCTCTTCTACTCTCCTATTCACTTAAATGAATTGTCTACCAAAGAATTATTAACAAGAAAATTTTCCTGTAGTCATATTATTCCTTATTACTTGTTCGCTATTTTTAAAATTTGAAAACTTTACAACCATTATTAGCCTGTAGACTGTTTTCCCTCTCTCTCTCTCTCTCTCTCTCTCTCTCTCTCTCTGCGTCTCTTCCCTTTCTGTCTAGTTACTAATTTTTTTTTCAAGGTAAACATAACGTCAGAGAAAAATTTCCTTCTGTAAAATTATAATTACTGACGCTGCAAAAAAAAATTGTATAGTATATAGATCTATTTTTAAAATTGTCGCAGTAATATTACCCAAAACTGAAAATAGCTTGTAATTATGGACAAACTGTCATAAAAAATTTCGCACTCATTCAGCGAGTAATTAAGGGTAAAAAGAAAAAACAAAATATGAACAGAGTGTTTCCCATCTTTCATTCGTTTCTTTTTTTTTTCTTTTTAATTTACTGGATGGCTTACCCAAAACCCTTTGATTATTGTAAATAAATATACAGTATATATAATTATAAACTACTGCCAACTTTTAATTCCTCCATTCAAGTGATTGGTGAGTAGGCAGAAAAATATCCTATCATAGGAAGGTTGTAATTCAACGTTTAACCTAAAGATGGCGTATAAAACGGGTAATTTTAGACGCCTATTTCTTTGAAAGATTTCAGATTCACCTGCAAAAAAAAAAACACACAGAAATTGAGAAAAAAAATTAATATTTTTAGAATATGAATTCCAAAATTCCAATTTGATGAAAACTTAATAGGAGCAATTATTCCTTTGTTTAAATGACTAGAAATATATTCTGTGCATGTATAGGTTTATTTAAGCATTAAATGCGAATTTGTTAAGAAAGAATGATTATTCTAAAAGAAGAAGAAAGAGAAACATAAATAGAAGATTATCTTTTCGTACTCAATGGAAAAAGGAATGACTTTTCTCTTTATATATTTAGTTATAATTAATTGAAAGAGGTGTTAAGAAAGAATAGGAATAGTATTAGTTTTAGTAACTTAATGATAAAAACATATAAATCTTGTAGCTGTTAAAAAAAGAATCAGAAGAAGAGGAGGAACACTGCAGAGAAGAGAAAGAATGAGGTGAAAAACTTAGATGAATAGTGTTTATTATCAACTATATACATGTATATGTATACATTAGTATATAATTGCAAAGCTTCTCTTCCTTTATATAGTTAAGAACAAATATATCATAGAGAAAAGACATTTTTTCCCTTTATTTCGGTCTAATAGATTACGCCATGCTGCTGTTTTTTATATAAAATTTATATATACTGTATATAATAATTAATGGTATTAATACTTTCTTTTTGAAAAGAACCTAAGAAAGTTTCCATAGATAAATTTAGTATCATTGATAAAGTAAGCGAGAAAAATCTCTTGATATTTTTGTTTTTATTTCAATATGAAAGGAGAATCTCTTTTAGTTACGTCACTGATAACGGGGTTACAAAAAATTAAAATCATATCCGGTTGATTATTTTTCTTTTCCAATCGATAAGTATTAAATCGATGTGAACAATTAAGTGTCTAATCGATATTAATTGTTGTTGAGTAGATATCAAGATTTTTTTTGACTGTTGGGCCACGTCATTTCAGTTGGAAAAATGTCACCGAACGCTCCAAGTATACGCCAACCGAATATCGATGAAGGTTTTGACAATCATCATCTCGATTTGTGGTTTTGGTCCGAATATCAAAAGAAATTTGATAAAGTTTCACTCGATGAATTGCACGAAAGAAAAATTGGTCTTGAGAACAATTTTAAGAACAATTTTTTCTTTTGTCGCCCAATGTACGATGCCATTCGACAGGAAATAAGGTAAATATTTTTTGTTCGACCTCTTTAATTGTTTTTTATCTTTTTTTATGGAAAAAAATTATGTTTTTATAAAAAGATAGTTGTAAACTTTTTATCTCTTTCTTTCTGTCTATCTATCTGCCTATCTTCTCATTCTAACACACCCCTACACAGCTTAACAGAAGGTCTCTCGCTGAAACTGTACGAAAGAATGCAAAGATATATTAAGTCGTCTTCCGAACTTCACGAAGAGCTTAAACGGCAATTAGTTCATTGCCACGACGCATTCGAACAGGCTGTAGGATATTTATTTTTGGCTAAATGTGAAAAAGTTATTTACGAACTTTTTTGGTTTGTTACTCGTCAACGAATATCTCCAACAGTCCAGGTAAGTGAGCAAGGGAGGAGAAGGGGGAAAAGATCCATCATTAATTGAATTGTTTAATTCTATTAAAATTAATTTATTTCTCCTTTTAGAACTTGTACGATGCTATGCTGAAAACAGGACTTTATCATTAGCCGTTACTAGTACATATACCACATATATACAGTATATTATAATCGTTTTTTCTCTATATTTTTTATCTTAACGGTTATCATTTGTTAAAGGAGACCGGTTTGTAAAAAAATATGTTATTGTTCTTCTTCTTTTTGATATATTGCAGCTAGAATAATTTCTAGGGAGAATGGAACATTTATGATTCTTTTTTTTTTAAACCTTGAAATTATATAGTTAAATTAACACATGCAATAATCATAATGAACAAAGACTACAAGAAAAATAAAAGTATAGAGTTCACTAATTATGTTTCTTTTTTTTAATATTAATCATTATTAGTCTAACGGATTTAGTCTTGCTTTACACGCTGTCTTGTTCGCCATTTTGTTTCACTATTCTCAATTTACTCTCTTAGTATACCATATACAGTATATATCATATACGTTTTACAAATATTGTAACAAAGATATCTGCTCTATCGCGTAAATAAATAAATAGAAACAAATCACTTCTCATTTCTAAAGGTTTCAAATGAAATGTAAACTTTCACACTCGATTATCTTTCAAAATTATATATAAAATTATATATAATTGACCTATCATCTAAGTTCACGTAGTAATTTTAACCTATCTATATCTTCGATGTAGCTCTTGCACTTAATCTTATGTTGTTCATTTGAAAATTACTCTTTCTCTCTCTCTCTATAAATATATATATATATATATATATATGTATATATATCTCATTAATTTTATTTTCTTCAGAGTTTGTCTTCCTCCCTGCTCCTCTAGCCACCCGCGAGGCAACTAATGCCCGTGTAGGCTTTTGTCTATTTAGTTAATAAAGACATTCCTTCCTTTTCTCCTACTTAAAAATCTTCCAAGTGAGAGGAGACTTCACTGTTCGTCTTCTGAGTAATTATTAACTACGGTATCGTATAGCAGTCCTAATTTTCCCTTAAAATGCATTATTAGTCCATTATTTATTTTAATAACGCTCGAAAACTGACACCCAGTCTTGTAGTGTTTAAACGAACGGTGTTAATCGAAAACTGATATTGATACCTTGGAAAGGTTAAAGGTGTGCTTTTTCCTAGTGTCGTTAAGATAGTGAGTGATATAATAGATATTCCACGACTTTAGTTACCACAAAATACGAAGCGTTTATATTTTTTTCCCAATATTGATGATAATCATCAGCAAAGTACAACAACGATGATAGCACCAACGTATAATCTTAACAAATAGAAATAATAGAGAACAAAAAAAACCAAACAAAAAATAACAAAGGAAAAAGAAAACGGAAGAAGATAGAAATCATAACTTGTCTAAGGATCCTTTCTCGTCTAAAAGAGATGCTATCTTGCAGAAGGCCTATAAAGAATGAAATATAGTTATAGAGATAAATATTTGAGTAAGGGGAAAAAAATTTTTTTTTATACTTACTCTATCAATCGCTGCGCTCTTCGCGATTATAATATCCTCCAAAAAGTTACACACATTATTTTCAAATTTAGAATGAAAGAGTTTATAGATACCCGAATCAAGTATATTATCACATGCACTAATTTCTTCCAAAAGACTTTTCCTTACATTTTCAGCATCTCTCAATGAACTTTGAGCACTCATAAGAATTTCGGCTGTTAACTTGTCGTTCTGCTCACAAATACTAAATAAACGCTCGAAACAATCATGATCTGTAAAATATTTTTTCAATAATTCCTTTTCTAAAGAGATTTTACGACTTTTTATTTGCTCTAAAGACATTCCCTTCATAGTTGCAAACGTTTCCCAGAATATTAAATCCAACTCATAGTCTTGTCTAACTCTCTTGTTAATTTCTTTCGCTCTTATTGAATCTTTACCAATTAATTTACGTTTGATTTCGTTGAAAGTTTTATTTCTTTTTGGTTTGGCGCAACAAATTGCTCTCCAAGGTTCTAATTTCATCTCCTTTAGTTCATTGAAATTGCCATTCATTAAACACTTTTGTTCATGTTGTATAGCTCGCATATATTCCATTTCAACAACGAACCACGGATCATCATCTGAATTGGATTCAATAGAGTTTAACTGGTCATATAAACTTTCTTCTCTATATTCGCCAATCTCCATCTCGTCTTCTGAGTCGTTTGCGTCTGTTACATCTGCAATATCATTATCACTATAATCGTCATTACTATTATCGTTACTATCTTCATCAGTAATCTCCTGGTCGCCAAATTCATTGTTAGTGTTATTAGCATTGACATGATTGTCGTCGTCATCATCATCATCGTCATTATCGTCGTCGTTATCTTTATCGTCGTCGTCGTCGTCATCATTGTCATCTTTATCATTTTCATCATCATCTTTGTCACCGTCACCGTCGTCATTGCCATTTGTATCACCTTGCTGGCTAACATCATTATTATTGTGAAATTCGTTTTGGTCCTCAGCGAAATCATCGTCACTTTCACTTTCCGAAAAGGACATACTTTGTTCCAAATTGTCTTCATAAGTCAAGAAGGGCTTCTCCAGCTTGTTCTGCCTTTCTCTTAATCCATAAAATGGTTGTTCTTGCTCCAATTTTAGATTTCTTTGTCGTTCCTCTTCCTCTAACTCTCTTAAACGTCGTCTCTTTAATCTTTGTCTTCTTTTCTCTGCTTTTTCTCTGTTGATCCGTTCACGCCTCAGCATATATTCAGTAAAAGAACTATTTTGCAGGGTATCTCCTGTAGCTACTTCTGAAAATGATACAGGTTCTTCTAACGTTGGTAAATCGAGTGGGCTTTGGATTGTTGTTATGGGTATAGAGTTCATTATGTTAGGAAAGACTATTGAATCTCCAACATAAATACTATTGACTGGTTGCGCAACAGATGCCATTGGCTCAAGCCCTCTGACATTCGTAGGCATTTGAGTATTCTGTTCAAGATCCTCTGCAGTATTTTGGTGAGTCTCTATCACGAAATTTTCCTCGCTGCTCATTTCGTCTGTAGTAGTTTCGATATGGCTTTCAATATCTTCTCCTTCGCATGACAACAAAGTTTTATTAGTATCATCGTAAACAGTCGACGACGTTTCATAGTAATATATTGAATCTGGTTGCCAGCTGGCTGCTGATTCTAAATCAAGATTGAAATAATATCATCGTTAGCTTCTCATTTAACAAAAAATATATAATATAGGTTGTTACCTTGATAGTTATCGTTCAAGCTAGCATAAGGTTCATAATAGTAGCTCTGATCGTATTGGGTATAATAATTATCAAGATGAGTTTCTTCAAAGTAGTTGGGATTCTCATTTATTTGCATTTCAGTATTCCAGGTTGCTTGACGAACGTCTTGCTGTTGTTGTGCGTGCCAAAAATTATAGTTGAAAGACGACGTTGGAATACTATTATATTCGGCATTGAATGTGTTCGCGAACATTAGATCGTTGGAATAGCCAGTTGCTGAAGCGGGTAATTGTGAAATTTCGAAGAGGGACGAATCAAGTATTGTTTGATCATAATCGATGCGTTGGACGTCTACATCTACAAAACTACTCCATGGTTTATCGTTGTCTATGATAATATTTTTATCTTGTTCTGGGTTATTCGTAGGTGGTAGATTATTGATATTTGAGACGTTTGAAGCATTGGCAAAACGGCAGGATTCTAAAAACGTCTTATTGCTGTCGTTCATACTAGCCTGAGGCAAGATATTTTGATATTCTAAGCTTGATTCAAGCATGTCTTGATTATTGTCCACTTCTTGGACATCAATATCGGCAAAAGCACTCCAAGGATCTTCTTCCCCAGGCAAGTTATACGTTAAATTTAAATTGTTCGTCAGATTAGGATTCCAATTCTCGCCATAGGTCTGTAGAGAGTAGTTGGTAAAAGTATTTTCAAGGCGATGTGTTTCAACGACTATTGAATCTTCAATCGAACAAGCCGCACTCCCGATATAAGACGTTGAAGAAAGTTCATTTCCTTGGTGTTCTATAGTGAATGCGTTTGTTGAAACCCAAGCATTTCCATCCGGCGTTTCATCGAAGCTTTCAATAACATTCGTTAAATTAACCTGTGAGACAGTATCGCTATACTCATAAGATTGTGTCTCGTGATACTCTGGCCCGTAACGGTCAAAAGAATCTTGATTGTAGATACTATAATCTACATTTATCAGACCAAAATATGATCCGTTGTTGCTGCTACTTGATTGCGTTTGTTGGAAGGTGTTCTGATAATATCGGTCAAATGTGCTATATTGATTAGGGTCGCTTTCCGGATTTATATCGTCAAAAATGTTGGAATTATCTTGATTATTAAGTGGGTGAGCCTCTTGGTTAAAACTGTTTAGATGTTCAAGGGAAATTTCGGGGAAAGGTGGTTCATAGCGATCTTCGTCCGTGAGAACATTCGGGAAGGGAACGTTTAACGGTCTGGGTGATATGGAGCCTTGACATTCTTCAGCCGAATTGGAAGAACTACAATATTCATTCCCACCCGAGTTAATATGCCTTTCAATTTGTATTTGGTCTTTATAATTCTTTATATTGCTGCTTTCTTGACTATTTGGGATTAGTGCACGTGGGTTTTCGCCACCACGTGTAGAATTAACCATACTATCAAACATATTTTTATATTCACATTCACATAGTGATGATGAATTTAAGCCATTATTCGCTTCTTCAATTGTATTTATCTCACCGACATTATGATTTTTTTGAGTCTGTAAAGACTCGCCTAACGGATTCGAGGAGTTCGGCATTACGAAATGATACAAATTCGCTGTATATGATTTAAAGTATGCTTAAGATTAATTCAATCATTCTTAAATCAAAATTTTGCAATAAAATATCGAATTAAAAGTTTTATTAGGGAAAATGTTTCAAAAAAACTTACCGTTATTACTTGGTCTAAAAAACTTACAACTTTCCCGCTTTTTTGAGTAGTCTAAAAACTACTCAACATATTCGTATTATAGACATTCTTTTTTATTCCGAAATTTTTTATCTATAAACTTATATAAGATTTTTTATTTATCGTGAGTGAAAACGATACAAATTGCAAGAAATAAATTCGGAATATGTCAGAAAAAGATTTAATGTCTTAAAATAGGTATTTAGAGGCAAAGATCGAAATTTTAAAATGTTTTTTCAAAATTTTACGAAAATGTCTGTGGGAAAGTCCTTGTCTACAATACAGTTGGCGTAAAGTTTTTTGTTTTCAAGTTATTAAGGGGAAGAATATGATAGCTAGTCAAGAAATGGGTCATAAAACTTGATCCTAGTTAAAACAAGTATCTTTTGATTTTTCTTTATGTTAAAAAAATTTATTATCCGTTTGTTGATCAGTTGTTATATTGAAGAGTTTTCGCTTTAGAGAATACTTTTAATTCTCAGAAATTAACTTTATAGAATGCAATCGAAGGATACAAGATCTATTACATATCAAAAGTGCTCGTATGATTTTTTTCTCATTTTAATAATCTTGACTGTAATTACGCTCAGCGACCTCTAGTGTCGCTTCCATGAGATCAACTCCTTTGGCTTCCTATGCTTGAAACTGGTTGACAGCTCTCTCTAGCCGAAGCAACAACAGTTTTGGGAGAAAGTAAAAAAGATAAAATCAACAAAAGTTCCAAAGGTAAATGATCAATACTTTGTAAAACTAGACTAGTTAACAATTTCTATAAAGGAAAAAAAAAGAACAATAGTAGAAAATAAAAGAATATTTATGTTTGCTTCTACATTTTTTTTCTTTTTTTGTTTTGTTTTGCAGGCAAGTTATAAGTCTATATCACGTTCTTTGTCTTTGGTTACTTTTTGGTTAAGAATTCTGAAACAAAAATGGCGCATGGAAAGCAATCTTCGAAAAAAAAAACTCAAAAAAGGTCTAAAAAAAGAAAAACAATTTATTAAATTAAATATTAGGTTCGTTTAGGAAGGGGAAAATGGCTTTTGTTTATTTAGAAGAATTGATGTAATTCCTCTCCAAAGACAATTATTTATAGTTTCAAGATTTTTCTTTCATTGACGCTAAATATTTAATATTTGTATATTTTATATAAACTATATTTATACATATACTATATCTGGAATGTTTTTTTTAGTAGTAACCTGGAGATGTTCACACGTCCAGTTGAAGCTAGACACTCCAAGTCTAGAAAGTTGGAGAATGCGAAAAGAAGTAGAGAGTCGAATAAAGATTATGGAATCTTTCAATATCTTTTCAGACGTACCTTTGGAAAAAGATTTGAGCAGAATAAGACAAGAGTAAGAATGAATGTAATGTGACGGCCCTAATTCTTCCAAAACAAGGGTATACTTCCGGTATAAAATATTTATATGTAAATTATATAATATAATAATCGATATTTAAAAAAAAGCCTATCGGCTTTTAAATGTATTGATGTTGTTATTTTTTCTTCTATCAATACTCTTACTGTATAGTTTATATAATGGCAATGTGATATATATGATGGAATGATGAGTGGGGATGAAAACAAAAATAACAAACAAACAAACAAATTAATTCACAATTATTAGGCAATACATTCTTTTAAAAGAAAAAATATATATTCATTATTCATTCAAAAAGGAAAAAGAAAGAATCTTTTATAAGTAAAATAATAAACGATAAACAAATATAAGCATCGTTTTATCACTTTTATTTTCTATGTTTCTCTTTATTTTATTATTTCTTTATTTCTTTCTTTCCTTTTGTATCCCTATTTTGTTTTTATCTGTTTTCATTTATCTTTTATTTATATGTTTTGTTTATTTAAAAAAAAAAAGGAAAAAATAAAATAGTAAAGTTATTTTCAAAGGATTCAAATTGCAAAAGAAAAAAGGAAAGGAACAGAGAGAACATACGTAATTAAATTTTTAGAGTGATTGACAGATTTTATATTTGTAGAGCCTATTTATGATTCTATTTTAGATTGTGAGAAAAATCGTGATCTTGACAATGTAAAAATTTTTTCTTCTCATTAGACAATCTAGTTATTTTATGAATATCATAGAAAAACGAATGAAGAAAAGAGAATAGAAGAAAAGATGCTTTTTTTTTAATTATTAAATTTTTTTAAATAACTGATAAAAAGTTCAATTTCCCTGTTTTGGTTTTAATTCTGTAACAACGCCATCTGTAATTCTTATCATATTTACTTATAAAGGGAATAGAGAGAGATGTGTAAAGGTAGTATTAAGAGATATTGAAGAAAATTGATAATACAAAACATTAATCAGTTACTTTTAGCTTCGTACAACTAACTGATTGATTTAGAAAACCATTCTATAAATAGTTTAAAGAGAAAGAGATAAAATTATAAATTAGTTATATACGCAGGGTAAACAATAAATATTAATCTATGGTCAATTAAGAAAAAAAAATTGAAGAATAAACTCTTTTATTTCAATTTCTATGTAAGAGTTGCAAAATAGTTGTTAGCATGTCTATATATATATATAAATTTAGATTTAGTGTATATATATACATTTCATACACTTGGTGTATAATTGAAAATAACGTTTAAAGTGAACTTTGATTAAGGCAAGTTTAAATATAAGATGTTAAGCACCTGACTAGGAATTGCATAAATCTTGGTGTAATTGTTGACATAAAAATACCATTTAGTGTTAGCTTGTAATTCTAGTAATCACTTAATCTTACGTTTTTTTATTTCACGCACACTTTTATATAATTATGTAGTATAGCACAATGGACAAACACGAATATTGTTTTCCTTTTAAGTGGCTCTTTTTTTTTGCAACTTTTACTATACTATTTCATACGGATCTTGATCTTTTTAAGATAAGGAAGGAAGGTTTTTTCTTTTTTTTGCAATGTTCTTCAAATGCCATTTTGACTCGTCCGTTCACAATGAAGCAACGGAAGTGATATACCTGCAGATAGGTGTTAGCTTAAATATCTGTAAGATAAAAAGAAATTTTAGCATCTATTTCATTATTGTTTAGTAGGGGCAAGTTGTCGTTTTGATATTTTATTCTCTTCTTTTTCTTGCTTATTTTTAACGTAAAAGAATGATAAAACTATTTAAGTGTACTTAAAAATGATAACATATTGAACACAAGCTTTTATTGCCTAGTAATACAAACAACTATATACAGAATTGATTGAATGAATGAGAAATTTTTAATCAATGTACGAGAGAGAGATAAAATGTATAAATATAAAATATGAAAACTAACCAAAAAGTGGGCTAAAAATTCTGTCCTGCAAATTTTTACATATTAATCTTTTTTGATGTTTTACTTGTCTTGTAACTAATTTCATTGTTGTAACTAACAAAGGAAGTATATATATATATATATATATATATATATACATGCATGTTGATGTAATGTGTGTAACTAGTTTTATGCTTAAGTAGATGTACTCTAAAATTCATACCGGAAGCAAAAAGTTAGGCTTGTCTATGTCAATGATGGAATAAAAATTGAATGAAAATGAGTTTGTTTTTATTTCCTTTTTCTTTTAAAAGCTAATGTTAGTAGTATCTTAAGAATAGTATTATAAGCAATTTATAGAAAACTTACTTTTTATATAAAACAATAAATTAATTAATTTAAAAAAAAACGTTAACTTGCAAATTTTGCAATAACGCACTTAGTCAAATAAATGAAAATGAAACCACGTACATATTTTTAGAATGTAAAAAACAAGAGAGAAAAACACTAATAAGGTATTTATTTATAAATATAAATGAAAAATATCTTTGTCATTTCATTTTTTCATAGTTATTCTATATCTTTCTTGTCTTAAAAGACCAAGGACATTGCTAATGCAGAAAGAGTTAAAATAAAGTCTTATTAACAATTCTAACAAAAGAACGGATACTTAAATACTTCCAAACAGAACTTCATAAAACATTGTATTTGTATAGACTCTATTAATAGTAACTAGAAGAAAAATGGAACCAAATTATAATCAAGTTTCTTGAGTTTCCGGATAAATAGCTCTAATTATTCACCTAGAAGAAAGAAAATAAGAGATTTTTTTTACTTTGAAAAGAAGTTTCTATAAACATTAAAAAAAAATTTAGTTTCTTGAAAAATGTTGGCATTTCTTCTCTTCTCTTCTCTTCTCTAGGGAAGAGGAAGAGAACTTTTTTCAAAAAAAAAAATATTACATTTTAACCTATATCAAAAATACAATTGAAAAAAAATGAAAAGAAAGATATTGGAAACGATACATTAGATTAAATAAAACTGAGAAGATACATTTTAAACTTGTTCCTTTTCTTTTCTTTTACACAAGCACACATGTGGATTTATTGAGAAAAAAAAACAAGAAAAAAAATAAATAAGGTAGGAAAAAAAAAGAATAAAGGCAAATAATGAAAAATATTTTTATAATTGTTTCCCTTTAACAATGCATCTTATTGTTAAATTATATTATAATTATTATCTTTTGAGAAAGTTTTATCCTTTTTGTTGTTTTATAAATACAAAGTATACATATTTATTGTATACACTGTATATATATACAGTAAATATATCTACAGAATACAGAATATATGTAACAATTACTTAAAGGCGAGCTCTACTCTATTTTTCAACTGCAATTAATGTTATTACCATGCTTTTCCACTATTATTTTGACCTCCGAAAAAACGTTGTGCATTTTTCATTTGATTTCACATAGGAATGTTAACGAAAAACCCTGGATTATGGAATATGATAAAGCTTGAAGAAAACTATTTTCATATTAGAGATAATACAAACGTACATATATATCCGCACGCACCCACGCACGCATATTAAAATTATCATGCATAATCGGTAATAAACTATTTAAAACTATAAATTTATACGGGAAAATGAAATTATACAAGTGGTAAACTACTAATTAGCATGAATTTAAAGTTTTTAATACTATTTTCTTGAGGATATACTAATTGTGTAAAACTATTTGTGTAGGAGAATGTAAGAAAAAAAATGAGAAACAACCAGGAATTATCTCAAAAAGAGACAGACAAAGACATAACATATTATAATTATGACTACGTACACAATTTTTCTCTTGCTTCGTTAGTTTGGGTTATTTTTTTTCTAGAGTGAAAAATAGGATAAAGAATACTATTAAGCTGTAAAGTTGAAGTATATTTAATATATCTTTTCCTGCTTGCTGGGTTTTTCATACTCGTCACTTTTCTTTCTCTTTTTAATAGCTCACTAATAAAGCTAAAAATATATATATATATATATTTAAAAGTGAGAAAAACAACAACAACAACAGTAAAGAGATAATCTTCTGGAATAGGTTTTATTTTCCTTTTTTTAATCATACAAATTTATTATTTTCTTTAGTTTTGACTTGATTTTTTTAAATAGAAAAAAATTGTGTTGATTATGTAAAACTGATGGTTTATCATATTCCTCTCAAGCAATCAGTGAAATAGAATCAAGTCATATTATTTCACTACAACAACGAGTGAATAAACAGTATGTGAAATATTATATCTTTTGCCGGATGTACACCGTTAATATTATGTTAAATATAATGTACAGTGTATAAGATATATCATTTACCGTATGAACGCATAAATGTGAGATTTATCAGTTTTAATTTGTATCATTCTATCTATCTATCTATCCGATTAATGAATTTCTCAATTCTCTACTATATAAATAACAATGTTAAATATATAGATGCTTCACAATTAGAGAATGTTTTCTATACATAGTTTACACCTATTTATTCATACTGTACACTCTTCTCAGAAAATAGCTGTTTACTCGTCCAACACCCTTTCAAAAACTAGCAAAGAGAAGAATATCTAATAATTCTTAGAATTACTTTTATTGAATTACACAAGGTGTTCATTAAACAGAAATATCACTAGCCCCATTATTTTATAGGAAACCAACTCTTAAAAAAAAACACCATTTCTTTTTGCATATAGCCCTAATTAATTTAATTTATCTAGTTTTCTTCGTAAATACTATTCATACATAGCTAGACAACTTAAATTATTGATTATTCTTTCTACATTGGAATAAATCAATTCTTTGATAAGCTATTCTAATGATCAACATGCTATAAATTTATTGAACTTTTATAGAACTTTTACTAGAGTGAATATCTCAACCAATTGAAGTATATTCTATATTTTTCTCTGTAAAATAGTCAACATCTTAATAGAATTATTATGTAATCAAACATTTTTTAAAAGGTTTACTTCTAGCTTACGCTTTTATTGATTCTTTCGTTTTTCGAGTTTTCATCAATTACTAAAAGCTTTTTAGTTAAAAAAAAAAAGCGTCTGGAAAAGGAACCCGTTAAAAAGAACAAGCCTTCTCCTCCAATGGTGATATTTAATGTTCTATTGAAATCTCTCTTATTAGTTATTCGATTCTCTCATGTTCTATTATATTACCACTAACGCCCTCTGGTATCTTTTCCAATAGAATAAATACTATAAAAAGCTAAAAAGAATAGAATGGAACAATTGAATATTGAAGAGAGATAGTTGTAAAACTTCTACAGGTATCACCTAATATATATATTGCGAGAGGAAGAAAGAGAGAATTTCTTATAAATTAAAGAAAATCGTTTCGAAGACGATAATATATTTTACAGTGAAACCAAAAATAGTTAATTATCTTCTGTATGCGTACGGTTTCTTTTAGTCGATGGAACACTCTCTAATCGTATTAGATCACGAAATAAACAAATAGTTTAAGTTGTTCATTGAATGAAATAAGAAAATACTTATTAAAATGGAATAATATAGTATAGAATATAAAATAGGAAATTTCTCCGAAAATCATTGTAAATACGAAATAAAAGAATCTCTTATCTAAATCTAAACAAAAGTATAGCGTTTCTTAATTCTTTTTTCTTTATTATTTTACGTTAATTTTTTCTAATTATAGAACTTTCCTTTATTTTTACAAATAATGGAAATAACTAATAAAATTCCTTTGACTGGTAAATGGCAAACCGACGATAAGCTCAAGGTCTTTTTCCCTGTAGTTGTCCTAATTTGCAAATTTCCATTTAAAAATCCATGGTTCTTCTATATTATTAGAAGAGGACAATAGCCTCTTATTGAAAGCTACCAGAAGTAGAATAAGAAATAGGCAAATACCTCCATAGTTCACCTAATTTATAAATTGGGAATATACGTTATATTCTATTGGGTATTTAGAAAAGAAGGATAGATGGATGGATGGATGAATAGATGAATGAATGAATGAATGCACGTTTGAATTAATGGTCGGATTAAAAGTTTTATAGAACATTGCAGAAAATATCAAAAGAATAAAATCTGATATTCTATTTAAATTATGGATAATTGCTAACCAAGTTCAACAAACTCAACCTTGTTTAGATATAAAAATTATTAAAAGAGAAAAAGACGTTACTATATCATACGATGATCGTTAAATGGAAAACATTCATAAATAGACCAAAATACAGCTTGTTTACTTTTAATGGGTTCTTTTTTTGAAAGTGTGACGTCATGTGTTCTTATAAGTTGAATATTCATTTAACAGAACGTGTCTCAGCTATTAGTAACTTTCTCACCACGTTTTTAATTAATCTTTGACATTTAGTGCTATCTCAAGTGTGGATTATGTTTAACCCTAGATTTTTTTTATTGGGATACGGAGAAAAGCCGAGTTCAGTTGCCTCTCCAATGACAAAATTGTCTCTGCCTAGAAAAAGATGAAAGTAAATTATTTTCTTCTTCGTACCACGTAGGATGAAAGAGATGATTTGCGTTGAGTTTAGCAAGTATACATAATTAACTTCTCGTCAAAATGACAATATCATAAAATTGAAGAAGAATAAATGAATTTCATATTATAATATAGCTTTTCAAAAGGTTTCTCTCAGTTGACGATTCAAGGATATTCATGAATGAAATATCACAGTAGATGGAAACAATTTAAAAGATTTTCCATTATTATTAGCATTCTGATGAGTGAGAATATGAGGAAGAGAAAAAAATGCATCTTCTAAGTACATACATATTGATGATCTATTTTTAAAAAAAGAAAGCACACCCTAGAACATCTGCTGCCCAGATTAAAAAAATCATCTTATCATTTAACTAAGAATTATACATAAAAGAAAACCGGAAGTTGAATACTTTGTTATTAGTTTAATTAGTTTTACATAAATATATATTTAGTATAACAGTTTTCCTCATTCTCCTATACTATACAGTATAATTTAGATAGTATATTTTTAGAACTTATCAAGCAATAGAGGTGACCTTGAAAATATTGATTGTAGTTGTAAGTTCAAGGAAAAGATTTCAATTGAATAATTACTAGGAAAAAGACACATCTGTACTTTGAATTGATAGATGATGAAAAAAGTGCGTTACTTTATATAGTCTATAAGTTTGTCACGAGTATCAAATGTTAATATTTAAAGATATTGATATGCCTATTCATTTTTCTTTTGCTTTTTTGAATATCTGATGGATTATGTGTTATTCAATTTGCTCTGTCCCTATACAATAAAAACAAATAGAATTTATATCCTCAACTGCATTTATTTTAGGATGATAAGCAAAAGAATAATAGATGGAGCGACTGTACGGGCTATGAGATGAGAAAAGGGAGAGAAAGAAAGACAGAGAGAGGGAGAGAGAGGGGAGGGGGAAAAGGGATTTATTATAAATTGTATAATGTACATATTTATGTCTAGACAGAAAAGGAGAGGTGAAAAAACTTTTAAGATTATTACGCAGGATTGTATGCATATGCATATATGCTATAGAGTTGCCCTATATAAATTGTATATACAGTATAAGTATAATACTTATTGTATAATCATTACTATATTGTTTATTAAAATAATAAAGAATCTCTCTCCCTCTCTCCCTTTCTCTCTGTTTTTCTTTTTAATCGATAAATGAAATATCTCTTAATTTATCCTAACGCCATCTGGATTTTTTTAACTATTTTACTTCTATATTGTTATCTTTTGTGCATACTTTTCTATTGATACTTAATTAATAATTCGTTGTCTCTTTTTTTTTGTTATTGTTACTATCATTTCATAACAATTCGTTTAATATGAAACTAATGAAAATATACTGCATATCCGTACTCATTGACCTCATTTTGAACAAGAGAATAACAAACAAATTACAAAAATGTCATCCAATTTATGGGCAATAAGGATTTATTTACTTAAAATTTTCGACAGCGTCCTTTATTATAATTTTCCATAAATGTAAATGAAACTAATTTCTAATTTGTGTATATTTGAGTTTATATGCATAGAAAATATTTGAGATTTAACGCTTTTCAACAAACATAAGGGAGAATATAAGTAAAAAGAGGGAGAAAGAAAGAGAAAGAAAGAAAAAACGCTGAGTAATTAACGAGCAGAGCTTATCAATTTCTTTCTTGAAAATTACAAGTTTCTTCTCTCGGCGGTTATTGACTTTACGTATAAGAAAAGATGTTATGTTTTGTTTGTATTTTTTTTTTGTCTTATTTCTCATAATTACTACTTTCATTTTCTAGATAATCTTTTACATTTTTCCTTTCATTGCTTTTTTTTCTTCTATCTTTCTTTATTTTTTATGAATTATCTACTTCATTGCTTTTTTTTAAAAAGAATAAACGTTTACGAAGAAGCCTACATTCTCACAGCCGTGACCAGAAATTACAGGATCAGATGAATTGAATTGAAACTTGATGATAAAATTTCTTATATATACAGTATATGTACTCTACTTAGAGGTTATTAACGTATTCTCATTTTCTCCGTATCGGTTATTAGCCTACTATTTCTCTTTTTTTTTCTTAATTTTAATGAGAGCGATAAGAATTTTGTATTATTTTCCTTTAATTACAAACATTTATTGTTAATTGATAATTTCACAACAAAGAAAGAAACACAGAGAGATGTCTTTTTTTAAACAAACATTGAAAAAAAAGAAGACATTAGATAAAAGATTATTTATAGTACATTTTACTTGGCTGAGTTTATTTTTGAAAATTTGAAGACAAACAATCATAGTGAAAGGGTAGACTACAAAATTTTTAACAGCTATTGATTTCGTTTGAAATCGTTTTAGTAACCACAGATGCACGTTCTCATGAGTGCCTGGTAGCTAGAGACTTCCCACAATTGGGGCAGAGAGCCTTTTTGATACCCACATGTACTGTGGAAATATGACGTCTAAGAGATTGAACCCACTTGAATGATTTTTTGCAGAGTCGGCAATCAAAAGTTTTTTCAGTTGAATGAACGATTTGATGAGCCTTTACCACAGAGGGTGCTGATTTATATGGACAAAGCTCGCATTTTACTATTCCAGGTTTCAACGGCTTTTCTAGTTTGATGACTGATACACAGTCGTGTGGGTAAGGTTCATCCATCCATGGGCAGACTCCAAGACCTTTATAATCTTTCTTCACTCTTTTAGGTATACCGCTTCCATATGATAAGGTCTGCTTTTCCGTTAAATACGATTCAGCCAGCGAGTTGTCAGCATCATTCAAAGTTATAATGGGAATATTAAACTTCTCGTTTCTCCGACTCTCAATGCTGGAATCATTGAAAACCCTTGAACTAAAATCCTTTGGAATTGACTTTTCATCAGAGCCTGGCATTTTACCATCAAAGTAAATTCGATAAGTAAACTACACAAATGTTGTAGGTGGCGCAATAGGACTTCTTTCTAGACGAATAAGCGTCTCTTTACTAATGGACAAATTTGAAAATATATTTTGATTTGTCAAGGTAATATTTTCAATGTTCTTTGATAATGAGTTATTTTTCGACAGTCACATCAATCAGAGTTGAAACTTCAATTTTTAAAGAAAACGAATCTTTTTACAATGTAACAAATTGTTACCATAATTATCACTGCAAGGCCACTAAGCGGCTAGAGATAAAAAGATAATCATTGGCATCTACTTTTAAAAATTTCTTGGAAAATCTGTTTTTTGTTATTTTTATAAAATGGTGCTAATCTATGCATCGCCCTGCTTCCATTTACGTTAAAATAAATGTATTGTTCATTTTAGCAAATGAAAAAAAAACAAAATAATAAATATTGCAATTTGTTTTTTTTTCGTACAGGAAATAAGGTTAATTTATATATTTATAGCCTAACTTACAAAGAGTAAAAGAAAGTAGGCTTTAATATCATTGCATAGAGACAATGTATTTTGGGAAGTTAGATACGATTTTCAGAAAATTCTACCCTAGCATTGGAAAGCGGTTTTAAATTTCTGATTTTTTTTATCTAGGCGAAACTTTCTACTCCAAAGAGCTTGATAAATTCCCCTCCAATGACAAACATTTATTAGCAATAATTTAGAGCAATCCAGTTTACATTATGAAAAAAATTTCCTTACAATAAAGAACACCTCAACACTATTAAGGAATCTTTAAGGAAAACAACATGATATGTAAGGCTGACAAAATATGTAGGTTTACAAATATAACATATACATGTTTACTCGATGCAGTTAATACAAAAGTACATTAATATTAATACAGTCAGGCTTCAGAAGTTGAATCAGGTTCAATTGTTTGCGGGGAACTTATTGGGGGCAAGCGGGGAATATATTTCAAAATCTTATAAAAGTCGTTAGATGATTCCAGTGCCTCTATTATGTATAAGTGTTCAGGTCTTTTTGTCCAAACCCTTCCATCAATATCGACCAATTTACCTAATATTAGCAAACTGAAGAGAGTTGTATCAATTTCTTTATATTTCCTTTCAGCCAAATTTAGATGAAATATTGTGGCAGGATCTTTCAATCCACTTTCGCTGAGAGAATACAGCGTCTGAACCATAAAATGGAGGTCAGGACAAGAACAATTTAAATTTATGGATGAAAATCGTCCATCTTTGAAACTTTCAAAGAAAGTTTTCTTTATCTCCTCAATAAACAACGACTTTCCACTTTTTGTTTTTGACGAAATGACCAATCGAACAGTTGATTGGTTTTGGTCTAAAGACGCAGCAGACTCGGATAAATCAGTCGATACTTTCAACGCAATTTCCAGCTTATTTCTAATAGTTCCCAAATCAAGAACAGAAAGCGAAGCCGAATTTATTTTGAAATTGGCTAAATCTCTAATTAATTTGCACTCTTGATCATTTCTTGAACGGCAAAATATAGTTATTTTCATTTCATCTACAGTAAAGATTAAAAAATAGTAGGATTAACATTTAGCAAACATTTAGCTTACCAGATTCACCAGTTTCGTGCAATTTCTTAAACATTTTTTCGAGAACTTCGGCAGATTCAGAACTCAGCCTCTCCGAATTAACAAACGAATATAAGCGTTTAGAATCAAATGCAGCTTTTCTGTACATAAGTTCTATAGCTTCTGGTGTTGTTCTATCAGAGCATAATAAGACTTGCGAAGCGGTTGGACATTCAGAGTTATCACCGGCAAAGTAAATGCTAAAAAAAATCTGCCATATATCGTCCATAGGACTTAATACGATTAAGTTGGGCGAGCCTACAGCCAACGGCGAGGGCATGTCGAAATCTGTAAAGTTTGGAGTTATTTGTATTTCCCGAAGGATAACTCCTAAATGGTCAAAACTGAGAATGTCGTGGGTCTCATAAGTGCCCTTAGAAAAATGTCGCCATAATTCCTTAAGAGTAAATCCCATAGACCTATCGAAGAAAGATTATTTGTTTTAGGAGACAAATAAAAGCTTGATATATACTTACATTTGAGCATACTTCTCATACTTCATAACTTTCAGAAGTGTACTTTTCTTCGAATCCATACTCTTCGTCTTTCGGAGTAGATTAGCACATTTCAGTTCGATAAATTGGTTTTCGAAGGATTTATTCAATTTTCCTTTCTTTTTTTTCTTTTTTTTAATCGTCTTTTTAGAAGCAGCAACAGTAGTATCGTTTTTACTCTTGTCATTTTCCATACAGTAAATTATTGCCATATCGGTTGCATCTTCTAAGTCGAAAATAGTAATAAACTTTTCAGCTGCAACTGAGACGAGTTCCTCTGCATAACCGATACCTAAAAGTTCCTCACGAATACTAGCTCTTCGAATGTCTTTGTCTAGCTCAGATAGTTCTTCATCAGATACATGTTTATCAACAGTCACATGAGCTTTTTTCATCAATCTCAATTTCTCATATGCGACCGATGCCTCCGTAACGCCCTTTCGTATATCCGACTCTGAACAATCGTAAAGAAGACTGAGCATATTTGTCAATTCTCTATCTATGTTTGCAATTTCAGGGTGTGTCCAGATTAAAGCAAACCTTTTCCTTAGATAAAAAAGTTGAAGGGCTGTGAAAAAATTTAATAATTGGTACTGAGAACGTTTATAATCGATAATGTCAGTCCATTCCACAAGAGTATTATCGAGCTCCTCACAGACATCGACAACATGCTCTAAAAGTGTAACATTTGGTTTTCCTGTGAGAATTATCGGTACTCCAAAATTAAGAGTCATATTGAAGTTGCCTCTAGCCTTCTCAAATAGAGTAAATTTACAATCGCTATAAAGTAAATTTCCACTATCATGTAAATCTTTCAATGCGCTGGCTAAATAAGACATTGCCTCCAACAGTGAAACAAAATGATGACCCATCTCATTATCATTTTTGATTTCATAGTTATTAACTAACATAAGCAAATCTCTTAGCCCATTCATTTCAGTCAAATTTAAAGTTCGACGTGTTTCATCTTCTATAGTAAGACCAACAGCTTTCGAGGGATTTGTATCTTTGCACGTTGAAATTTCATAAATAGACAATTTATTGATGTCTTTAACGTTTTGTTGAATTAGGATTTCAATAGTTCTGAAAGATTCTTGAAGCTCTCTAACCCATTCTAATTGTTGATCAACATTTGGAAAACTTGTGATTATTGTATCGTCTATTTTAACTGTTAGCCATATCGGCTCAACGGTTTCATCCACTAAATCATCACTTTCCTCAAGTTCTTGAATTAACGGAGTATATTCAAAAACAGCTTCGTAGAAAGCCGAAATTTTTTCAATAGCAAGAGTACACGGATCAGACATAAGCGATAAATCCACAATTTCTTTTATCAATGTAAGCGACGGGATATTGATGTTAAGCCAAACCACGAATTCCCTGAATTTTTGAAGAACATCTAGAGTATTGGTTTGCTTTCTGGATGTATTCTGCAGCCAACGTTGAAGGTCTACAACATCTGGAGAGATACCAAATATCCTACAATCTTTATCCTTTACCTGAAATGAAATACACTTATAGAACCAATAATATACAGCTATGTAGCTAATCACATTGAAATATTCCTTGGTAATGTTGAAATCACCCAACAGCTCATATGCCTCCCTTATTAGTAGAAAAACCCTTCCAGCTTCTGTGGATTTTTCAAGACTAGCGAAGAGATTCAATTGATCTATCCTAGTCAAAATAATGTCACTATTAGATGTCTTGGTTATCCTCATCGCAAGCTCAAATTCTTTTTGTGCCAGTAGAATGTCTTTGTTGACTAGATCGATCATGTCGTCCATGTCATTAAATGTTAGATTACCAGTGTAGAAATTTTCCGCCCATCGACTATATTTCTCTGGTGATTCATCGGATCCCTGTTCTATACGATTGATCTTTTTTTTAACCTTTTCATAAAATATTTTAAGAAATCCTTGATATCTAGGGTTTTCACTAAGCTTTGTGCACTTTTCCATTATCTTTACAATTCCAGGACTGAAAGTTGTTGTCTTTAATTTTACACGACTATTTCTATTTTCCAGTTGCCTTGGGAAACAAAAGTCCGAGAAAATAAGGTGTGGCGAGAGTATAAAATCCATAGGTAACTTGATTTCTATTAAAAAAAAATTATCAACATGATCGACAAAAGTTAAATAGAAACATTTATTTACTTATATTTGACATCTCTAGCACTTTGTCAAACCCGTTCAAGCTATGGATTTTAGCCTTAAATGTAGTCCATTCTTCATCTCTAAGTGACATTACTCGTACAACTGTTTTAATTTGGAACATTGATAAAGATAAGTCAGTACAACGACTTAGTTGACCAGCTTTTTGAATTTCCATAAGCACTATTGAGAGAAAAGGTGAATTCGAAACGTCTTGAAAAACTCCGACAGAAATTGAACCATCGTATATTTTTTTAATGACTCTTATTGCTGTAGAAAGAAGACCATTCATGATTCCTTTGAAAAGATTTTGCGTCTCCGATGGTTGATCTTGCTTTAAATTTCTGTAGAAAGAAAGATAATGCGGAAAGCATGGCCACATATAAAGGTGTTTCATCAGCCGCTCACAGCTTTTAGGTAAAGTTTTACGAAGAGCGAAAGTTAAAACTTGAATATATCGATCAACATTGGCATATGCTATGCGGAAGAGGTTATTAGGAGTATTTTGCAATAGATAATCTAGAGCTTTAAACGATTCTTCATTGAAAATTTCTTCGACATCCTTGTGATAATAAGAAAATTCCGAACAACAGTATACTTCTATGACGGCTTCAGGTGTAGATCGAAAAATCTAAAAAAATAAACAAACAGTACAATATTTTACTAATTTGTTTATAAGTCATCGTCTAAGCGAAGAGAATCTGTTTTTATCTAATAAGATGTACTTACACCGATTCTGCTTGCAATATGAAATTTAATAAATCTAGAAAACTTCTCATATACATATCCATTTTGTGGGCATGTTCTAAGCAGGTTAGAGTAGAAACCCAATTCTCTAGCTTCTTTCATAATAAAAGCATTTGGATCTTTGAAGAAGATATCTAGTGAGAAGCAAGCGTTCATCCATCTTCCGATGTAATCTTCCAAGCGATCAACTAATTTTTCCAAAATCTTTTGCGAGGGTTCTCTCATTGGAAATGAAAATCCAGACAAAACTTGAAGATTGAATGACACAAGAGACTGAAATAACTCAACGCTATCCAATTTCTTTCCATCCCAATGATATAAGTTTCCAATTTGTTTTTGGACTACTTTGAGGGAGTCAAGTGCAATTTCACTCATGATAAACCAGTCGCGGTCAGTCAACAGTTTTCTGTCATGAAGAATAATACATACTATATTACAAATTGAGCAGATTTTAAATTGAATGTCTTACGATTCTTTCAAATCTTTAACTCGAATTGGTAGAACGTAATGTATAGCATGTAGAAGGCCTGAGAGACTCTATAAATTCCGTAGTTTAATTATTATTATATTATATTATATTATATAGATTAACAGACCCTGTAAATTCTTTCATTTTGCTGTAAATTAATAAACATTCTTATCCAAAAGCAAAGCGAGGCGAGCATAATTTCCGGACGAATAGTAGCACTTATAAAAATCTTGGGTAAAAAATGCATAGGTCGAGTTGCAATAAACATACAACAGGAATGTAAATCAGACTCGAGGCTCATTCTAAAATTGTCTGATAACTCCAAAGAGCTTTAAAAATGCATTTATTTAGCAATGTATTAGTTAAACAAAACAATAACTTACCGATTGGGGCCTAGCTCACAAATCCTTTGTTTTACTTTTGTCATTAACTCATAGCACCAATCAATATCCCACCACTTTCGTTCACGATGTTTGAAATCGAAACATTTTCCTCGACTTATGTTTATTCCTCTAACTAAATAGTTATATAATGGCATAACAAAAACCCAACTGTCGCAAAGAGCCTCGTTTTTGGACTCTACGCACATATTCAATAGCTTTTCCATTGATCTAAAACATTTCTTATCAGTAAAAGTAAATTTAAAGGGATTTTATTCTACTAACCGGTCAATAAATTTCAAACTTCCACTGAAGTTATCTCGAAGCAACTCCAAAATATAGCCCAGATCTTTAGTACTTTCCAAGGCTAGTAATTCTAGCGGAGCAATTTCAAGGCTCAAATCAAACTCAACAACCAGCACACAGGAGACTACAGCACAACATATTCTATCAATAACGTTTTGGGGATCTGCATTATTTATATCATTTTCAATCGTCAATCTACAAAGAGTAATATAGTTTCGCAAAACCTAAAATAAATTGAAGACTTTTAGTAAAATACAGATATCTATTTCGAAAAGACGTACTTCTTTGACCAGTTCCTTCTCATCTGCATGATGTCCATAAGTTTTCAAAGACGAGTGAATAGTATTTAAGAACTGAGAAGCTTTACGAAAGCAGAATTTTTCATTTACTCCTTCAAAGTGTTTGTACTTTGGCATAAAATAGCAGATCCCTATTGAAGAGTATGCTTTAATAAAAAGAAACAACTTTCATTAGGATATACTGATAGCCTACCCATGCTAGTAATCTCCTTGATTGACTGGTTGGAGAAAATTTCCTTGTGCCTCGAGATAACTTCAGTGATCAACAGCTCCTTAGACTGAGGGTATAAGAAGCCATCGAAAACAACAAGACCTGAAAAGGATTCAAAGTTCATTAAACATATTTTAAGTAAGATATGACTTACAATTATTATGGGAAAAATCCTCCAAATCAGTCTTCGTACAGAATCTGTTACATCCATTATGTTTATGAAAGTCAACAAAATCTTCATAATCAGTTTCGCTGATTATTCCATTCTCCTCAATTCCATATTTGTATTCAAGGAAATTAATTACTAAATCTTTGGGAAGCAGAATTTCTACTCTACCCAAACAGAGGTCCAAGGGAAATGGCCTATGATTTGTATATAGGATTATCAGATTATTCGTTTTAGCTTACATTAATACATACTGGTATATTTCGACGTCGTAATGAAATTCCCCAAGATATTCTTGAACTTCGTTATAAAAAGTTATACACAGCTTTCTATCATTGCCGATACCAAATAAACTTTTACATAATACGGAGTAAAATATTATTTTGAGAGTGTTGTCATCCACTGGTTCTTCTACAATGTCTTCAGTGAATTTTACAGAGCGCCTCTTCCTCCTATCTCTCCTTGAAATTATAAAATTTTTATTTTATTGCAATTTGTTAAATCCAGAACTTACTTCTTTTTCGGACGATCTACTGACGATTCATGACCTGTTTCTCCTTTCTTCTGCAATTTATAAATTAAAAGAAATAAATGCCATATATATGCCAAAAATTTGTCTTACCTCTTCGTTAGATAAATTATCGAATATTCGTAATATTTCTTCTCTAGCGAATATATCTTCGATATTTTGCATCATTTTAGCTAGTGAAAGTCGGGGCGCAACTTTATTTTCTATAGAAGCTTTGCTCTGTGATTTACGAGCAATAAATGGTGTGATCGTTCGCAACTTTTCTTGTGATAACTTTTCATCTTGAAGCTTTTTAGTAAGGCGATTAATTTCAAAAATTCGTTGACATTCATCCTCTTCGTGTGTCTGATCTTCCACTCTCTCTTCATTTAGCTCAAAAGAAATCTCGGGCTCATTAGAACACTCCAAGCTCTCGTCTCCATTTTCGTCTTCATCCATTGGAGATGCCGTAGCTATTACCTGTTCTATCTCACTATCTGAAATAGCAATCTTTTCGACTGTTGAACAAATATCTTGTATTTTCTGTGCAGCTGTAGGTGTATATCCGGTGTTTTCGCATTCGCTTGACCTTACACCCATGAACATTTCTTCTGAAGGAGAGATAACGAAACATTTGTCGCAATTCTCTATATCTAAGTTATCATTCGAAGCAGTATCAGATGGCTCAAGAAGCGCTTTTAAGAAAATATTGTCTAACGAGTTTGTTTTGCCCATCGATTCATCAAGCGTTAAATCAATAATTCTTTTATCTAATACTTGGATCATTTTTTCGTGGAACTGTTTTGTGTTGGCCACTAATGCTGCTGTGAAATGTTCACGTTTTTTAGTTTTTTTAGACGTCGAATCATTTTCAAGTGATTGGAGCTCCTTTTTACTTTCTTCTTCTAGTCTAGCCAAGTGTTCCTTTTTAAAATCCTCATGTTGTTTTATATAATTTAGAAGCATTTCAGAAGAAATTCTATCAGCTCCCCCACTGTTTGTCAACAATTGGATACATTGCTCTTTGGACATTTCTGCTATTTCCCGATCTAATAGCACAGAATTCATTTCAGATGAGGTTTTCGACTTTTTCAGACTTTGATCACCTGATGATAGACTGTTACATTCAGCACGACTTCTCTCCACTATTTGGCCATGTTCGTCAACAACACCAACTTTAGTCATTCGAAATCTGTCACTTAATCGTTTTTTGTCTAAATGAAACTTATTTGGTTTAAGAGTCTCTCTTTTCGAATTTTCATTATTTGTTGGAGAATCAGAAATTTTGACCGAGTCGGTGAAATTCGAGTTTACTTGAACAGCAGTGCTTTTCTCTTCACATTGAGAATTATTTGATGACTTCATATTAGTTTCGTTCAAGCTGGATTTAGAAGTTTTTCCTGTTTTAGCTGCTCTCTTACTACATTCAACTGTAGAGTTTGTATCAATCTTTGGGTTAGACTTCTCTGAAGGACCAGTCTCTGCATCTATTTCAAAAAAATTTTCATGTGATACATTTATGGGATTAGTATTAGAAGTAGTCTTAGAGTCTAAAAAATTTATCTCGCATTTTTGACAATTCGCTTTGTCTGGTATAATTTTACTTTCAGTGTCAATTTCAGTATTTACTAATGAGCTTTTTAACAAGTTTGAAAGTGATATTTTGCGAATTGTCGAAGCGACAGATTCAGTTTTGCAGTCTAAGCTACTTAATTTAGGAAGGGTCAAGATACCAGTGGTCGCTTCTTCGTCAATTGCCGTTTTTTCTAATATCTTCGTGGCGGTTGAATTCTGCGATGTTCTTTGGACCATTTTCTCTTTCGATATATTCATTTCATTTCCAGACATATTTGTTGAAGGTTTTGATATTTGTAATATTCTTTCAACAACTTCAGTTTCGATTTTCAAGTTATTTGAATTCTCTTTATGGTTGCTTAAATTCTCATATTCTGAGTCAACCGCAGTACAATGAGACGAGTTTGGGGCAGCTGGTTCAATCATGTCGGGTATTTTAGGTGCAACACTTTCAACTTTAATTTCGGATGCATCTGATCTGTTTTTGGAAATGTTAGCAAAGTCTCTCTCAGAAATAATCATAGAAGTGCATGTGAGTTCATTTTCGGAATTAGTCACAGAATCTTCGAGTTCAATGCTGGAATTACTTGCTGTGTTTACCACATCAAGTTCAACATTTTCAGATTCGAGTTTAAATTTAGTTTTATTCTCTTTGAGAACGTTTGTAATTTCGTTTTCCATATCACTTGTAAAATCTTGTGAGACTGTTGTAGAACTTTCAGTTATTTCAGTTTTGGCATTTTCAATTTCGGTACTAAATTCTTCTGTATTCCTTTTGGCGTTGTCGAAGTTCTCAGAATCAATTTTAATATCTTGTGATAAATTTACAGTACCAGCTTCCAAACTATTCGTTCCCATCTTTGAATCATCTATAGTATCTTCAGAAGCGCACGAAAAAAATTCATTTTCGGAACTAGTTATAGAATCATCAGATGTGCTTGTTGTAGTGCTTTCAGACGTATCAGTAGTAACTTTTTCAATTTCAATTCTATTATCTACTGCATTCTCTTCAGAATTGTACACCATTACACTTCCATCTGAATACTCTTTGGAAACGTCTGCAATTCCATCGTCGCAATCAATTGTAGTCTCTTCCGATAAGTTTGTTGAAGTACTTTCAATGCATTCAGTTTTAAGTTTTGAGTCTTCGGTATTCTCTATCGAAGTGCCTACCAGCTCATTTTCTGGGTTATTCATAGAGTCTTGTGATGCACCTATACAAGCAACTTCAACTTTTTTAGATATGTTATTCTTAGTTTCCTTTCGCAAGTCAGTTGAATTCTCTTTTTGATCGCTTAAAGATTCATTTTTCGAGTCAATTAAGTCTGAAGAGGTGTTTAAAATAATATTTTCAACTTTAAAGTCTTTTACATTCTCTTCAGAATCTCGTGAAGTGCTTGCCTCAACACTTTCATTGCTTTTGGCCTTAAGCTCATTTCCACTCTCTTTGTTTTTCAAAACTCTTGAAATTTTATTTTCATAATTAGCTGTATCATCTTTCGATATATTTATTGCAGCAACTTCAACAGGCTCAGTTTCAATTTTCAGGTCTTGTGAATTCTCTTCCGAAACACACACAATTTCATTTTCGAAATTTGTCATAGAGTTTTCAGGTCTATAGAACACACCAGTATCAACTTTTAATTCATTTTCATTATCGGAATCATTTTTAGAATATTTCGATGTATTTCTTTCAGTAGTCTCAATATTTACAGTTTCATTGTTCAAATCTACTTCTCTAAAGGAGCATGTAAGTTTATTTTCGGAGTCGGCTTTTGAATCTTGCGACGCGTTTGCAGCAGTATTTTCATCTGTTGTTGAAGTTTCGGATGTTAGCGCTGTTGCACTAGCAATTTTAATTGTAGTGGTTTCATTTTCTGTTCTCAGGTTAGAAGTTCCAATCTCCTTGGAATTCAGAGGAAGACGATTTTCCAGATCATTTGCTGAATTTCGTGAAAAATTTCCGTTAATTGTTTCAATGGTTCCAGTTGCAATGATTTCAATCGGAAATTTTTGTATCTCAGCATTGATTATCATATTTTTCGTCATTTTTATCATTGCAACTTTGCCAGTTTCAACAGCGAGTTTTAAATCGCTTAATTTCTTATCTCCAGTATCCAGGCTGCCTCTAATTACTGCTGCTTGTAACATGTCTGAGGCACGTGTAGTTATAATTTCAAATGGAGAAGTGCCAGTCAAAGGCGTTCTTCCCACATTTACATCGACAGTTTCGTTATCTATCATTTCAATGTCATCAATTTCAGGAGCTGGTTCAATTGGTATCAAAATTTTATTCGATTTTTCTACCGAATTTTCATTGGTCAACCCAGAAATCGAAGCCAAAGTCATCTCGATAATTGGTATAATTATGTCATTAGCTTCTTTGCTTCTTTTCGCCTTGCAATTTTCATTCGGCTGTCTGTTCCTTTTGACGGTATTTCTAGTTTGAACTTGCTCATAGTCTCTTGAGTTGTTTGGAATTATTGAAGTTCTATCTGACTTGATACCCTTCGCTTGTATCTTACGTCTTGTCTCCATTTCTGGCCAATTGTTTTTACTTCTTTGAAGTCCTCCGACCGGAACTACTTTTGAAAAAGTTCCAGCTGTAATATTGAAAAATGGCATTACTCAATAAATTTTTAAAGTTAAATTATTACGTACATGAAGATAATGTTCTAGGCCTCGAATATTCTCCTCTCACCACCGAACCTACAGCTGTAAATATGATAATATTAAATTACTGATAAATGACCTTACGCAATGACCAACCTTTAGCGCAGAATGGGCAGAAATTTATATTTAAAGGGAAGGCAGAGTTATCAGCTCCGCACCCTGTGCAGTCCTTCATTGGCCTCCTTGAAATTTGGGTCTTCTTTCAGAACGTTCGCGAAGAACAAAAGCACGTGTTTCGGAATATAAAGCTGACGTCAAAATTGTCGTTAAAACTTTTCAAAAGCTCTATACCTGTAAGAATAAAAGAGATAACTTTTTATGTATTGTTCAAGTTAAACTAAAAACGCTTTCTAGTTTTCAAAAAAAAAAAATAGTTCAACAAACGTTATACTCTTGAGTTCAGTACACGAATGAAAGACGTTGTGTCACTTGCAGACCGGTATGGTTAACCGGTAGATGGAGCACAGGAAGTTTAAAAGCGGAAATGGTAATAAGCGGGAAAATTTCAAGTTTATTAATATGAAATGTCGTAAACTATAATAAAACTGTTTTAAAGTTGATAGTTAAGAAGCTGAAAAGAAGTTTATCACTAAAAACTATTTTTTTAAGACAAAAAGGCAAGATAGGATAGTTATTAATGTACAAATTTATCAGAATCGAAACTGTTTAATTTAATTCTTGAGTAGTAAAATAATAAGTTGTGAAGTAAAGTGGTAAACTGGTAATTATGGAATAATACCAACAAATACATATCATAAATGGTTTAAATCTGATCTAAGTAATGCGATACTTATGCAAGGTAAACCTATAATAGGATGGGGAAATAAATAGTTGTAATGGTAGAGATCAAAATTAGAATTTTTATTAAGAATATTTATATCTGCAAATTTGCTTATAGATTTTATTATCTTCTGTGATATAAATATTGAAACTTATTACATTTTTTCGCTTATAATACATAGGATTTCGTCAATAAAAGGTCCCTTTTAGGGATGACCAAGAAATTTTTCCTAACCAATAATATTTCTGCAACTTTTACAGAATTCAGTCGGATATTATATATAGTGCAAAGCAGATACATGCGAGAGAAGCGACACCTATGCAACATAAAAGTCGACGAAGGTGTTAGAGCATCTAGTCGCTCTCGTGAATGGCTAACGGAAGTCGGGAAAAGATAACAATCGTCGTATTGGGAGCGTCAGGCGTTGGAAAGACATCACTAATAGAGCAATTTTCTAAACAATGCTTCAATGACTGTTATTCACCTACAAGACAGCGTAGTGCTTACTTTGTAAATGTGCTAATAAATGACCGATTACACGATGTTCAAATAATTGATCTACCTACGTTGGTTAATTTTCCAAAAGACGGTGCCTACGAAAAGGATTATAAAAATTTAAGAGATGCCTCAGCCTATATATTAGTGTTCGATTGCTCATCGGAAAAGACTTTTTTGTATGTTTCGAAAATTCGAAAGCAGATACAACAATGGTCAAAAACCGTCCGTCGTGAAGCACCACCAATTGCCGTTGTTGGTAATAAATATGATGTAGCTGGTATGTCGGCAGCTTTACGAAAAGAATACGCAAATCTAATAAGAAAGCAATGGAAATGTGGTTATTATGAAACGTCAGCCAAGTTTAATTGGCATGTCGTATTAGTTTTTAAAGAGCTCTTTGTACAAATGGACCAGAACTCTAATAAGAATGCTTCAGTTAAACTGAATGGTACTTTCCGGACGAGTAAATGTACGATTTTGTAAGACGAAATGGTATGATTTTAGAAATACTTGACTGTTAAACAGCTTAGGGATAAACAGTATATAAAAAAAATTACAATTCCATCACATTTTCCTTTATTAAAAAGTAACAGTTTATAAATTTAACGCAAACTTAATTGATCGTGTAACAGATGTATATTTATGTATGAAAAAATAAATTATGGCTTATTCTTAACATATATAAATATATTAAGTATATATATTAGTATATACATATAAATTTATATGTATAAATATATATATATATATACTGTATATATACTAATATATTTTAATATTTATATATAAAAATTCATGATGCCAGTCATGGCAAACGAGATAAGCTCGCAATAAAAATCAATGTACAAACTAATTTCAAATGAGATATCAAATTAATTTTTACCTATTTTTAATAGAAGAAAAAAGTAAAAACGGCATTTTCTATGTCAGTTACTGCAAGAAGGCTTGTAAACAAATCATCCCTCGCCAACCATAAATGTCAGGACCTTTTTCGCGTGCAGTTAATGAAGGAGTGGAGGGGGAGCCAGTTCGATCCAGCGTGATAGTAATTATAATGTACTTATACTGACAAACCATTCATTAGCTTCAGTTGGCACACCGATTCTCTGAAATCTTTCTGTAATCGATGAGCGCTTAATTAGAAAACGGGTTACTTCCCTTTTCCTCCTCTTTTTTATTTGATAAACGGTGCCAAAAAAAAAATGAAAACGATAATTCCATTTCTATTCTATGTCTTTATTTTCTTTTTTTCGATGTTGGCGGTCGTGAAATGGATCAATCTTCTCGATCTAGACAGATCGATTATCATATATGTCTACAAATTGCCTCTTTTTCTTTCCTGTTTTTCACTCATCCTTTATAAAAAGAAAACAAGGTTTCCCACCCTCCTCTCTTATTTATCATTTTAAAAGGACGTGTTAGCCCTAAAATAGTTCCTTTTTGCTTAAAGCGTATGTAATAGAAAATATTCATTTTAATTACTTATACATAAAAATATAACATATACTGTATGTAATGTATAAAGTATAATAAAAATTTATATTCAGTATACATATGATTATAAATATAATATTTAAGATTAAATGCATTTGCACTTAGTCATATATCTATATATATATATATATTAAGTATGTAAAATCATGTAAAGGAAATCTAAATTAAACGCCCAGTTCCTACTAACAACTAATTGCTCGTAATACAAATTTTCCAACGTTATATCTCACATTCGTGCAGGATGGCTACAATTTCATGACATGCTCGTCTATTTTACACGATACAAATAATACTAAAATATACTTTTATGATAATTGTTCTATGTATACACTATATGATTTAGTACTTGGATACACCAGAGGAAAATATTTCTGAACCTTAAGGGAATATCTCTCTCTTTCTGTCTCTTTCTGTCACTGATTTTTTTCCCTTTCATCCTCTTTGAAATTCGACCATGTATTATAATTTAGCGTGTTAAAAACGGAGATATCGACAGTGCTCTTTCCGTTATTTCTCTTCCTTGTTATTATTTAAAATATATACAGTATATTTTGATATTTTATATAACATGATAATAAACACCGCTCTGCGATAATGTAATAATAATCCGGAAATTATTAATTTTAATCTTTGCCACCCGATTAGCCAGCGGTGCAGACGTGACGAATTTTCGGAGGAAAACTCTTACCGTTGAGAAAAAGACGCTTAAGGCGAGGAGTGGGGGAGGGTGGGAAGGGGGGAGAAGACTAGACATTTTTGCAAACTATAAAAAGATTATCAGCTCTTCCTCTCTAAACTCCTTAAACTTTTTCTCTTTAAAATTTTATATTACTTGTACAATTGGCATAAAAGTAGTAATAAAAAATTTAATATAAAGACTATTTCTACTAAAAGCATAAACGGTGCAAAAGGAGTGGAAAAGATATATAATTAAATTATACTAGCCTTGCTTTTTAAAGAAGATGGTACACAATGACTCTATTCTTTAAAGAATGTTTGGACTTGAGTCAATGGTAATCTCATCAATTTTAGTATAACTAAATAAAATAAAGTGGGAATAGTGGACAGTATTACGAAAGAGAGATAGAGAAAAAAAACTGCAACTAAGATATTAGTACAGTCGTCAATGGAAGATAATTATTCAACTGAGTACATTCCATTGAAGAGGGATTATTTGACAACCTGTACAAATTATAAATTTGTCGGATTAAACAGAGATAATCTATTTGTAAACAGAAGGGAATATAGAGTTTAAAAAAAGGATAGATAGCGAGAAGAGATTTATAATGATTGATTTATCCTAAAAAAAAGAGAAGAATCTTGATGATGATAGCTATTTTCTGGTAATCAAATGAGAAAAGTACGTACTACTTCTTAAAAGAGAGCTCGAGAACTCTAAATACAGTGAAGAAAAATATGCAACCCGATATCAGATGGCAATAGTTTAGCTCTAAGGGTAATTTAACAATCGCTTTTCCGGTATTTAATTATACGCGCCAGATTCTGCCTGAGTACCGTTATCAAGAATATTTATGATAAAAATCATAGAAAATATTATTAAAGGTAAGAGTAAAATGATTCTCTTTAAGATCACCTCAGGCTCAACTATAATTAATTATTTACAGATGCTATTACATAGAAATTGTAAATCCTTAGGCAAGGGACATTGTAATTTTACTTAATCAATCAAGCAGAATGTAAATTGTAAAAGAAGATCGTAGAAATCTTTCTAATAGAAGTAAAATTAAATCGATGGCAAATGTTTTAAAATCTAAAAATAACATTTGTTTACACTTATCTTTCCTTTATTGAGAAAAATTAGGAAATGAAAGTAATATTTGAGCTTGTAATTAGCTTTTTTAAAAGTAAAAAAGAGAGAAAAGTAAAGAGGAAATTAATAATTTACAGTTGAAAAAAAAACGGAGTGTAAAGGAGAAAAGGTATAAGTTGGATAAGGTTAACTATACCATTACTTTTCCAAGAAGCCAATAAGCTTTTTGTATAAGAAAATCGAGAAACGTAACCAGTTTGTTTTGTTTTTAATGTCATCTTACGCGTCTTTTTCTATGCTATATACTAATAAACTGTATATTATATTTAAACCGGTTGTTTATAGACCCAGAATCCACATAACAGTTTAATTAAGAATAGTACCATCTTTATTAATTTTTTTTCCCCTACAAGCAAAGTTTGGTCGGAAATGAAAAGGATAAATCAAGATAATGCGATTAAGCTTTTTATCGAAAAAAGATAACCAAGAATTTGAAGAATTCTCTTTCAAAAGAACTTCTAAAAGTACTCGTATTTTACGCTAGAAGAGAAATTAATTGATAAGCTTTACCCAAGTTCACGGGAGTCCTATAATTTAATTATATAAATGTTTAAGGTTGGATACAAAAGTGATACAATAATTGGAGTGGTCGGCGTCAACTTGGCGTTAAGTAATCTACTAAACGAAATAACCTACTTTTACGCCAGCTTCAAGTAGAAAAATTACATTCTACCCAAAGTAGTTTGTTACAATCAACGATAGCAAATCTTTTCCTTTCTCTTTGATTAGAATATAGAGAAGAATTTATAGGATTTATTGAAAAAATTTTGCGGTACATACTGTATTTTCACTGTATATAAAAATTAAATAGAGAAAAAAAGCAATAATTCATCTGAATCTACTCGACGACGTTAGGGATGAAGTGTAGGCAGGCGTTGAAGGTTTAAGAATGATAAAGGAGAAGGCAAAGATGGTTTGTTAGACAGGGATAAAATGATAACTGTACAGATTGACGATAAAATTATTGAATCTTATCAAATAGAAGGAATAAATAGTAGGAATTTTATCAATATTTAACCAGAAATAATTCAACGATCGAATTGGTAATTTCATTAAATACAATATTATTGATTTAGTGAAATCATATTACTTATTGGATGCAAAGATTAAATCACTCTGTGAAGTATTATATTTTGTCTAATGGTGGGAGATAAGAAAAAATCAAATTAATACTGTTTGCGATTTAATGGTACAATACGTGATCCGGAAATAGGCCCCATCATTTGTTGTTGGACCGCAATCTTTTGGTAATCCGCTGAAAGCTCTTTATCAAGATTTAAGCGTTCGGTGAGGGGGAGGGATGAAGCCAGTGACAAAGGGGAAAACAACCTCTATATTTGGTTGTAATGAACCGATATTGTTGGAAGAAAATCGTGAAAGGTCATCAGTTTTAGAGAAGTGGACGAAAGTATCATTCCCCTCAGTCATAAACTCTGCTATAGTTAGTCGGTTAGGTGTCTTAAGATGAGTAGAAATCTTAAAAATGATCGAATCGACTAGCGGAAGAGTGCCGATGAACTAATTGGTATGTTTGGATTGGGCTTAATGATAAAAACCTTGGTTAGGATATTGTAAAATCACGTACAAGATTGCAGATTAGAAGATACAAATTTTATGTTAAAGGACGCGAGTGGTTATTTAATCTATCATCCGCAATTCGAGTTGGAGTATAACTCAACACAATTAATTCATTTTCGTAGAATTGGATAAAGATATAAGTACATTCGTTGTTAAAGATAATATTTATTCTATATATACAAATTTTAAAGTTTATTGATATAGGGAAAAATCATATACTAAAGGAAAACTCTGCAACGAAATATCATTATTACTTAGTCAGTTTTTTCCATAAATATCCAAGATATTAATTGTACCAAGGAAACAAAATTAAAAGATGTAAATGCCAGCTCGATTGTACGTAAAGACCTTCAGAAAGAGTTCGTACTGTTAACGTCTCTTAGATAAACTATAAGTGCACTCTTAAAAAATTGTCAAATGGTTATGAATGGGTAAAAACGCTCAGAAACTGGAAAAGAACAAATAAAAGCTATGAATACAATTGCCCTTGTATTCGGGACGTCTCAAGTCCCCACGACGAATGTGACAATCGATTTACTAGCAACGGGTAAATATACAGGAGAATTTATTATTCTGCCTACTGTCATTAGTTTATTATTTCTAATTATACATATCCTTTGTATCCGTTTTATTAAATCAATATTTTATTAACAAAAACTGTTTTATTAATTAATTACAGCTGAAGGTGACGTTCTTGGTTATTTTTTTAAGAACAAAAGATATAAATATACTGTATACAATATACTTACTATACAGTATATATATATATATATATATATATATATTTACTTATCTATTAATTAATATATATATATATATATATATATATATATATACAATATAATTTATAGCATATTGATAGTAGACCACAGATCTTGGGGTACAAGTCCTTTTTATAATTTCTATATAAGATGAGTAAATATTACACAAGCATCATCTTCCAGTCAACCGTTCAGTCAGTCATTTTTTTAGTAGGCCAACGTAGACATAATTACCGTTTCTGCTGGTTGTATTTTTCCGCTTTTGGAACGTCATAAAAACTTAACTTAATTGCCTAATGGTACGGGAAATAATAATAATTATGCCGGTAGAGATAATCTTATATTTAGATTTAAAGGATTATTTTTTTAAATAAAATAATTTGCTGAAAGGCTAGAAAAACACAAACTAATGAGATGTAAGATAAGATGATAGAGAGAGAGAAATAAGAAGAAGGAAAATGATTTTAGAGGAATGGAATTTTTCTAAAAAATTTTAGTTTTAAGTCGGATATGCTTTAATGAGACCAAAAGCCTTATTAAGCAGTGCCAGTTGATGGTAATATTATACTTTATTCGGATACAATTTAAAGATTTAAGGAAGACAGAAATATCTCTCTACGTGATAAGGAATAATCTTTAGCGTAGAAATTTTACCAAAGAATTAATTGATGATATTTGATAGTAGATGGAGTTGGTCGATTCTATTTTAATGCTACAGAGAGTTGCACTAATAACAGGTAACGGCAGCTTGATCTACTCAATAAACTTAAATGACAGAAAAAAATACAACTTATTCTGCCTAGAAGGTTCTTTGACAAACTTATCTATATATTACTCAATTATGTTACTGTCATTATTTTGACGTTGCATCAACTCCCAAAAAACTCCGCGCTTTTTTATCAAGCTCTCGTAGTTTCCACTCTGTAAAAAAATCGCAAGATCGTTAATAGGCTAAGTTTTTTGTTTCGACGTGATTACCTCAACAATTTCCCCTTTTGACAAAACGTGAATTATATCAGCGTTACGAATTGTTGTAAGTCGATGAGCAATTACTAAAACAGTGCGCCCTTTAACGGCTTTATCGAGGGCCTCTTGCACAATTCTTTCTGATTCGGTGTCTAAGGCGCTAGTAGCCTCATCCAAGATTAAAATAGCAGGATCCTTTAGTAAGGCTCTTGCGATGGCAATTCTCTGCTTCTGCCCTCCAGACACTGTTTGACCCTTTTCTCCCAAAATTGTATCGTAACCCTCCGGAAATTCACTAATGAAGGGGTGAGCGTTAGCCTTTTTCGAAGCGTCTTCTACTTCCTCATCTGAAGCTTCCGGGCGACCATAACGAATATTCTCTCTAACGGATGTAGCAAACAAAACAGGCTCTTGACTTATGTATCCTATTGCTCTCCTTCTTAGCCACTTAGGATCTAAATCTTTTATATTTTCGTTGTCAATTAGGATGGATCCTTCATCCACATCGTAAAATCTTTCCAACAGAGAGGCAATAGTCGATTTTCCGCTACCGGATAAACCACAGAGTGCAACCATCTTACCAGCCGGGAGAACAACGTTTAAATTTCTCAATACTACAGCTTCTTTTCTAGATGGATAGGAAAATGTAACATTATCATATATAACTTTGCCTTGTAGGTGGTCGATTTTTAGGCCACTTGAAGTTGAACTGCCTAACAGGGATGGTAACTCCAAATACTACATCAAGCGAAGTGGTAATAAATTAAATGAGAAAAGATGTTTGACAAGAAAAATTGTAAATTACTTGAAAAACACGACCGCACGCTGTATAACCCCTAACAGTTTGACCTGAAAGTAAAAGTAGCTGAGTAAGCGACCTGAAAAACAAACATAATAAGAGTATGTATTACAGAGAATTGAATTAGAAAAATGCGTTTAGTATATTACTTTTGAATCGTCTGAGAAGCAACAAGAAATGACATAAGATCTCCGGCGTCTATCTTATTTTGCGACATTAAATAACCTCCTATCATGAGAGTTCCCAGAACGACACCTTTAAATAAATTCATGATTCGTGCTGCTTTGTACCTTTAAGGATTCCAAACCTACCGTTAAGAGTTATATTTGAAAGGCCTTGTAGAATGCCAATTCCAAATCCAAGTTTTATACTTAACTTTGTCGCTAGGTCGAGTTCTCTTTCATAAAGTCTAAAATGTTTCTATAATTAATGTAAAGGATGTAGATTTCTCATTAATACTAATGTGAAAGATGAAAGAATGAATTTTTCGTATGTAGAAAGTAGGCCATTTAAAAAGCAAAATAGGTAATTATTTAAAAAAGAAAAATCAACATTTATAACTCAAGGCAATTCGTAAGGACAATAATTGTCTTATTATTATTCATTTTATGCCATTTCGAAGAGTGTCTTCTAAGTGAATGTTTAAAATTATATAATACTGGTAAGGGTATTTACATTAGATAAAAGTATTATTTTGTTTTTTGCTTTTAAAAAAATATAAACAAAATAGAGTATTATAAAACAAACCTTTCTTCTTCATGTTCCATTGCAAAAGCTCGTACGGTTCGAATATTAGATATGGCTTCGTCAGCTACACCAGTTGCTTTTGAAACCTGTAAACAAACGTGTATCACGTGAAAGGAAAAATAGGATCAAAAGAATTATGCAGGAAAGCTTACTTGATTCTGAGCTCTCTTAGACAGCTTGCGTAATACAGACCCTAGACCTGTACCTATACCAATTAAAGTTGGTAGAAGAATACCAAGAGTCAGAGTCAGTTCGCTAGAGACTTTCCATAAAGCTAGACTACATCCAACTATCTGATTTAAAAGTAAAGAGTCTTTCAGATACACTGTATACTGTATATATACATATGTATACACATATAAAAGTACAAGTATATAACCTGAGTTATACATCGGATTCCTTGCGAAATACAGAGCTTAAAAGTGCTTTTAAATTCTTGAACATCAGAAGTTAATCTATCAACTAATTGACCTGTTCTTCGTTCATCGAAGAACGATATATCTTGATTTATTATAGAATGAAAGAGATCCTTTCTTAAGTCATTTGCTACACTTTCTCCAACATATCCAATACATGTAATGTAAGAAAAAGTTAAAATACCCTAAAATAGTTCAATTCGATTAAGAAATATTCGTATAATTCTTTAAGAAAACAACCTGCACAATATAATATCCTATCATCTTCTTTGCTGGTCCAATAAGAGAGTATAGTATATTTTTATCAGTGTTCTTATTTGCCTCAGATATTACATTAACAATTTTTCCTAATTGAAGTGGAATTTGAATATTTACAATTGCTACAGCAAGTGCCATCTGTAACACAAAAATATTAAGACTTTTGCTTTGCTTTATCATAGAAAGACCATACAGCAATAGCGGCAATTAGATATCCAATGTAGGAGCAAAGGAAAGATAGAAAAAGACGCCAATTAAATGGATGCTCCTCATCCTCCGATTTTAGAACAGTAACTCGATTTCTTGTTAGATGATTGTTATCGCATCTTGCCACGAATTTGGACCTTCCTAAAGTTGAAAGAATAGATATTCCAGCCAATCCCTTAAAAATTATAGGTGATCGTTTGCTCTCTTTACATTTTTTAACTTCTCTCACGCCCCTCTCTAGAAACTTTATGATTTTATTAGGCTTACTTAATGAAGAACGCGATCTGAAATGGTCAGAGAATTAGCGATAATGTAGAGAGTTGGAGTAAACTAACAGTAAATTTAATGAAGATATCAGGTGAACTCCTCTGTTGGAGAATCCTGAGCATATTTTTGAAAGACTCATTTAATTAATTATCTCAGCATTCGTATTCTTGACAACAAGCATTCTCACATGTTTTGTGAACTTTAGAAATACTGTTCAAGGCCAGTTTGAAATTGATGTCGACTTTCAAGCAATGTCCAAGATGAGCGGTAGTTTTAATATTTCTTCGGGGTTAATTTAATAATTTTCGATAAATTTTAATTTTTTGAAGTAAAAATGTATGTCAAATTAGGAATTAATAATATAAAAGATTCATAAATGAATATTTTAAATCATTTTAGAATATCTTGTAAGAAAGTGTTGATATATTTTCAAGAAATGCATAATTTATATTATATTTTCAATTCTAAAAATCATAACACTGCCAGATATATTAAGTTAACGGTTAATCTAGTTGGCAGCTGTTTAGTTATTATAAATATAAATAACAGTAACTTTGTGTGAAACTATCAAACGTGTGCTGAGGTCAAGGACGATATTCTTGCTTAAGATTTTTAAGTTGCTTTTCGAATCATCCAACAAATATTATTTTTTTTTCAGATTATTAATTTTTTTATGAAATACTTTTTGAAATCTCATGGAATAATCATAAATTAAGAAAACATCTTTAGACTGGTTCCTGTCCTTTTTTGAACCACACTTCAAAATTTGGAAACTTTATAGAACCGAAACTTAACTGCAAGAACGAAACTGTCCCTTTTATAGTGGAATTCTTTTAGAGAATCAACCAAAAGTGTATATTTACATCATATCCACTATATATTTTTAATTTTAACTAAATTTTTATAATTTTATCGTGCACTTTTTGAGGAATTTTCGGTTTTGTTAGTATGGACGGGCTCGATGCTGATGGTTTTAGGATAGCTAATAATGACTCTCCACCAAAAGAAGGTTTGTTTAATTGATACTTCGACCCAGATATATTTTTAACATTTGTATACGTTCTATATTAGCTTGAATTAGTTTAGTTATGCCTTAAAACTATAAATAAATAATGAGTCACTTTTGTTTTGGGGAAAGGCTATATATTATCAAACTAATTATGATTTTATGACATTTTGTTCGTTAGGTAATCGAACACCATGGCTTAGTATACAAATATTGTCCAATATTTTGCATAAACTAATAATAGGAATTTTATGTTGGTAGATAAAGTACCAGAGGAAAATGTAAAAAAGCCACAACTGCCCAGTACAATTGACGGGTCAGGAGACAGTACCACTCTGCATGGTGAAGGTACTGCAAGTGGAGTAAACTCAACAGAGCCTGTGGAACAGGATGTAAAGAAAGAAAAACTATCGAAGAGTGATATCAAGTCTTTTGGCGAAGATGATATTCCTCTTCAACAACAAGGAAACACCGAATTAGAGATTACTGAAATAAAGGAAAAATTAAACTTGAATAAAGAAAGCATTTGCAAAATTACCAATAAATCAGATAGCGAAAAAAATATAGAAAAACGAGGAGATGAAGGTGAAAATAGTAAGAATGAGTCAACTCAAGCATTATGTAACAAAACTTCTCCTCAACAAAAAAACATCGATTCAAAGAATGATGAAACTAAAGAAAAGTCAATTATAAATAGCAAAACTGGTTGTAAACGAATTGAAAAGCCTGCTTCTGATTGCTCTCCACCTCATCAAGGCAGCGAGGCTTCTCAATCCTCAGAAGATTTTAGTAAACATGATACCAGAACTGGAGGACAAGTAAAATAAAATTATATAATAAAAATCTTTAATACCTGGAAAATATTTATATACTTTTCTAGAAACTACCTAAGAAATCAGATGAATTTCAACAGTCCAAAAAAAAGTATTATTTACATTTTACTGGAAATTAATTTAATTAAAAGAAAATAAAATTTTTTAAAAGTCCAAAAAAGAACAAGAACAAACAACAAAATTGCAGTCAAACAAACGTTATATTTCATTGTATAGTTGACAACAAACTGCTGGATGATTACAAGATTTATTTCGAAGGGGAATTTTCAGAACATCGCTTTTATGAACAAGTACAAGTGGTGACTGGGTTAATAGATTAGAAATTATTTATTTTCTCTATCCATTTTTAAATAATACTGTTCTTCTATTTAGACCTCTTGAAGACACTTTACATTTAGGGAAAACTGAAATTTCTATCCCATGCCATTTATCCCATGAAAAATATCGAAAAATAGAGTATAGATATGGTTTTGTAAAACCTGGTAATCAGAAACCGAAAACCTATGAAACTCTACAAGATTTTGATAGAGCTTGTGGGTCAAAACGAACTCTTTGCCTAGCAGACTTCAAAGATCTTTATCATAATAAAAGTAAGTATAAATTAATTTTTAGTAATGACTTTAAATTAGTCTCTACTCCAATTAGAACTATATGTTTTGGATGGGTTTATTCATTCAAAAAAATCTTTGAAGAAAAGTATCTTTGGTAGAGTTTATAAATTCATTTCGGGCTTTGTTAAACATGAGACCCACCCAAACACTATGGCAGGTAATGTATTGTTCTTTATGAATGATTCTTTAGTATTAGATTTTGTTTTACATAGGAATTAATGCTTTCATGCCTTGTTATAAGAATTTTGATGGAACTCATAATAAAATAAAGTTCAACAGTGATGGAGAGTTTCTAAAAATAATGATGTCGTTTTTTAGAACATTTCTAGGAAAGGATAAGATTTTTATGAAATCAGTTAGTTATTTTTTTCTTTATATAATTAACTTAATCAATCGACTATTTAGGTTATAACGGAATATATTAACAAATGCATTGAAGCACTACGCCCTTCTCAAGACATGAAAGCTAAGATGAGCCTTTCACTAATAAGCTGCCTTTTTATCGCCGAATTTGAACTTGAAGTAAAACTTGCACCTTTCTCATTATTTGATCTGGAAAAATCGAACTCGAAATGCGTCAATGATATATTTCAAACAATCTTCGAAGAATTTAGTGATTGTCTGCCCATTATTCCTAGGTAGTGCTCTCCTGCTACTAACATTAAAATTGTACAATTTATTTTTCAGATTAATAAAGCAGCTTGTGAATAATTGTATTAAAGCAGGAATTAATGACGAATGGTTTTTCATTGTGCCTCTTTACCATTTGTTTTCCGATTCTTACAAGATACTTTCGCCGAAACATTTCGTTGCAGAGCACCAATCAGAAAAATGGTGGAATACCGATTGGTTGTCAGAAGTAAAAAAATTAAAAACACATATTATGGAAACAGATCCACAGGAGTATGAGATCTATTTATATATATACATATAAATATATTTTTAAATGATTTTAAATGTAGATCAAAAAAAAGTCTACAACTTTTCAAAAACATCTTTGAAATTGATGAGCAACTTCCAGTGTTGTTTGCTGCTACTAGACCATTTTCCCATTTGTCTGAAACGTTTAGCTCCAAAATGTTTAGACCGGAGATAATTATGGCTTCATTTTACTTCTGGTTTAAAGAAATTTCCGTAAGGCTTAAATCGTTATTTCTCCTATAACTACTAATAATAATAAACATAGGGCTCATTAAACCTAGAACTAGACCCATACCTCTCACCTTCAATATTAGGCGGCTTGTCAGACGGTTTGGAGAAAATGAAAGAGAAGTATGAACATCAACTTACATACAGTATAATTTACTATATGATATTCATTATTTTCTTATTATAGTAATCATAGTAGAGAAGAGTGGATTGTTTTATGCGATATTTCTTTTAGCTTGTTAAAAAAACTTCAAGATAGTTATGAGACATTTGAATCAAGATTTACAGCTTTTGTGATAAATCTAATAATCATGACTCTTTCTTACGCTTCTGATAAAATAGAATTACCAAAGACTAAATCCTACTTTGAAAAATTTAAAACACTCTTTGACATTAAACTTCGTATATATAATTCGAATTCTTTTAGAATTTTACTGTTTTTCTCTGATATATTGCGTGGAAGCACTATAGATCATTACATGGCCAGTTCCGTTTATAGTTTAAAAAAAGATTTTTTTCAAAATCAAACTTTAAAAGTGTTGCAGAAAGTTCGTTGCAAGTAATCGATTTAATACAATATTTAATATCTTTTTTTAATAGATGTATAGCGATGAAATCATACAATTCTACTATGCAAATGATTTACAAACTTGTCACGAGCATATTGAAGTGATTTTGAATGAAAAAGCTATATCCGCTCTTGTTGAATCTATGAAAGTAAAAATCTGAGAAAACAAATACATCTTATAAAAGGAATTTGAAAATTTTTGCAGGGAACTAGAGTTAATTCGTTTGATCACAAAAATGAAAGGTACATTAATCTTCTTGCCGAGACCCTCGCTAGAGCAACAAAGGACAAAAGAGATCGAAGGGTATTTCTATTCGAATGGCTTTGCTTCCCCAACTTTTTCCAACAATATTTTAAAGGTTTACTAAAACAAATACTGAATTTTGTATAAATTAACCGATTATTGACACATGACAGTAATAAATAGAGCAACAGATGCATCACTCAAATATATTAGAATTATGAATCCACTTATCTCTGAAACTTTGCAAGTTATTGAACATATCTACAATGGATCCATAGAACTTTCACTTTACAAAAAAGTTAATCAAACTGAATACATAAAGTTAATACACAAGTTAGGAGAAATAAATGAATTTAGAGAACACAAGAATATACTGAAGCATTTACCTGAAATTATTAAGGCAAGGAATGAGGAAGTGAAAGTTTTCTTGGAAACATTTATGCAGTTGAAGAAGTTTGAATCATTTTTATCAAAGTTTAACAAAAGTTAGTTTGTAGTTTTACGTCAATTTTTAATGTTTGTAATATAAAATTATATTTTAAGGAGCGTTATGGGACTCTTCTACAACAGGGCTGAAAATAAATGAATTCTGTTTTCCGAGAAGTAACGAAACTCTAAATAATCCAGTCATGCTCACATCTCTGAATTATGATGAAGAAATTATGAAAGCAATTCAGAATTGTGAATCCTATAAAGATAGTCTAAAATTTGAAAATATTCTGCTTCAAAGTTTTGCTAGAGAGAGATGTGATACAATTTCATTTCAAGATGCTATCAATTCTCATATTGAAAATGGCTACAATGAATACTTAAAGTGGTCAGAAGATTTTGTTAATGGGAAATTGTCACTAAAAGAAGTAGACAGAATTTTGATGCTAGCGTTGTACAAACCGAACTGTATAAAGAAAGAAATGGAACTTTCATTGAGAGCCATTAATATGAAGTTTAACGAAAGTGATATATCTGAAAGAGTAGAAAAAATTACGCTTTATCAATCTGCTTTAAGGAGTCAAAAGATAGCTGGAGCTCTACTAAAAATTAAAGAAGAATATAACCTGACTGGAGATTTTAGTACAATGCTTACATTATCAACTTTAGTAAGTAATACTTTACATTTCACATGATATGTACAATGCGATGTTTATCAATGCAATAGGTAAATAACAAAGATACCAAATTAGACGAATTGACCGATGAAGTGCTTAAACAAGGCGGACGTTTAGCTGATGTAACTGATGATCAGATAAAAGTTCTTGACTCATTCCGTTCTTCGAAGACGTTTATATTTTGGTTGAAAAAACACATTCAATCCGCAACAGAAGTCAATACACTTCTCGACTTAATAATGACTAGTGAATACGAAATGCAAGATGTTTGCAAAATATCATGCTTGCAATCAGTAACAAGAGCATACTCTTCACTCATCTATGATTTCGATGATTCGGACGGAAGTTCAGAATTGTTGGAAAAATTGGAGAAAACGTGGTCCTATTTGAAGGATGATAGAGACTTACCAAAGAAATTAATGGATTTAACTAAACAGCTGGATTGGTTAGAAGCAATAAAAAAGTCGTATGGTTCGGCCGAAATACAAGCTTATGACACTGTAAAAGACATCAACGACTTTGGAATATTTACTGTAAAAACAGAAATAAGTGTAAAAATTGTTAAGGAAGACAGCACAAAGGAGTTAAATTATGATAAGTTGAAAGAGCTTTTAAGTAAATTGACTCTTAGAACTGGCATTCGAGATGACGAAAAAAATAAAACTTCCAGTCATTTCATTAAAATGTATGACGGTTTAACAAGATTATTGGAAGATCTCAATAACTTACGGAAAATTGGAAGTTTGCTGTTTTCTAAGTGTTCTTTTGAATTTAGAGAAAATCCAAACAGTGAGTTTAATGTTGAGATTGATATTGGTTTATCAGATAGAATTTTGCTTGGGAAAAAAGAGACTAATCTAGAGGAGCATCTATCAAACGTTTGTGTTGCGTTAGAAAAGTATATTGATGAATGGTCTGAGTATGTAAGAAAAAACCGTGATAAGTACTCAGGACTGAACTATTTTTCTAGTCAACAAATTTTAATCCTTCGAGAAACAATTTCACACTTTCTAAACAATAACGAAATTTCAGATGAGTTAATCTATCTTTGCAGTATAGTCAATCCTATATGCACAAAAACTGATGTCGAACAAGCTATTCTTTCGGCTTCAGAAGAAATAAAAAATGAAAGCAGTAAAATTGATTCTCAGGATGCTTGTGACGGAGGTTCTTTGTCATCTACAGAAACTGATGAAAAAAATACATATGAGAGATTAATAGAACACGGTTTTCCAAATCAACTAGTTAGAGAAGCCTGTGAAGATAATAGAGATTATGACGAGGCTTACATCTACTGCTTGGAGAATGAAGATTCATACAAGGAAGGGGAACAAGAAAAAGAAAATAGTTGTTTGACTGATGCCAAGACGTTGAAGGATAAATTTTCCGAATTAAATATTAATTCGGAGGGAAAGAGTCAACTTGAAGAGTCAATTTGCGAAAAATTGAATGCTTTATGGAACAATTTCTTGAATTTTATTGAATATAATAAAGATTATATCAGCTTCGATCACTTAGGATTAATTTTAGAGCGCTTATACAAAAAACCATTAATCTGCTATGAATTTCCTTCAAATTTGATTGTTGGTCGACCGAATTTAATAGTTTGCGACGAAAAGAAAACCTGGTCGACAGTTTTACATCTTTTTTTGAAAGGACCAGAGTCACCTCTGCCTCTAATATCTCAAATTTTGATATGTAATGAACGCACAACTGCTGAAGACGTCGAACTCATATACAGAAGGGCAGCATCGTCAACTGATCAACTTTTTGCTATTGTTAATTCTCACAATTTAGGCTTTGAAGCATCGGATAGAGCAGAAAAGATATTTGACGATCTTCAGTCTCAAGAAAAAACAAGTAATATATGATTATATTATATAAATATAAATTGTACTTAATTTAAAATATATTTTGCAGGCAAAATGAAGTTAGTCGTATTATGTCCAGCTGAAAAGCAAGGACAATGCCGACTAGTTACTTCATTAGATCATTACAGAGTAGAATGGAAAAGTTTGAAAATTTTACCAGATGACATACTAAAAGAAAAGGTTTTAGAGCAGTTTTCTACCACTGATTGTGAATCAGCAGCAATTTTAGACTCTAAGAAATCAACAGTTCGATTTATTACCTCCAATCAGGCTGGAAATGGTAAATCACTGTGGATAAACTGTCTGAGAGATCGATTGCAAAAATCTCTAGGAAATAGTAAAATGTTTACTTACAGATTTCATGGAATGGAAGCTAACATAAATGACTTGGTTAATTTTTTTCACACATCCAGTAATAATAGCTGTGAAGAAAAACAACCACTTATTTTTCATCTTGATGTTAGCAATCTCTCTCAAACGAAGTTGGATGATATTCTCTTCAGTTTAACTATACAAAGGGGACTAATTGATGAAAATGGGCGCGTGTGGAAGAGACAACCAGAGCACTATTATTTAATTGAATGTCTCAAATGTGGAATTGAAAAGTTTAATTGTTTGGAGTTTTTGCCAAAAATTCAATGCCAATCACCTATCGAATCACTTCGTAAATACCAAGAAAACAATATAGATGAAGATGAACAGTTGATGAATGAAGACTGTGATGATTTCCTTGCATGGCGAAAAACATATCAATATCTATATAATATTCATAACAAAAGAAATTTTAACACAAATGTGGAAGATTTATCGCCCAAATCTTGTGTAGAAACTTTACTTCAATTTTCCGGCACATTAAATCCTTCCTGGGCAGAATTACGAAACTATGCAGTATTCTTAAATAAACAGTTATCACACGCGGAAAAAAATGATTTCTGTGCTACAGATGACTTACCGGACTTTTTTCAATTAATAGTAAATTGTATGATAAAAATGGCAAGGGATTTTTCAACTCGTTCTTTACTTATTTCTGAGGAAACTCCTAATGTAACTCCTAATAAGGATTACCAGATAGAATTGATGGCTATTAAGCATCGTTGGGAAACTCGTCCCCATCCCTATCTTTTCTTCAATTCCGATAATCATACTTTTACATTTTTCGGCTTTAATGTTGAGAAAAAGACCGGAAATTTAGTTGATGTTACGACTGGAGAAGTTATTTTAAATAGAGCAATTAATAGACAGCTACACTGTGCCCTGATAATGAATGGTGTAGATTTGTCTGAAACTTTCGATACATTGAGCAAGTAAGACATTTATTAAAATTAAAATTATTTATTTGTATTAAACATATGATTTTTACTTTAAAGAGAAAATAAACTAAAGAAGATGTTTCCAGTTTTTATTGAATCATCAGAATATAAAAATTATGATGCCAATCAACTTGACGATACATATGAACTGACCATGGACAATTGTTTAAAAATACTTGCAATACATATGAAATTGAAATGTAAAATTCCTGTAATTATTATGGGAGAAACGGGCTGTGGTAAAACAAGATTAATTGATTATTATTCAAGATTATTGAAACCTCCTGACAAAAAAAATGTAAAGAATAGAATTTTAATGAAAATTCATGGAGGTATTACGATAAAAGATATTGAAAATAAAGTTATAGAAGCCCAAGCACTGGCGCAAAAAAACTCTAATATTCACAACCTGGATACTCTGTTATTTTTCGATGAAGCCAATACTACAGAAGCTATTTACGCTATCAAAGAAATACTCTGCGATGATTCTTTAAATGGAAAAGCTCTTAATTGTAATCAGTATAGATTAAGGATAATTGCTGCTTGCAATCCATATAGAAAACATAAAGCAAATATTATCGAGATGCTTGAGAAAGCCGGCTTGGGCTATTATGCGAAGGAAAGCAAAGATAAACTAGGAGGAATTCCGATGAGACAGCTTGTCTATCGTGTTCAAGCGTTGCCGCATAGCATGCTTCCGTTTGTATGGGATTTTGGAAACTTGTCGAGTGAGGCGGAGAAAATATACATAAAACATATAGTCAAAAGAACAGTTAACTGTTCGGAAGAACTATCTGAAGTAATAACCGATGTTCTTTCCTGTGCTCAAAATTTCATGAGAAAAGATGAAACCGAGTGTAGATTTGTCAGCCTTCGAGATGTTGAAAGAACAATGACTGTAATGAAATGGTTTGCTACTATTTCGGAGACACTACTCCCACTTATAAATAATAAGAAAGCACAGTTGCTTGCTAAAAGAGAAGGCAGAGTTATCGAAGAAAAAAATTTCGAAGATAGTAATTTTCTTGAAAGCAATATTAATGATAATTGTAGCGACTCATCGGATAGCTACTGTTCCGAAGTTAATGACAATAGTCTAACGACTTTTAACAACGAGATACGAGCTTTGATTTTATCAATAGGAGTGTGCTATTATTGTTCATTGAATCAGTCAAGAAATTCTTTTTTAAAAGAGATAGGCAATATGCTAGAACGTTATTTACCAGAAGATCAAGATTTACATGAAATATTGTATGATGAAATACTTGCTTGTCAAGAGGTGTTTTTAGACGGTTTAGATTTAGGAACAAGCTCAAATCCAATTGCTCGTAACACTGCTCTTCGTGAAAATGTTTGGATGATAACTATTTGTATAGAATTACGCATTCCCTTATTTATTATTGGAAAACCGGGAAGCTCAAAATCACTTTCCAAAGCAAAGGTAGAAGAATCAATGCAAGGAAAAAACTCTACTTCAGAATTTTTTCGTCACCTGAAACATATTCAAATGATGAGTTACCAATGTAGCCGTCTTTCAACTCCTGAGGGAATTGTTGAGACTTTCAAAAAATGTACTGAATTGCAGGAAGAAAAGAATATGTCAGAATTCGCTGCTGTTATTGTCTTGGATGAAATAGGTCTGGCAGAAGATTCACCTCTTATGCCATTGAAAGCTCTTCACGCTCTTCTCGACGATGGCTCGATAGAAGATGAAATTTGTTTGAGTAAACCATCGTTTATTGGAATTTCCAACTGGGCATTAGACCCTGCTAAAATGAATAGAGGTGTAGTGATGAATTGCTGTGTTCCCGATCAGAATGAGTTAAAGAAGACTCTTAAAGAAATTTGTGGCAATAACAGAGTTGTTCTGAATAATATTTCTTCATTTCTAGATGCCTTAACTGAAGGGTATGCAGAAGTTAATAGAGAAGCTGAAAGACTTTTTCGAGAGTTTTTTGGCCTACGAGACTTTTATCATCTAATTAAAATGGTATACTATTTTTGTAACTATTCCAGTAAACGTCCAACTTACAATGAGTTGGAACATGCAGTGAAAAGAAACCTAGGAGGTCTTATGGGATTTGATTCTTTCTATTATTTTGCAAATAAAATTGATAAGGAAAATTGTTCAATATCAGAAGGTAACGAAGATGAGAACTCTGCGGAAGAGATATTGAAGCGATCCCTCAAAGGCGAAGAACTTGGGGCGGAAAGTAGATATATTTTGCTTATTACAGAGAACTATGCAGCTCTTAATTTGTTAAAAGATAGATTAGGCTTTGACTACAATATTATTTTCGGATCGTCATTTCGAAAAGATCAAGAGTATTCTCAACTTTGCTTGAATATACATCGTGTGAAAATTTGCATGGAATTAGGAAAGTCAGTCATTCTTTTGAACTTGGATTCTATCTATGAGAGTTTATACGACGCTCTGAATCAGTATTATTCTTACTTTGGAGGACAAAGATTTGTAGATATCGGTTTGGGAAATAATCGAATAAAAGCGCAAGTTCATAAAAATTTTCGATTAATTGTCGTTGCGGAAGTAGAAGATGTCAAACGTTTTCCAACTCCCCTCTTAAATCGATTAGAAAAACATTGTCTTACTGTTTATACTTTACTCCATAATGAACAAAAAATAATTGTTGAAAGTCTTGAAGAGTGGACTTCATTGTTTCTGAAGGCGACAAATTCAATCTCATCGCATGAAAAGTTAGAAAAGAAAGACATTTTTATCGGTTTTGGTAATGACACCATTCCGACACTCGTTTTAAAGTATGATAATAAGAGTAATAAGGAATGCTTAATAAAGATTAAGGAAGAGCTACTTAGAGTGGCCACTCTGGAATCAATTATTAAGAATCAAACAATCTTAAAGGAAGAACAGCTATCAACTATTGAAGAGATTTACGTAGAACAAGATCATTTTTTGAGCGTTTTGAAAACTTATGAAAATGAAAAATTTATTCAAATAACCACACACTCTCGATTGCTCACTGGAGAGGAATTCTCTTCAATCAGACTAGAAAATGCGGAAATGCATATGTTACACAATTTCGATACGGAATATGAATTTGATAACGTTCTTCAGAAAATGAGCAAATCGTCAAAAATTTTAATTTTACAAAGTGATACTACTGATGTACAACTCCTTGCATGCGCCCGCTTCAAAGTGGAAGAAGACAAGATTCAGTTACCTAAAATTATTTTTATAGTAAGAGTTACAAGAACTGGATCAAAATTTAATGGAATTCATGGTGGGAAATGGACGTGTGTACATGTTGATGAGCTGAGAAGACCAAGGATATATTGCTCAATACAAGCGCTTAAAGGCAAATCGATACCACTACTATTTGAGGCTTCTTTGGTTAAGACCAATAGCGACCTCGATTGTGACAGTATTGTCAATGCTTGTCTGATCGAAGCAGTTAGTCTTTTACGAGATAAAAAGGCAATTGATTTAAATAGAAGTTCTGATCGTCTAAAAATACTTCGAAAAGCTTTTCAAGACGAAAACGTTTTTTACGTATTCAAAAAAAAAATAATTGAACTTCTGAAAGACAGGGAAGAGGCTGTTGGGGGAGGTGAAGCATCACGGTGGTTGGAAAAGTATACTACTTCTCTTAAAGCAGTAACTGAAGCAGGGACCTTCCAGAAATCTTGGCAGATGTTTGTTAAAACGCGAGTGACAATTATTCTTGCATGTATAATCGCGATGGCTGATAAAAACTTCAATTTGAATGGATTGGAAGACAATCATGAATTATGGTTAAGAATTTTTGACGACGAGAGAATTGGTCATTTATCGTTTATGACTCTAACAGACGGAATACCAACCCCTGTTGAAGTTGGCCTTGACCATCTCATTAAAACTAATTTGCCTACGAAATTATCTTTTAGTTGGATTCTATTTGAAAAAGTAGAAAGTTTTGTAGATCAAGTATTAGAACATCAGTCTGATAAAGAAGCGATTAAAAATCAATTGTATAGAGAAGAGATTTTCTCACTTTTCAATGACTACGCCGAAGATTGGAGAAAGAGCTATCTATATGACGCTCTACTAATGCTACACAATCCTCTTTCGAATGATCATAAAAGTGAACTTGAGGTATTTAATATATTTATTATTTAATCAAAATTTATAATTAATGTTGATCAAAACACAGATAATTTACAAGATCCAATGCGATCTAATGGATGAAGAAATAGATGTGTTAGATTATCACTTGCTGTACAACGATAGGAAGAAAATATTTGAGGTAGCTTTCACTCTGGCGAAAGTACAGGATGATCTCCTTATTCAACTTCTTAAAAAGCCAAGCGAATTCTTTTTCGACGAAACCAAAGAAATGGTGAGCTATTTATTTATATTTTTACTTAATCTACTTTTAGTAATAAACATTTTTTCATGATAGATAATCGATCTGAAAATAGTTGAAAAGGTACTAGCAAATTTCGATCATTTAAGAAAAAGTCTTAGCGAACAAGAATCTCGAAAAAAATGGAAAGAATGCATTCAAATGATTCGGTCTCCAATGGAAAAAATCTTAGCATCAAGAAAAGGACACAAAATCGCTGACAAATGTTTATCAAATTGGATGAAAGTAAGAATTATGGAATTATATCTTAATCACGTTGTTATGGAAGGAGATAAAGAGTTTGCTTTGGAGGAGAAGAAATTACAGGGACTATGGATAGTTTGTATTTTTGTTATATCATAACATAATTAGATAATTTATTAATTTATAAATGAATTTCAGTATTTAAACAAAGTGAAATCTTGGAAAGACGTCGACTTGCTTGTTCAACTGAAAAGATTTCTACAAACAATGAGAGAATCACTTTACAAAACTGTCTTTAAAGAGTGAGACATTTTCATTTACGAACTTCATTCAACTAATTAGCTGCCTTTTCATTCATAGGAAAGTACCTAGATGTAATGTAGAAGCTTGTCGGGAGATTATATCCGGTCAAGATTTAGTGTGCGGTCATAATCTATGCGAAAAATGCGAATCCGATTGTAAGACAAGTGCTAAACCAGTATGTCGCTTATGCAAAGAGCCATTTTCTTTTTCAAATTCAACAAATATTGACTTTGAGACTGCAAGGGAAATTCTAAATACGTTCCACAATCGCTGCAATAACTTTTTCATATTCATTATAAACTCCTATTGCTTTACTGGATCGGATGTTCCTGACGAAAAGTTGATTGATTTTATTCTTTCGTGCGTCACCTGCAAATCTCTAAATCAAACTTGTTATACAACAAATGATTACGTTTTCGACAATGTTATAGATCCAAATCCTGTTTTAAGATCTTTTGCATTGAAGCAGCTGCTGAAATATGCTGAAGGTACAGTTCTAAAGAAGCTTGACGAATTTTTTAAACAATTGAATAATGAAATAAAAGTTGATGTAACAGAAGATGTCAGTCGTATTGTTATTAATAATATGGAAGATTCCTTTTATAATGATTATATACAAACTGACAAAATGAATCGAAAGAGACTTTTGATTGAAAATATCAGGAAATATAAGGAAATTATGCAAACAGAACAAGTTGACCAGGATAATCAGACACAGTTGATGGTATCAATAGCTGTTATTCGACTTTGTCTGAAGAAAATCGTCGATATATTCATCGATAATACTAAGGAAATTGAAGATGAAAGAGTCATTCAAGTCGTCAGAGAGCTGTGTCATGGACCTAATGATTTTCCAAGAAAATTCTTCTTAAAATGTATTTATAATCAATATGGTATAAAAGAATTAATTCGAATATCCAAACTCGAGGATTTCAATTGGCTAATTCCTTTCGAAACATTTCCCAATAAAACAACTCCAGACGTATTCTCCTTATACAATAACGAAACTTATAGGGAAATTCGTAATTGTTTTGACTCTAAAACAATAAGCGAAGAGATTTTTATGGATCCTAACGGAAAACCATACTTATTTATTCTAGCTCTCTACTCAGCTATGTCTGCAACTGAATTTCATAATTTACGTGATGTTTGTATATTCTTTTCTATATTCACACTAATCGAAAATTAGAAATTATATTGTAGAGTTAATCAATGATGTTTTTTTCTTCTTTATTTTACAGTACTTGCAGAAATTAAAGGATTTAAAATGCTCAATGGAAAATGAGGTATTAGCGAAACTCTTTACAACTCGAAAGACGAATTATTGTAATAACATTTTTTAATTGCAGGAATTATGGAATAGATTAATTGAAGAAGATTTTTTAAGAAATCTTCAATTTCCAAATAAAAATGACCTCTTTCACGATCCTATTGCAACCCTCATTTTTCACGCTGATGTGGTAATAAGATATAGTAAAAAAGCTATTCTCGAACCTCTTAAGAAAATAGTTAGCGAACCGAGATTAATGAACCAATGGTTTCTACCTACTATGCCAGACAACATACTGGGAAAGATGAAAAATGATCTTATGGGGCTTAACTACTCAGAAAACATTTCTATAAGTCTTTGTCCAAATGGTCACCCATACCTGATTGGAAACTGTGGAAAACCTGCTTCACAGGGAGAGTGTAATGTCTGTAAAGCTCAGATTGGGGGTCTATCTCATACTTATGTAAGTGGAAACAGATTGGCTACCAAAGAAGATTTCAAAACTCTACCCGGTCATATTTTGGGCGAAGCCAAATTTGCTAGTAATGAATTCCGTATATCTAAAACGCATACAAAAATTCTTAGAGCCGTTTTGCACATAATGATGCTTGTTGCTGCTAATGAAGATCCAGATGCTGTTTCGGAATGCCTTCGTAAAATACCTAATTCTATAGATCACTTTCAGTTTCTTATGAACCATTTAAAGAATGACATAAAAAACATTAAAAAGTCTCTAAAGATAAGCAAAGAAGCAGTCTGCATTTTATTGCATAGCATCTTTAAGTTGTTTATGACATCAAAATGTTCAACTGAAGTATGCCTTTGGGAAAACCCTGAAAATCGCGAAAAATGGGAAAAAATATTTGCAACGAACTTCATAACTGAGGCTATTAATGATATAGACAAAGCACAAAGGATAATTACAGAAGATGACCGTTTGTCATCAAATCCGCTATTATCCTCTCTAGTACAAACTGATGAAAAAGTTAAAGACATTATTTTACAACGATGTAGTGAAGTATGGATAAATAGAGATATTATAGATCTCGAATCTACTCTACAAGAGTTGAGAAAACAAGAAAAAACCAATGAAATAGATTTCATCCTATTAGCCTTAACAAAAGTGAATGAGCTGGAAGCGATAAAATATCTTCCTGACATTATTCAACTTATCTACAGTATCGTTACAAACCTTCGAGGCAAATTTCTTAGATCAGATTTGAAAACGATAACAATAACATCCTACTTGTCGTACACAGATGGTTAGTTATTTTATATTTCAAAATATTTCATATATTCACCACCTTTATAAATTATTATTAAAACAATTGTTGTTTACAAACAGAAGACCAAGCTCTTGACATGTTTAAGTCATTTACAAATGCATGGAAAATCTGCAGAAACAGCCTATGCAAAATTGGTAAACATATTTTTTATGTAAATTTAAAATTATTTAAATCAATTAATTTATTTAAAGAAATCAATGGAAAACACCTACCAGAAGAAATCTTATCAATGGCTATAGATGAAAAGACTCCATTGGAATATCTCCTACCATCCACAAAAGGGAATGGGCTAGCTTCGTTTGCTCTTATTAATTACTTGGTTAATCTACAAAATAATCTGGTGACAAAAAATTCTGAACTTTCCAATTCTAAGTTGGAATATATGCAGATAGACGAAACATTGTCAATCGTTGATGTTATTAATATAGATCCGGAGAGAAATGTTGAAACATTAATTCTGTCAACTTACTCATATGAAATAGATTTACAGAGCAAACAGAGTTCAGTCAAGTACGACTTCTACTCTTTGAGACGCCAAATATCTTCTTCATGGTTAGAAAATCTTCCCGTGTTGCAATTTGAACGGCCTCCAGAGATAGTTTGTAGAGACGATCTTAGAATGAAAAGTAAACTGAAGGAGGTTGGAATTGATCAAATACCTTTATCGAAAGCGGTGGGAGATCAGATATCTGCGGAATGTATTCATATTGAGGAGGTGTGCGAAAGTTTATCGATCCTAAATATTGCGGTTGGATATTTGGCAACAATTTCAAATGTTAATCCAAAGACAAAATTGATTGCATTTCTCGAAGACTTGCGCATAAGAAATGAGTCGTTATTAAAATCAGCTGAGAAGAATTGTAATATTGAACATGTTGAAGACTTTTGGCATATATTGTCAAGAGAACGGGATAAATTATTAATTGATCATCAATTATTTATTACTCCTGATTCTTCTTTAATAGATGAAGAGCAACAAAAAGCTATTAGAAATTGTATTGGAAGCAATTTAAAAGTAGCTGAAGATATTGTCATTTACTTACATAGGACTATACATGAACACTACGATCACGATCGTATGTTACTGCCGTAAGTTTATAAACCCTTTACTTCTTTACATTTTCCATATACAGTATATATATATATATTTGAATATATGAAATGACTATTGTGTTTATTACAGATTACGGGATGTTTATATTGAATATCTACAGGAAAAGGAATTACCTGTTGCCGAACAAATACTAACATGGCCAAAAGATATTCTATTAAAAAATGGAATTGAAGTTTGGAAAATAGTATATGAAATTGTAAGAAGTGAAAGCAGAAACGATTAAGTGATACTCTGTTCCATATATAAATCATAATGTATAAGAAAATGTATAACAAACCTTTCCTTTCTAATTGCTTCACCTATACTTGCATACAATAATCAATAAAACCGTAACACAAGTTTGATTTTAATTATTACAAGTCAAATTAAATATTATAGTGCCAAGAGTAATTCTAGTATACGCTGTCGAAAGTCTTATCTACTCCTTGAAGGAAATTCCCTTGTATTGCTGTGAGAGTTTTTGATAGTCTCTTACAAAAAAAAAACAATGGCTGATCTTTTGTGGATGAAATCTTCACACATTCTTTAAGTAGCTAGGGAACAAATATGATCTGTTTTGATTATTTGCCATAAATAAATGGCTTAATCTTAAAGAAGAGATCAAGTGGAATTTGGTTCAAATTCCCTTGGAAGATACCAGTTTTGTTTGAAGAATACCCTAATATATGACTTTTCTCTATTTTTACTTGAATTTTCCGGAAACTAATGGGGAAAAGGGTGGGAAAATCTTCATCTCGAGAGATAATTTCGTATTTTTTATATTGAAAAAAAGGCCTAATCTGAGAAATATCTCAGAATTTTGAAAACTACTTAACTTTTTTGTTTACAAAAAATATTTATTTTTTTTTAATAACGTGATGACGTCATTATTACTACTCAACATATAAACCGAGAAAGCTCGCTGATTGGTCAATTTTGAGTAAATTTCACCGTTAATGTCGAAAATTCGACAGTTTTTTAATCAAAGTTTGTGCTCAAAATTGCTTTAAAAAGGGAAGTAAATTGGTGGAAAAATCACTCCATTTTCAGCTATCTAACTGATCGTCTTTCTGGTAAATTTTTCGATTACAACAATCTAATTTAAAGTAAGTTTTCATATTCTAAAGTTTTCTTATGTGATCAAACATGTTGATTTATATTCAAATTTTAGCCAAATCGTAACAATGTCGAAGAGATTTGATGAAATTCCCATGACTAGCATTTGTAACGTTTGCTCCAGCTTCAAGGAACGTTCAAGCATTTGCGTGTATTGTGAAAATGGTTTGTTAAATTTTATATTCTTATGGTCGTCTTATATTAATTAAATATTGTTTTAGCTTTGGAAGTTCGAAGAGAGAATGAAAAGAATAATTCACTAATGGCGGGTAAGTAAAATATACATTGTTTTTTTGTTTTTACAATTTGGTATATTCGTTTTATTCTTAGCTTTTAGAAAGCCGAACTTTGTGGCAGATGGAACATCTTCGTCGCCATCTTCCTCTGAGGGGTTGTCTGAATCATTCGCTGAATCTCCATCGTCTGCGGGTGCCGCTTCTGCTTATGACTCTGCTTCTGCATATGGCTCTCCTTCTGTTTATGAATCTGCTTCTGCTTATGAATCCGCTTCTGCCTATGAATCTGCTTCCAGCTCTGGCGCAAGCTCTTTAGCTGGTTCAAGTTCGGGCGCTGATTCTTCCTCGCCAGAACAATCAACTCTCCCTACTTCGAGTGACGAGTCTTCTGCGGAAAGTGCGGCTTCCACCAAAAAAAAGGTAACGAAGACGCCTTTAAATTACGGAAATTTCTTAGTAAATTGTCCAAAGGAGGCCCACGTTCTGTACAATGTCAGAATCTTATCGAATGGCCTCAAGGTGGTATTCTCAAAAGTACGCAAAACCCAGGAGCAAATTGACGCTGAAGAAGCTGAGGCTGAAGCACAAAGACAAGCGGAGCAGCAACAAGCCGAATTTGAACAGATAGCTAATCGTAACACAGGAGAAGATGAATCTTCTTCCGAATCTGAAGCTGGAAACGAGCTAACTTTTAACTTTAGAGACGTGACCAGCTTCTATCATCCTTTAGGCTGAAAGTAAATGTTCTTCGACCTATTTAGTTTATGAAAATAAGCTAACTACCGTTTTGTGTTCCAACTTAAATTTATTTTTTCTAGACTTGTTCATACTTATATTAATCGTGTGTAAAATCGAATATTTAATCATCTATTTTTCTATATAAACTGTATTCTATTTCTTATTTTAAAAATAAATAATTTAACGGCAAGAGAACAAGAATTTTCTTTGAATTAATCGAATATTTAAGCTGCTCTCTCTTTTTAAAACATTTTCGGGAGAATCTGGAGCTTTTTTTAATTCAGTAAAAACTTCTTCATTGAGTTAAATACACTTGCTCAAGTTTAGGAGTTTCAATTCAAAAATTTAATGGCGGCCATTAAAATTTAAGTATTGAGCAATATAAATGATAACTTTAACGATATTATCAAACTATACAGAGATAATCAAAATGGCGGACTCTCGAAAAACAAAATAAGTTCCATAAAATATTTAGCAAGTACTTTGTCATATAATTCAATTCTTTTTCCACCAGCTAATAGTTAAGGTTATTATCAATAATAGATTTTAAAGAAATAACCCCTTATATGAAGGTAATAAGATATTAATAAATTATTAATAATTTAGATTCGAATGTTCTATTTTTTAACTTTCAGATTGTTGATTAACTTGATGGAAAAAAGTAGCAAGTTAAATCTACTAAAAAATATCTAAAGCAAAAAAACATGAACTTTCATTGGAAGAGTTATGTATGTATATAAAAAATTGAACTTTCTGGATGTACCCATGTACATATACTTATATACTGTATACTGCATACTGTGTAATATAAAAAATGGTATTGAAGAGGCTTCGTATTATGATCCAATTTGGGATATAATATTAAATTAGAGGGAAAAAAATTTTCAAAATATCTAGCTTAAAACTGATAAAAACGTAGTTCCCAAATTAAAAGAGACTTGCACTAATGTTTAATAAAATACACATTATCACATAGTAATCTCTATTCCTCAAAATACTTATTAAGATATTGATAAGATATTTTTTGTCTTCAACCCACACAGATTTTAATGGAGAATATAATCTACAAAAAGAAAAAAACGACTTAATGCCCAATTTGTTGCGATTCATAAATAATCATAGAAAGATATGCTTGCTTGTTTTGAATATAATGGAGAGTTGTATGATACGTTAACTAATATGTAGTTTTTATTCTAGACAATTGATGGAATTATAGAGTGCTGATCGACAGTATGATTAATAGTAAAAATCATAGAAGAGCAGTCTAGTATATTGTATTGGCTTCAATAACTCTAAAACTCCTCTCTGCCCTTAGACTCTGTCTATCATACTGCAAAACATTAGATATCACAATGTATCTAATGTATTCAATCTTCTGTACATTTTGTTACAGTTTATGAACATACTGATATAATAAAGTAATTTATTTGTTAGAAGATGGGAATGGAAAGAGTAGTATTACATAATTATCCTAATATTAAGGCTCGGAAAGAAGAAATCAAATGTTTATTTCGATTAACATGCTCATGTGATTAGAAAATCTCCCCACATTGGTGTTTAGTCAAAAGAGACAGTTTGTAAAAATTATCTAACGTTAAAAGTAAGAATTGAAGGAGCTTTGCAAAGGCGAACAACTTATCTTCAAAATTCTATCAGATTGGCGAGATTTACAAAAGTTTGCAAGTTTAAACAGCTGGACATTTAGCAATAATTACAGATATATATATATATATGTATATTAATACATAATATATAGGTCTTAAAATAGAGCTGATTACATTTCTTAAAGTGTTCGACATATTGAAAAAAGTTGTTTTCAAAAAATTAACTGAGAAGAATCGTAATGTTGAGCATGTTGAAAGCTTTTTGGTATAGGGAAGAGTTATCAAAAGAATATGAAAAATTCCCCACATGATTATCAATTATTTGCCATTCTAGATTTTACATTCATAAAACAAGGAAAAGTTGGAAAGATAACATAGGCCAATATAGCTAATGATATCATCATTCACCTGCTAAGATCTACACTATCTTAAAATTCTTATAAAAATTAAACAATTGCATTACACCATCGTAAGTTTATAACTCCTTTTTTTTTCCTTTAAGGTTTATTGAACATAACTGACCTGGATTTATATACTTATTTTATACTAGTCTACGAGAAATTTGAAGTGAGACCCTAGGGAAGTTGACGTATGATCATGAAATCATTGTGGCATTCGCAAAATGAACATTCCTAAAGAATAAAGTTATTGTACCGTATTTGAGGCTCTAAAGAATTACATGAAGAGCGCTACTGTTGATATTAGAATCAAGTATTCGATGAATGATCTCTCTAAATAAGTCATTTGATATGGTTTGTCAAGCCTTACATGGGAAATTTTTTATTTCTATTAATGTATTATTAATAAATAAAATTAATTTCTTATTTGAAGAAAGTGACGAGCATGACTTGTATATAATGGCCAACTTACTTCCCCTTTCTGTATATGCTTTATTCAAATACTGTTTTATGGTATGTAATTTTGGAATATAGTTTTGATATTCAAGTAAATTTATATATTTGATTCAATAATCTTTAATAATCTTCGATATTTAAGTTCAAAAGTTTCATTGCTTCAGACAACTTTCATTTTTTATTCTCTCTTTTTTAGACGAAAGTGAAATAAAAAAAGGAGATACTTTTCAATTAAACCTTTCACCGCCACGCAATATGAATATAGACAAGTTGCTTCAACAGAGTACATTTAAAATATACATGTTTAGAAATGCTCATTTCTATAAAACCAAAAAATTTAAAAATGGCCGACAATCTTATATAAATTTTTGTTCTTTTTTTCGAATATTCTAAAATTTTTCATCGAATAAAAGAATGAAATAAACTACAGATGACTTTAAAACATTTAGTTGCAAACAGTTAAAGTGAAAAACATTATATAGTTTAGTTTTATAGGAAAGATATTTAAATGACAGAAAACTAATAACTATCTTTTCTCATACATAGATCTTTTCATCTTATTAACATCGTAAAACAGTTCGAGAGAAAATCCTCTTAAATTTCGTAATGTTTTAGAAAATCGCAAAACAAAGTTATTACCTTTCGACATGACTATGCAATATTTCTAAGGTAAAAGTGAATTAATTGTTTTAATATATAAGCGTCTATTTACAACAAATTATATGCATCTAATATCGTTTATTTGCGTTAATAATTCTAACAAGAAGAAGAAGAAGAAGAGAAGAATATTAAAGCATATATATCTTTTCTGGTTATTAGAGATTATGATTTAGATACTTTATGACTAATTAGAGTTAACATTTAAACATTTCTTGTATAATTCTAGATAAATTGCTATTTATTAATGCTTAGTTTGAAATAAATAAAGCAATATTCTACATATATTTTAGAAATAATTATGAAAATAGGCCTGCGAAGGTGAAAAGTGTTGCTTTCGTTAATTAATTTACTTTCACCATAAGCAATTATATTTAATACGGAGTTTAAGGAAATTTATGATTACAAAGAATAAGAAATAAGATTAAATTAATGATTTTATTAATTAATTTAAAAGAATATTAATAAATATGTATTTTGTGTAATTCGTTTGTTTTTTAGTATTTTTTGTTTGCTTCTTGATTATTATTACTTTTATAAGTAGAATATATGATATTTTATTTAAAAAATATTGTATTTTAGGAGAAAATACAGCAATATTATTGAAAATTTTCCATAATTTTTTATTCACAGTTCGTAATTCTCAATAAATTCGACAGTTTTCGCTATCTGTGGAACGTTCTTATTGGCTAATTGGTCGATTTTAAGTACTCAACAAGTGTATAAAAGTCTGAACTAACATATTTGAATTCATTATATGCTTCCTCAACTTCAACTATCTTCCGAATTTTTGCTAGAAGCTGTGTCGTAAGTTTTTGAACCTTTTTTTCTTATTTCGCTCTCAATTCTCAACGAATATTTCAAATAATTTGTTTTAATTCAATTTCAAATATTTTATTTGAAATATTCGATAAGTTTTAAATATTATATGAGAATTATTAACTTTCCCCTCTTCCTATTCGCTTTCGAAGAGAGAGGTAGAAAACACAATTTACTCTCGAAATTTTTCCTTATAGATATTTAGCATTTAGCAATTACTATTTCTAAATATTTAAGAATGTATATCTTTGAAAAGGAGATTTAACTTGAATACAATTAGAGAAAAATGACTTGAATATTTTTTATTAACGTCTGAAATATTAATTCATAGTGAAAAATCTGTTCTTTTTTTTTTAATTAATACTCAAGTACCTACTCATTAAAAAAAAAGAAAGCTCACTCTCTCTTTTTGTTTTTTTCGGGCACTGGTCAGTCTTAAATGTTATTTGTTTGAGATCACTTTATGATATACTCTTGTATTGTCTACAGTATTTCAACAATAATGGAAAACGCTAGCATAACAATGAACTCTTACAACAGTGGCTCACTAAGACTTGCCAGATCTGCGAGGAGAAGAAACAATTGTAAGCTATTCTCATAATTGTTTTTTTTTTATTCTAATTTTTTTTTCAATTCAATTTTTAGTTGTGATGGCCGAAAAATATAGTACAAATATAGTACTCTATTGCGTAGTGCATAAAGACTTTTTGTGTGAAAAAGATAGAAAATACGTAAAAGTTCATTACGTCTACCCTGGTAGTTATGATAATAATTTGGCTCCCGTAAGAGAGGTTTGGTAAGTGAAAAATTGTGGAAAAGTTTTGTCTTTTGTGTTTTTAAAAAAAAAGTGTTTTACCGACAGCTTTTTGAATGATAACTGGATGATGGGTAAAGCTGAACTAACAATTCCAATTCGTCTAAGAGATACCTTCCAATACGTTTACCTATTCAAGGATGGTGATGAACCACTTCACTTTGAACATCTAGAACATACTCTAAGAGTTGAAAATAGTATGAGGCAATTACTACGGGACGACCTATATTTATTAATGGAAGAAGATTGTAAGTTTTTCCGTTCAATTGATATTTTTTCGATATACAGTAAATTGATATAAATTTAAATATACATGTTTGATTGGCAGCCATGTTAATTTTCGACGGATTCGTTCGAAAACAAATGAAGCAAACTTTCCTTACAAAGGCCAGCAATTTTTGGAGTGAACTAATTGACGAAGAACAGCAAATAACTAGAAAATGTAAGTAACCAAAATATAAAACATTTACGTAAAGTAATCGGTTTTTAAATGACAATTTACCAACAAGGCATTGAAATTCTACTGCCCAACTACGAATTCTTTACTACTGACATGCGCTACGTGCAAGCTGGAAGTCCATCACATTTCCTCTCGATTATTATGGGTATTATGAAAATGCAAGGAACAAGTATAAAGCCAAACATTAGTCAGAATGTATGTTTCATTTTTCGAAAGAGTTTTTTTATTTTTTTATTTTGTCAGTTAAAAAATAATATTTATATATATGATTCCCTGTAGATTATTGGCAAATTCATATCAAAATGCAGAGAGAATATGATGTCGATAAACCGACATAGTATAGGAGAAAAGATTTTAGAAACTGCCCAATGCGCGCTTATTTGCTTAATTTTGGCGCAAGAATTTAGAATAACGACCAATATTCTACCGATGAGAGTGTTCAAATATTTCCCCCCGTTGGATAGCGAAACCCTCTACGTTTGGACTGGTTCTCTCAAAACAAGCTTTAACAAATTCGATAATCTTGTTGAAAGGTAGTTGAAAAATAGTTTTTGCGAATTAAGTATTATAAAATACTGTATTTTCGATGAAATTTTTTCAATATAGCTGCTTGAAGACGACGCTCGTTAAATTTATTTCAAGAGAAGTTGGCAATGGAGAATGGATTTTTCTGCTACGACTCTTCCTTCATTTGAAAGGGGAGGCAGATCGTCTGACAACAAGCCACGAGACGGAACTAAGTAACCGTATAGATGATCATACGCGCCTTAGTATCATAGAGGGACTGAACGCTATGCCACAAAAATTTAATCGAATTAGCGAAAAAAGGTAGAGTTTTAATTCACTAGCTTTAATGGTTCATTCGTCACTACTCACAATGTAGGTTTATGACAATACTCGATAATCTTATACGCCAATGTGATAGAGCCGATGTAATATGGCTACATTTCTTGTCCTCATTGACCTTGAAACATCTTTATCTGGTTTTGGAAAGGGAGTATTGTCAACCAGAGGCGATTTTTAAAGCTTTTTCCTGCATTTTGAGAAGAGAGCTATCCACCTATTCGGTACAAAACCAAATAATTAAAATTTTCGAATATAAGTAAACTGAACATTATTCCTCTTTCTAGGATGAACAATTAACTCTTACACTAGACGTCACTATCAGATGCCAACAACTAGTTGAAGACTATCCTACATGGATATCTTTGTAAGAGAATTAATTAACTAATTATATATACATATTTTTATACTTGAAATGAATTTACAGACTGACCATGACCGAGTTGACAAGAACGTATAAACACATAGATGAGATATTTACTAGTTTTCTAAACAAAACTATGTCCAATGACATTCAAAATGTTGCATTATACCGTGAAATCGGCATAAGACTAGTTTCAATTAACGAAGTATTTTTGTCCCAAATTCTACAATATTTCCCCTATTTTCCATATGAAAATTACATGAAAACATATTCAACAAATCTACGGATTTTGTTAAATCTGTTTTTTTTTGGCTTTACTAATATTCATAAAGATTTTCACATTTTGTCTTGTATACTAAAAACAACTGAAGAAAGCAATATTGGAAAAACCGTAAAACGATTAACCACAGAGTGCATAGAATATCACATCAGAAAAACATTGAGAATAGTAAGTTGACGAATATTTTTTAATTACTGTATATAGTAACATAAAAAATTTGTTTTTAATCAGGAGTATGGTGGGTTCTACGACAATTTACTTACTGAATATCAGCTATTCCCTTTTGTCAAATACCATCGATGCATTAAAAATGCTTTTAGAAAAGAAGTAATTGATGCAACTTATGACCTAATGGAATTTGTAAGATATATAATTTATTCCTTACTTTTGTGTTTAACTGTTCGTTTATTTAGAGCCCACAGACTGCAAGTACTTTACTGGAAAGCAATAGTGATTTCTTGAATTTATTAGTCGAAACTTTAGAATGTAAAAGACCAAAAAAAGAGAGGGACCTTAAAATATTCTTGCTGGATTTAAAATTCTTACCTTACCTCCTTAATTATTATATGAAAGGTTTACTATTTGTTTTTACTACAATCTTTTCAATTACTAACTGTTGTCTCTTTTAACTTTTAATATTAGCGAAACAAAGAGAAGATCGGAGAGTTATAAAGGCGTTGAACGAGTTTATGGACTTGGTAGTGGAAACAGTAGCATCAATCGATGACGGTCATATTCTAGTGAAAGATATGCTAAGCATTAATTATGAAAGCATAGATTTTATATCGATAATAACTGAAATGAAACATTTCCACTATAAGAGATATCCGAACAAATTTTTAGAAATTGTTCGAATCAGACATAACGAAGCTGAATGCTGCAAGAAGTTTTTCAAAGTGTCTGAAATTCTTCTGAAACTATCCAGTTTTGTACGAAAACGTAATATTATTAAATTATACGCTTTCGAAAAATAAATTTTCAATTATTTCAGAGTGCAATTGGAATGACAGAATTTTCACATATGATGACATAAAGATTGCCCATTTTTGCAGCGCCTCATACTCGTGGGATTTTTCTGAGATAATCTTATTTATTGAGAAAACATTTACAAGAGAATTTATAGAGACCGTTCTTTTGGGTGGTTATTGCATGAAAAGTGCAATATTTCGCTATATGCTCGTTGCAAATGAATTAAAAAATAAAAAGCTATACAACCAAAATGGAGTTACAAATGTATACTACTGTATGGCAAAATTTGCTGTGTACGTAGTGGAAACTACCGTAAATCAGTATCAGAAATTTTCCGAAGAACTTTTCAAGGGCAGCTCAATAGACTACAAGCTATTGGAAAGTACAAGTTTGAAAATTGACGATATTGAGAACGAGAAAACTATCGTTCGGCGCCTTCTTCAACTGGAAGGAAATGACTGCGATTCTCTCAGTGTCAGATTTGATCAATTAAAAGGTTATCTGTTCGAGAATGAACTAGAGAACGTGGCGGTTTTGCTTGAACTTCTGGTGAACGTTTACGGCTTGAAGATTGACTTTGACAAATCGATTTTTTTGCGTCTTGTCGTAAGTTTATAATTTCAATCATTGGGAATTTAAATAGAATATGTGTTTTCTTTCATTTATAGAAAGTTAACGTTTCGCTACCTCCTCAAAATGTACACTCTGATATTCGCCGTTTGATAAATGCGATTCTTGATCACTCTAGCGACCTATCAGTGCTAGAAATACTCGTTCAGGAGAGTGACATTATTGTTGGATTAACAGAACTAATACAAAAATACGAACAGATGGAAGAGTTTTGCAACAGACATATTTCGGGCTGTCGCGAAACGTTCAATACTAACTTGGCACTATTGATAAAGGTAATTTCACCGATTATCTTCCAATTGAAGGATGCTGATAACGTTATGGACATTATTACCCTGTGGAGACGATGTACGAAGCTTAAAGCGACACATAATACTGTTGACCTATCCGTTCCTTTTGATATTGTACGAAGGCAATTTGGATCTTATTTAGGCCTGTCGGACGTAGACGAAGAAGACATGAGCGCTAAAGTTGAAACATTAAGAGGAATAATTTGCTTTGGAAATGTTACCTTCAGTTATAGTTCCACCAAGATTAGAAGTCTTATTGTTGATGAGGAAAGCTCGTTAGTCGAATCGGTCGTTATCGAAGAGTTGTTTAAATGGTCGAAAACGCATAAAGAATTGTTTCTGGCCATAAATTCAAGAGACGGACTTGCAATTACTCTGTTTGTTAAATTCGTCCAGTCCGTCAAGGATCTAAAGGAAGCAATGGAAGAACTATCGAACGCGGGATTCAGTCCCTTTAAAAAATATGATATTTCCATTATGAACCGAAAAGGCAATCGTCATGTAACGATTGAAGGCATAGCGGAGAAGAGTCTGACTGGCGCTCTAACTTTTCCAAGGCACGAGAAAATTAAAAAAATAACTCGAGCCGTTCAATGCTTTATCGAAGAATGGAAATTGAAGTTGGCGACAAAACGAGAAAGATATCCTTGCTTGAAGTATTTTCCATCGGAAAAAATCTTTACACTCGGCAAAGAAATGATAGAATTTGATCTATCCGGTACGATAACGGACGAAATGGCGCGACTAGCGGGAATATTTGCTGACGATAAAATTGACTGTAAAGATCTTTATGATGGAATTGCCTATTCTCTGAGAATGCAAGAGGTTGACGTACACTATAACATTGACACATCGGCTCTTGCTATTGATGATGACAAAAGGTATTGTATTGTATTTATTTTTTTATTTGTCGTAAAACTTTACCTATTTCATGTAATTATTGATCAGTATTATTGAGAATTTGTGGAACGTATGGAAAACTCATATGATGTTTATTGACGATGGCCCGTTGGGTGTAGGATTCGGTTCTATCGGACATTTCGCTGGCTATCTCTACCAATCCAACATGAAGCGAAATACCGCTTATATCTCAATGATAACCAAAGGTCTTCCATGTCTATTTCAAGAGTCGGAAGAAACGATGCTACGAAAAATGACAATCCTCCTTATGAAGGAGAACACCGACTGGAGTATAAAGCCAAATCAAATACAACTCTGCAGTGAACAAACGACTGTTGAAGACCTTCAAATATTTCTCGAGCAGGCAGCGTTCTTCACTAATGAATTATTTTGCGTAGGGGATGTAAAATTACTGAACGAGAGCTGCGTTGAAATATTCTTTGATATTTTTCGATTTTTACTCGGAGTTGGAAAGATAGGTGAGAAAAAATGTTTATATTTTTTGTTTAGCTAATATAGTTAACTAAATGTGTGTTCCTTTATCCTTCTACCAAGGTACTATCAAACTGGCGATTTTTTGCTCGGATTCAAGTTCAACTTGTCGATTTTGTGGATCAGATATCTTCCTTAAGGCTTCTAGCGAATTCGCTCTTGACATGTCATTGCATGTTTCACGGCAACTAATTGTAAATTCAGTAATCACGAAGAGAGTGGAAATAGAAAATGAAGTGTTTATCGAGAGGAGAATGTCCCAGGTAGTTTTAAGCGGTGCAATATCAACAAGACAACACTTGAAAAACAGGACTAGACAACATTTACATCCCGACTTTAAGGATAGCAACTATTTTATTATTCGTCCTAATGATGACACTTCACTTGTTGAATTAATCGAAGAACTAGACGAAATATCAGAGTACAGGAAAGAGGAGATTTTTATAGCATATCATTTTGATTTGAAGAGCATGTCGATTCCCTTGGCCGACAGCCTTTTGTTTCGATTGACGGTCGTTGGCGCACTCGTCAAAAATGATAGATTATGGAAATGTGAAAATCGCTTTTATTTCAATTTTGAGATAAGCGAACACCAAATACAAAAATACAAGTTTGCCAAAATTCTCCCAATTATGGATTTAGGAACCGTTGAAGTTTTGGAATATGACGACAATTTATAAGTCTTTTTTTCTGGTCTAACGAAAGTCAATAGACGGATACTATCAGTATTATTTTATACAAAAATATCAATGATTACGTTAAATACCATATATTTAAATGTATTTATACAACAAATTTTTTTAACTTTTTTACACAATTTTTCTGCAGTTTAATGTTGAATTTACACCAAATTTTTTTCAATTTTTTCATTTACATAACAGTATTTAATAAATTACTTTCAGTTAATTAAAATATAACGTCTGCTTCGTTTACGTTGCAAGAACAGTTGTTGTTCGGTTTCCAGACACTCGAATGCATTTCACTGGCAATTCGATAAGTCTTTTTTTGGATTATGTTCAATTTAAATGTGCCGTACTTTGTACGTTCGTATAGAAACAGCGCTTATAAGATATTTTTATGTTTTAGATGAGAACATTATCATGAAATTTTGTACATATCATTGGGTAGATAAAAACCCACGACAACTATTTCTTCGATATAACAATTTGTAACTAAATAGAAATTAAGTTCTTTTTAAAGGGAGCTTTCTGCTATTTTGAACAAGATAAATGATAGAAGAGAAATTGAGAGGATTAGGAAATCAATTAATCGCTAGTAAAGTAGTGTTTATTAGTAGAAATAAGTTGTTTTTCGTACTATTTAATTTATTATTCTCTTGATCCGTATCAATTTATATTCGAGTCATTTGAAATGAAACCTTATCTATATAATTATCTATATAATTGAAGAAAAACAATTAAAACTTTCTTATTAAAGTTGTATAGATGCAATAGGTTGTTTATCAACAATAACAGTGAACCAAAATCTAATAAACAAATGCAAATAATATCCAACTAAATTAGAGAAAAGATGAAAAGAGTAGACGACTTAAGAAGATAAATTTTTTGACAAACATCATACAAGTTGTGACATATACTGTATTTAATAGATTAAACAAATTAATAAAGAAAATGACTATAAAAGATCCTATATAGTTTGTCTATGAAAGTAATGAATTATAAATCATAGTCACTTATTAAATGGATAAAATATATTAGGAATAGATACGGAAAAAGTATATACTGTATATGTATATACAGTATATATATAGTATATAGAAAGTAGAAGAGACAAGAGCTTAACTTCAAAACTAATCATTTTTCTCCTATTATTCCATTGTTTTGTTCGTTAATTAATCCATAACTAGATTGTTCTCTACGAAAAAGATCTGTGTCATATACATTGTCTATAAATAGTCTTATAATGCAGATATACTGGATACATAGAAAGATACATGACTATTCATAATTTGTATAAACATTTATGTATATAGTATATATTTATAACACTGTATTTATAAAAGAAAAAACATGAGGTCCTAATACAAATATTCTGCTAAATTATCCTAACCATATGCTATAATTAACATTAACGATTAAGCAGCTAAATCTATCATTTATAATCAAATGGCTAGCCTATATGATTTGTTTCACTACATTATTGTTATTGATCTCTAAGCAATGAACTAACATTTCAAAAGAAATGACTATCCCTTAAAATAGGCTGAAAAAGGTGCTTTTCTAATGTAGAATTGATATTCTAAAATTGGACAGGGAATCAGATTTTATTCCACTTTTTTATTTGTTTGTAATCGTATTTTCTTAATGAAATTCCAATTAAAGTATAGATATATGGTTTATATATGACATATATACAATAATTGTATAGTAATTATTTTCTAGACAGTTCAATTTAATGGTATCTCCATGATTTTTTTATCATCTAAAAATACACTTCTATACAAATCTGTAAAATAGAAACAACAATGTCTGGGAAATGATGATTACGAAAGTAAACTTATAGTATATTAATATATGTAATATATTCTAATACAATTTGATAGAATAGATTAAGTATCATTTGGCAAACACATCTGAGATAAACCTTTATTCTAATTCGAAATAACATAGAAACAATGAAAATTTAGAATCTTGTTTTTCTTTGTTTTCCTCTCTATTGATCTATGTTCACAATAAGAGGAAAGAAACAAGGAAAAAAAGATATAAAGAGAGAAATGACAAAGACCTCTTAGAAGAGAATAACAATTGATATTATCGTAAATTAAATACATTTTTTTACTTCTCTTATTTTTTTTTAATAAAAACAAAACTAAGCAAACAAGAAACGACATGATAAAATATATAATATATCACGGTACGATTGAAAACAAAGTTAATAAGGCTATACAACAGAAGAGAGAGAGAGAGAGAGAGAGTAATATTTCATCAATATTTTTCCTATACTAGGAAAAATCATTAAAAAGAAAGAAAAAATATCCCCACCTGCCGTCCTTTCCTCTCTCTCCCTCTCTCTCTCTCTCTCTCTCTCTCAAGCCTTCCTTTAAAGGGAATTTAGCAAGTCGATATTCGATTGCTTATGTCGATTTTCTTTTTTACAATCATTTTCTTATATATTCAAATAAAGTTCGTCTTTTTAATCAAAAAAAAAGCGATACGGTTTTAATTTTCCATTCTATTGATTTAAATAGGTTTTTTGATGTTTGAATTTTTTTTTATTTCATTGACAAACTTTTCTGACAAACTTTTTTTTTTTAAATGTAACCTACTTATTGATATTAATAAACAAATACTATACATATATATACTTAATAGTTGTTGTTTGTTCTCTTTTTACTTTCACTTCAAAAAAAAACACATTTAATAAAAAAAAATTCTAGTGTCGCATAGTAATGGCGCTTATAGGCCTATATTTACATAAAGAAAAATTGATTAATGGCGTAAAAGACAGCACATGAATTTTTGAAAAGAGGGATTGAGCGCAAACTTTGAGCTTTCATTTTCCGATAAGCAAATATTACGAATAGGCTTACTGTTCACGCTAATAATCGGTTATTTAGAGCGGACTATATATATATAGTATATTTATATAATCTCTATATACAGTATATATATAAGACACCCGTTTTTTTCAAATCAAATAATTTTTGTTAAATTTGTTTTTTTAAAAAAAAAAAAAGGTAAAAAAGTATGATTTAATATAAAATTCAATAAAAATTTAAAATTTGCAAACGTGACATGTAAACTTAACAATCTTAAACAAGTTAGCAGAGGATTAGCACTTACCCAATATAGTGTATGCATTAATTTCAATCCTGATCAGTATTGATTAATTTGCTAAGCTCTTGCCATTCATATTACAAAGAAAAAAAATTGCAATATATATAATATTTATTTATACTTTGATTATTAAGCCTATTTTAGTTTAATTTCTACTATTTTCGTGAACAGTGAACAGTCATAGGCGTTACAATGAATTTTCGCTTTTTTTAAATAAAAAAAAAAAGATGAATAAGTTCAAAAATGATTTGTTATTCAACTGTTGAAAATTAATGTTGAACTATGAAGAAATTTTTGTAGAATAGTTCAAATCTTCCTTATTAATCTACAAACTATCACATTGGCATTTTCTATATACATACACACACACACACACACAAACAAAAACACCTAACCGTTGGCAAAGTATCGTAAAAATATTTAGATATACTGTATGTTTTGTATAAATTTAACTATTGTAGAGCTTTATGCTGTTATTGAATTTTTATGCGATTGTATATGTATTTTTCTGTATTTCCTTGATATGCAACTCTATCAAGGCCTAACGATTACTATCGAGTAAAAAAGGTAAAGCAGTCATTCTGGTTTCTCTTTCAAATGGGTGTTTGTATTAAGACTCGTACAACGTATAACAAATGGATTAATGATGAGCAGAAAATAAAGCCACTTTATCTTAGTATTTTTTTGGAAGAGAGTTGAGTAAAACAGAAAAGAAAACGCTTTTTGTGCATTAAAAATGAACAATTAATCTTTCAAAAGTTACTTCTTCTCTTCGTTTCTTTTTTTTTTATTTTTTTTTTACATGTTTCATTCTAACGTTATATCTTCTAAGTTTTGAAGGAATATAGAAAAGGTGAGGAGTAGGAGGAAGAAAGCATGAATAAAAAATATCGAACGGTTACTGTTTACGCACAATTCTTCTATTTTCCAATAGATACTATTACAACTATTTGTTCCAGACAGGGCACACAAGAAGAAATAATCACACATATTACAGAAGAGACGTTATAGATATATATATACATGTGGCAGATGTCTTTATTTGCTATAATTCATACGTTTGTAGGTTGTACGTAGAATGCAGGCAGCAACTAGTCCAAATATCTATAGCAAAATAGAATTATCATTCTCACATTAAAAGTTACCATTAGTATTATTAAAAAGCTGAAATGGATTTTACTAACTTGAATAGCTGCTATGCAAAAGCCTATAATCATCAATTTTATTGAATGATCGTGGTACCATTTCTTTAAAGCTTCTTCGCACCCTTGTTTGTTCAAATATTTAGAAGGGTTTCCCGTCTCCGCTTCATTTAGGCATTCTTTATACTCATCCGCAACCCTATCTTCGCCGTAATTCGAACAACAAGAATAAGGGACCATCTGAGTTCCAGGCCCACCGAACCACGTACTATTTTTGTAATCTTTATAATTGTAGACTCCGCAACATTTCAGCTGATTGCAAAAAGAGAAAAAAAAACATAATAAAATCATAAAACATCATCAAAGCATTTTACTTGGTCTTGCAAAAAATCGTAAGCGGTAGTTGTGTCGTTGACGCGTCCATACTCTTTCTGAACTTCTCGTATCATGTCATCGTGCAAATGATCGTTGATTTTTTTCTTGTATACAATTGCGAGGACAGCAACCGCTGCCTCGGCCAGCATGATAACGATCAAACAAGCGGCGTACTACAGACAAAAAAGAATCTTTTGTAAGAAAAAACTTCGCAAGTAAAGTTAACTTTTAACGAAACAACCAATCTTCAATACAAACATACAAATTAAAAGCTTACCAAGAATAAAAGAGGTTGACTCTTCTTAATAGCGCCGCAACAACCGATAAGAGATACAAGGAGAACAACTCCTCCAATTATGATAAGAATAAGGCTTATTTGACCCAACAAAGGAGCAGCTTGGCCAACGTTAACAGCATCCAGGTACTTGGATAAAGTATTATCCAATTTCATCCATACTCCCATTCCAAGTAGTCCAATACCGGAGAGCTAGAAAACATTGTTTTTTATTAACTAATTTCTTTAAAAAAGACACGAATATTTCTTATCACGAATCCAGTGCAGAAATTATTTGCTGTCAAGAAATTCTGCTGAAAAGGCAAAATTCTCGCCAAATAGGTTAATGTAGAATATTACGGGCCTTCGAATCGTCTATATACCTAGGTGTATTGTTATAAATTCAAAATTCACTATGCGTAACCAGTATAAAAAAACCGTCGCTAGGTTAGTCAAAACGGATTTATTCTACTTCTTGTATTTTCTTTTTCTTTATTTAAATATGAGAATACGTTATGTTCAATACAATCAAACGATCTTTTAGCTGTATTTTCCCTCTACATATTCATAAATACGTATAATCACGCAAAGTTTTCTATTCTATTAGTAATGTTCTTTAAATTGGTGCCTAGGTATATTCTTATTATCGTTCAAAAATTAGGTCAAAATGAAAAATGTTCCAATAAAAGAATAAAGAACAAAACAACCCCTTTAGTATTAATAAAATACTTACAACAAAAATTGTATTGAAGATAATCAAAAAAACTCTGGGCAAATTTCCTCCGCACATTTTTCCTTGATAGATTCTTGTATCTAGAGCGATATAGACTTTATAATTTCCTTTTTTTTTTAAAGAGGTAAAGATTTTTAGATGCAAAAAACGAATGCTTTTTTGTGTCCAAAAATATGTCCTTAAACTGGGTTTAGAGGTAAGATACAAGTTTTCTTTGGAATGCAATATTTTATTCTATTTGCTTCCTTTTTCACTTGGTGGTGTTAATTTCTTTTTTCGTCTACCTGACTTTTATTTTATTCCAATTTTCGACTATTCTCCGATTTTTCTCCGTTCACTTTCTTCACAAGCTCTCTCTCTCTTTTTCTCTCTCTCTCCCTATCTCTCGCTCACTATTGATCGTGCTTTAGTGATTTCCTACTCGCTTCCCTTGCCTTCGCTTACTGACGTTCAACACGCAACAGAAAAGCTTCCTGAACAGTAAAAAAAAAAGGCAGCAGGGTGGCGCTATCGACCAAATCCTTTTATTCACTTTTGTATACTTTTAAAGCGCATGCGCATTAAGACTCAATACATATCTAAGAATTCGAAATACGGTTAACAAAAGAAAGGAAGGGAGGGTTTATTTAAAAGTATGGAAACAGACAGAGAGGGGGGGAAGGAAGTCTGAAGAAGAGAAACACGGGAAATATCGATTCACGCAAACATGTCAGTGTCTTTACGTATGCAAATTAGGCCTATTGTTTTATTTTATGTCACCTTGAGTACGACACTTTACAAAACAACGCATTCTTAACTGGACGGCGAACCTGACCGAGTAATCGTCTGTAACGTAGACGATTTATTTATATTTTTAAAGTTTTAGCTATTTTACTTATAATTTCTTAATAGATATAAGTTCAGATTAAAGATGGAGTTGACAATCATTTCGAATGATGACGAATGGAGCACGGATAGTGGTCTATTTTCATCGTCATCTTATAAAAGTTCAACGAACGACGATTACGATTCGACTGATTACGAAACTGCCGAAAGTGGAGACGACGTAGAGAGCGTCTACCATTCGGCCAGAAGCGATTCTAGTCTGAACGACAAGTCCCCAAAGAAAAACTCTAGCCTAAGCGAAGCCCTGCAGAGAACTGCAAGACGAATGAGTGAGGAACACTTTCTATCAGAAAATGGACCTCCCGCTCCTTTTGGTCTTCTTCGTCAATGGATCGTGGAAGGCGTTGTAGGAGGAGAGCAGATTTTAAAATACATTCCAAGAGATTGTCTAATTGGTAGACAATTAAAAGTAGCAGCTCAATTTTTCCATGTCATGAATGCTTCAACAAGACAAATGAATCATGTAACCCATTTCCAAGGTCTTCTTATGACTCACCGATCAAATTCATGCCCTGATCTATTGATAAGTCGATTACGCAGTGTTGAAAATGTCTGGCCTAGTACCATAAATTCGTCAATATCAAACAAATTGAAACGAACATCTCAATTAGATACAGACAGCCTTACATGGCCAAATAATATTTGGTGAGTAAGTTGAAAAAAACAAAACAAATAAAAAACAAAAACAAATAAATCTATAAAAGACGTTTAAAAAAACACAACAGATGGGAAAAGATAAGGAAAAAGTGAAAGATGGATTGTGTAAAATCTTTCTCTTTTATTACTCTTTTTAAAAATGGATTTTAATTATGAGAAATAACGTCTTAATTAGTATATTTTTAAAGAAATATCTCAATTTAAAATTAAATTATTGTGCTTTTATAAAAGAAATTGACTTGGATTTTATAGTATATTAATTTTATTCAAATATAACAAATGAAACAAATTATGACCTATATCTTCTGTTCATTTCTATTCTGCTACTATTCTTACTACTACAAATCATAATAATATCATAAAATCTATATTAATTACAGGAAGTGTGGTCTTTATTTTAAGCCTAATTTTAGTAATAGACATCTGTCGGAACTGAATAAATACTCGGCTGCAAAAAAATAGACTGATTAAACAAACATTTTCCATATAAATATGATGGTCTTTAACGCGATTGTCATCAGATTTCAACATGAAGGTTCTCCTATACTTCTTACTTGGTAAACTTTATTCAAAGATATTCGCTTAACTTTTTCGCTTTAACTCTTTATAATCTCTTTTAGTTGGATTCGGATTGCAGATAACTTCCGCATCTGATTACGTTTGTCAGAGCGGTTTAAACAGTTTTAACATCTTTAGTGGTTCAGGCTACTTGAAAAGTAGAAATTTTCCATCAAATTATAACAATTACGAAAATTGTCATTACTTTTTTAACCCGCCAGCTAATTACGTAAGTTTATTACCTTTGTTCAATTTCATACGTGAATACGGTCTTTTTTTCTTCCATCTTCAAAAAGGTTGTTAAGCTTGTATTTAGAGATTTTGAGTTAGAAGGTCGAAAACCTTACTGTCGCTATGATAAGCTTAAAATATCCACTCGAAGCTATTCAAAAATTTTCTGCGGACAGAGTTCAAGTGAGTTTTACGAATTTTTCAAAACTATATCTAAAGAAATAAAAACTCGATTCTTCCAGTAAGTGGATCTTCTACAACCACTGGCACTGTACTTATTGGGGAATGGATAACTATCAGAGCGCCGTTTAACATCTCATTTACAACCGATAGTTCTATAACTCGTAGGGGATTTGAGATAGAATTCAAGTTTGAAGGCGATCATTCAGGTAGCAGTCCACAATATGGAAATAACTCCTCTACATATCCTCACGGAAACAGTTCCACTGGATATCCTCACTATCCACACCACAATGGCTCCACCAATTATCCTCATGGAAACAGCTCCACTGGATATCCTCACTATCCGCACCACAACAGTTCCACAAACTATCCTCATGGAAATAGTTCCACTGGTTATCCCCACTATCCACATCACAACAGTTCTACTGGCTATCCCCATTATCCACACCACAATGATTCCACGAACTATCCTCATGGAAACAGTTCCACTGGATATCCTCACTATCCACACCACAATGGCTCCTCCAATTATCCTCATGGAAACAGCTCCACTGGATATCCTCACTATCCGCACCACAACAGTTCCACAAACTATCCTCATGGAAATAGTTCCACTGGTTATCCCCACTATCCACATCACAACAGTTCTACTGGCTATCCCCATTATCCACACCACAATGATTCCACGAACTATCCTCATGGAAATGGTTCCACTGGCTATCCCCACTATCCACACCATAACAGTTCAACTGGCTATCCCCATTATCCACACCACAACAGTTCTACTGGATATCCACATTATCCACACCACAACAGTTCCACGAACTATCCTCATGGAAATGGTTCCACTGGCTATCCCCACTATCCACACCATAACAGTTCAACTGGCTATCCCCATTATCCACACCACAACAGTTCTACTGGATATCCACATTATCCACACCACAACAGTTCCACGAACTATCCTCATGGAAATGGTTCCACTGGCTATCCCCACTATCCACACCACAACAGTTCTACTGGATATCCACATTATCCACACCAAAACAGCTCCACTGGATATCCTCACTATCCGCACCACAACAGTTCCACAAACTATCCTCATGGAAATAGTTCCACTGGTTATCCCCACTATCCACATCACAACAGTTCTACTGGCTATCCCCATTATCCACACCACAACAGTTCCACAAACTATCCTCATGGAAATGGCTCCACTGGCTATCCCCACTATCCACACCACAACAGTTCCACTGGATATCCACATTATCCACACCACAACAGTTCTACTGGCTATCCCCATTATCCACACCACAATGATTCCACGAACTATCCTCATGGAAATGGTTCCACTGGCTATCCCCACTATCCACACCACAACAGTTCTACTGGATATCCACATTATCCACACCAAAACAGTTCCACTGGATATCCACATTATCCACACCACAACAGTTCCACAAACTATCCTCATGGAAATGGCTCCACTGGCTATCCCCACTATCCACACCACAACAGTTCCACTGGATATCCACATTATCCACACCACAACAGTTCTACTGGATATCCCCATTATCCACACCACAATGATTCCACGAACTATCCTCATGGAAATGGTTCCACTGGCTATCCCCACTATCCACACCATAACAGTTCAACTGGCTATCCCCATTATCCACACCACAACAGTTCCACAAACTATCCTCATGGAAATGGCTCCACTGGCTATCCCCACTATCCACACCACAACAGTTCCACTGGATATCCACATTATCCACACCACAACAGTTCTACTGGCTATCCCCATTATCCACACCACAATGATTCCACGAACTATCCTCATGGAAATGGTTCCACTGGCTATCCCCACTATCCACACCACAACAGTTCTACTGGCTATCCCCATTATCCGCACCACAATGATTCCACGAACTATCCTCATGGAAATGGTTCCACTGGCTATCCACATTATCCACACCACAACAGTTCCACTGGCTATCCCCATTATCCGCACCACAATGATTCCACGAACTATCCTCATGGAAATGGTTCCACTGGCTATCCCCACTATCCACACCACAACAGTTCTACTGGATATCCACATTATCCACACCAAAACAGTTCCACTGGATATCCACATTATCCACACCACAACAGTTCCACAAACTATCCTCATGGAAATGGCTCCACTGGCTATCCCCACTATCCACACCACAACAGTTCTACTGGCTATCCCCATTATCCGCACCACAATGATTCCACGAACTATCCTCATGGAAATGGTTCCACTGGCTATCCACATTATCCACACCACAACAGTTCCACTGGCTATCCCCATTATCCACACCACAACAGTTCTACTGGATATCCACATTATCCACACCACAACAGTTCCACAAACTATCCTCATGGAAATGGCTCCACTGGCTATCCACATTATCCACACCACAACAGTTCCACAAACTATCCTCATGGAAATGGCTCCACTGGCTATCCCCACTATCCACACCACAACAGTTCTACTGGCTATCCACATTATCCACACCACAACAGTTCTACTGGCTATCCCCATTATCCACACCACAACAGTTCCACAAACTATCCTCATGGAAATAGTTCCACTGGCTATCCACACAACAACGGATCCGTACATCATCCTCGTAGAAACTGCTCAACTAGCAATCCCCACTACCCACACCAAGGTAACCCAAATTCTCCTAACCATCACTTGTCTGATGGTATAATATCTTATTAAAAGGGTTTTTAAAAATAAGTGTAAAGAATCTATCTTTCCTTTCAGCTCAAAGATGCGTTGGAAATCAAGTCGTTGCGAATGAATTTGGAAATATAGTGCACGAAGGATATCCAGGAAAGTATGAGAGATACTCGTGGTGCTCATTTGACTTTCCAAGTCCTCCTGAAAAGGTTTGAGGATAATTGTGACATATATTAAATTTATTTCGTCTTTTATTTATAAAAAACTTACATTAGGAGTTGATGGTAAAATTTATAAGATTCGATCTGGAGAATAGTGGAAATTGTATGTCTGATTTATTAACGTTTTCATCGATTGGAGGTTTTAGAAGAATCTTTTGCTCCAACGGTATCACAATGTTCTTTTTATACAATATAGCAGTATATTTTTCTGAATATGTTTTTACTTTTATTTCTCTTTTTTGCCAAACTAGGAACTGATGAAAAGAGTCCAGCTATGCATGTATGGATTGCAGTGCCAACACCCCTTCACATTGAATTCAAATCGAATGGAATAGTAAACGGAAAAGGATTTCATATACAGTATAAGTTTGTCAATTCGAGTAATGTTAACAATCTGCATATGGTAGGAAGCTATTACACAATGAAAGAAGCAACAAACACCCACAATCAAGGTTCATCTGCTGAACAGAGACCAGTAGAAACTAACAGACCTTGCCATAGTAATTCGACTAATCCTTAAGGAAACATTCAAAAAATCATTTAAGAAAAGAGAAAAAATTCAAATAGATTTCAATTTTTGAATAAATATTTAACGAAGCATTGAAAGAGATAGTAAATGTAGAATATTTGTAATATCATTAAATATGTCATTTCTCTTTCGATCTCTTTCGATCTCTATCTTATTTATTTCCTATTGTTGCAAAATATCTTGATACGGATCTATTGTTTAAGCGATAATTGAATTAATACTTTTTAAAGTTATTAAGAATATCTTTTATCATATGAAATTACTTGTAAATTATAGAAAAAATCTATTTTTAAAGATTTATTGATGAAATTCTATTGTTTTCAATAGTTTAGGCATAAATATCTCTTTACAAACAGCTTAATTGTTTATCTCGCCATATAACTTTTTTTTTTTAACAATCGACGTACTTGACTTTAATTGTTAATTTTCAACTTTGTTTTTTTCATTATTTTCAACCTTTTTAAAACTCTTTCGAGTAGCCTAAACGAACGCCTTCTATATAAATTAAAAAGCTGTTTTAAAATCAGATAGAAGATAGATGGCGCTGTGTTTTTTCTTTAATATAATACTTTCCTCCATTTAATTATATAAATGTTTTAAAATTGCTGATTCTGAGGAAAGATTAAGGAAAGTTAAGTATAGACAGGAAATTAGATGGTAAAGGAAGAACAATAAGATAGGAAAGAAAGAAAATTAGGATAACGTTGTATCAATGGTCAATCATTTAAATTGCAATTTCAGAAGGGAAAGATTAAAGCGGAAGATTGTTTGATTACAGCCTGTAAGGGTAAAACCTCCCTGTGGAGGGGTTAAAGAATGAATGGTATTGAAATTTTGTAAATCTACTTATTCCGGTTGTATTCATTGCTACTTTTGAAAATCTCGAATTATATTTTATGATCTGAAGATAAAATACGAGGCCGAAAATTTTGATGGTCGTTGGGAAAAGACCGAAAGGGCGCCCGTTCGTCGGGTTAGCGAAATTCAGCTAAATTTGTACATTACTGGACAGCAGGAGGGATGGGCGTACATAAGATATCAAAGGCGTCGTAAAAGTTATGCAATTAGGCAGTTACCATTTATCCTTAATGCCTATTTAGAATGAACATTTAAATTTCTTTTATTTATTTTTGTCACTTTTTCGTTAAATTTATCACCTAGAAATTAGTTGGAACAAGGTATTATTTCAATATTTAACCTACATGACTATGTAGTTGTTTTAGTATTGAACAAGCATTTAGGAAAACAGCTTCTCTCCCACACGTTCCCCGCCCCCCTCTGAAACTATAGCAGGTGTCAAAAATTCGCTGCTCAATCATCCAATATCCAATAAGAAGTGTCACGGACAAGCAGAGACAGAGTGTGAGAGACAAAAAGTGACGCACGGAGGAGTAAGGAATACGATTGACATAAATAGGTGGAGTCAAGGAGGGGGGAGTGACTGGAATGCAAATTTATCGTTATTTAATTTAATTATATATCGCTAACGAGCCTGTCATCCTATTGAATTGTAGACTATCTACCTTTTCCCTTGATTTCAACGCAAAGAAAAGTTATAACGTAAGAGCGAAAAAAAAAGACCGCTTTTAAACTATCGACTGTGCGTTGGCACCTCTCCCCAGGGGCTATTGTGCAATTGGCGGGCGCATCCGGGTTCTTAACAGGTTGTTGGACAAGTGCCCAAAGCTCTGAGAAAATACCTTTATTTCACGTCACATTGTTTCGTTGTGTAATAATAACTCTGTTAGGAAGAAGGGGTTAGCTAAGTAGGAGGTCCCAAGACTATGGTCTCGGTGGAAATTTGAACATTTGAACATAAGATCTTTTCTTATTTTTCTTTCTTGCTCCTACCCCCTCTCGCTCTTTCTCTCTCTCTGTCTCCCCTCTGTGCTTCCTCTACCTTTTTAATTTTTAAAATAACATCGACAGATTTATTTAATGATTTTTAGAAAATTTACTACCTCAGCGAGAGTGACGTTGAATTAATATGGCGTGAGAACCGGCGTCCGGTGTATTGTTGGTAAATAACGTAGTTGGAGAAAAAATATTACCCTCTTTATCACGTGATCGATCAGCGTGTTCGCACCCCGAGATTATCTATTAAACGAATAGTTTTTTTCCGATTAGCTTGAGGCAATATGAACAGAAATAGGCATGTATAAATTGAGGAAAAGGATTCGATATATAATCTATTATTATCGCATATCCAATAATCTAATCTGTTATCAGATAACCCAATTGTGTTGTCATATAATCTCGAAATCCTTAAGTTTTTTTCTTACGCGTATGCATATACTATATTTACACATAGACAGATAGGTAGACAGACACAGACACATAAACTACGACTCATGTTAAATTCTTTTAGTTTTCTTTTCGAGTACGCTTAAGAATTTGTTCGTGTATTAAAGAAAAAGATGGTCGTTAAAGCCCCCACCGAAAATTACTTTTATAGTGCAATTTATTACCAATTGAGCGTTTTTTAAATCGACCTTATCCGAATATTAACGAGTTTGTTGCCTTAAATAGTTTATTCTTACCCAAAGGGTGGAAAAAAACACAAAAGTCATACGCAGTACTATTAAATAACCAATAAAGCTTTACCAAACAAATTATAGGCTTATAGAAATTAAAAGTAGAAAACAAAAAGGAAAAAAAGTAAATTAGATAAAAAGTCATAAAATTGTAAATTTAACTTTTGTCCACAAACTAGTATTGGAGTTGTTATTAAACATTGATATTCCGTCCATGTATATATAAATTGGCAGATTTACGCTTTATAGAGCATATGTATAAGTATCAATTGTTTACTAAGAGGATTAAAAAGTTTTACAGGCCAAAAGGAAAGAAAAACTTAAGATTAAACGCGAATTTACTTTCCCTTACAAAGATAAAGAGGCGAGCATCTGTACACGAGTCCGTACGCTAGACGGTTTATGACGCTTTCACAAATTCGGAAATCACATGCCTTCTCCCATTAAAAAAGGAATAAAGAAAGAACAGAGAATGGACGCAGATGTTTACGAAGCGTAATTACTACAATCAACAGATATAGATAACAATATGTCCTAGTGCTAATGTATTCGTACCTCTTTCTTTTACCCTTTTTTTACCTTTGCTAGTTTTCTTAACATACTAATTATATAGGCGAAAATCTTATCAAACATCTCTCCCACCTATAAAATCGCATTATTCTTTGTTTTCCATAGCATTCCAATTAGCAAAAAAACACCCATTGTTTGCGTAATAAGACGTCCAAAGAAAGGGTTTTATAATTACACCTATAAAGAAGACTCATTCGTATTAATTTCTGACTGTTTTCTCTAGCATCATAAATAAAAAATTCAAGGTAACAATATAGTTATAAATACAGAGAGATAGACAGAGAGAGAAAGAGAGAGAGAGAGAGAGAATACTTTAGACACTTAATTGAAGTATTTTATAAATATAAAACAAAGAAACTGCTAATAAAACAACAGGATAAAAAAAAAAAAAAGAGTACGATTGCGTGCAGGAAGTTCCCATAAAGGCTTCCTGTGTATTATGTAAGTACTTGAACAGTCACTTTTCGTATCATGTATCAAAAATTTTTATCTTTTAGAAGTATTTAGGTACCTTTGATGATTAAGAGGAGATGCATAAAAAGAAAGAAAAAAACTCATATTTCTCTTTCATTTTTTTCTGACTTTTATTCTCAATTTTATCTTTCTTCTCTTTTTTGTACTTTTTTTTTGTTGTTGGTTCAATCGTTTTCCATTCAAATTTCTCTTTCTTTCTTCATTTTCTACTTTTCTTCACAAGTTTGTGAAAATTTTTAAATGGCGATTGAGAAAAGGGGCAGTGTAAACAAAAAAGAACGCAAGAAAAGAAATGCCTGTACAAAGAATTCGGCGGCAGATTAACGGCCATTCGTCGTTATTTGCCGAACGCCGTTTGAATTCTACGGTCAGCGCCTGTGGTAGTCATTAGGCCGTGCCGTGAATACAATCTAATGACGATTTGTACAATATTACGTAAGCTGTCTTTTTCTACTCCTTTATTTCGTTGTTTTTTTTGCAAGAAAGCGAACATTGTTTGTTCTGTGGTTATGGGGTACACGAGATTTATTTTCACTTTTCTTAATCCAGAAAGAATAGATTATTATCAGATAAGGGATATTAAAAAAAATAAAGTTGGATTAATATTTAGACCATATACAATAAATAAGGTTACAAAATATTATTTATTTATAGTAAAATAAATCAGTTTAGATGTATATTAATGTAAACAAATGTATGTTTATCCTTTTGAACACGCGCCATTTTATAGGCCTCTGGGGAAAAAACAATGGCGTAAAAAAATTAGGGAATCACGTGACCAACTTTATCCAATAGCCAATATAGCCCGCCTTCAAACCGGACGACAGCTAGTCACACTATTCCTACGTGCATTGGAAGAAAGATAGAACACGTTTTTTCTAATAAAAGTTTTACCGTAAACAGAGATTTCAAATTAATCGAAAAACTAAAGAGAAGATAAAGGAGATTATCGATATTCAAGATAGAATTTTTATAGTGAAGAAGGAAGACGAAGAAAACAGAAAAACTTATCATTGTACACAATTACGAAACGTGTATAATGTGAATGAAGTGAACTATTATCAGACCAATATCAATACGTAGCATAATTGAAGTACTAAAAAAGAGAACGGCTAACTTGAAAGAATGCAGATAACTATTTTTATGACTATCTTATTATTTTCATTGGTTAACCTATACGACCTGCCAACAGAACGTGGTAAGTAGACCAATTTTTATACGATATTTCTACAACATTATAAGGATTATATACCTATAAAAGAGGGAATACTTCGTATTTTAATATAATCTTATTATATATTGATAGTTTATCAACTCGTCGTGTATAAATCTATAATATATTTGCAAAATAATAAGTTAAATAACTACTTGTCTGTTTTTTCACTAGAAAACTATCCACCTATTCTCCTCCTACTGTATATTCTTTTTTAGTAAAAACCTAACCGCTTCGTCGCAGTTGAAATGACTTCATTCAATCTTTTGTTAAAAGTGTCGTACTTTATTTACTGATTACGCTTCGGTTGGGTTCGTTAACGTTAATGTTATAGGCCTTTTTCCTTCTCTCAGCTGTTTTCTTCTTTTTTTAAGAACATAAATGTAGTATAGAAATGCTATGAATTCAAGATTATAAGGTTTTCATACTTTACTCATTTTTGCTAAATTCCTATTCATTTATCTATTTTTGTATATTTATATACGTCATTCATGATTAAATGAAGTACGTATACAAACTCTTTCTAGAGTTAACATCAATTTTGATCTTCTGAAGGACAATCTATCAATTTACTCCCAACTTACCATTAACAAAAGGAAATAAATTAAAAAGATAACTAATATTGTATTTCAATGAGTTATTAGCGTGTTATTAACAAAAATAACAATAATAATACACCTTAAGACTTATGAGTTAAGTTTAAACTTAATTATACAAGTATTATCGGATAGTGTTAAAAAAGAACTCTTCAAAACGATCTTCACCTTTACGATATTGGGAATTAAGATCCTTAAAAATTTTGTTTACCTGGGATCCTGCTTCTTTACTGATAACGTGTTGTGTTACTCTCGGTTGTTCTGTTGATTTATTGGCCTTTTTTTTATGTCATCGCTTCTGTCTCAACCTACATCCTTTATATATATATATAGATGTACATAATCTATAGATAATTGTTAATATACAAAAAATTATAAATAAACAAAAGACACTAGAAAACTAGAAAGAATAGCTCATTTATTCTCTCTCTCTCTCTCTCTCTCTCTCTCTCTCTCTCTCTCAATATTTTTCATATATCTTCCCTTCTCCTCCCCCTTTCTTTTTTGTTGGGCACGTACAAGAAAATTGATTGAATAGTATTACATGGTATCAATGTTTGCAAGAGATACAATTAGTATTTAATTTTGACTAATCTGTAAGTATGCCTCTTAACCTTTATTTCGTCATATTATATTAAATCGTAAAGCATAAATGGTCTTTTATGTAAATATATATATATTCTATAATAACTAAATATTTATAATATGCACATACTACCAACTCTTTTGAAATACTAAATGATTTTTAAGAATAGCGTGAGAAAGGAAAAATTATTAAAGAGACTGAGAATTTATTGAACAAAATAATAATAATAATGTATTTGTAGATATTTTTCTCTTTATTGATTACTCACCTTGAAACTGTTTTTTAATACTAAAACCTTTTGTAAAAGGTTTTTCATTAAATATTCTATATAGTGTAGAATTTTACTGCATTATATGTAGATAAAATAAGAATTTTTTCCCCTTTCCTATGACCTTTCTCAAACTAACTTTCTTTTCCTCTTTATTCTACTTCTTTACGACTCTTTGAAGGTTATCAAATTCTCTTTATACACTGTCTATTTACGTACATATATAGATATATAAGCACTTCCGATCTCTTAAACTTTATGTTAGTAGAATAAGGTTGTTACGTTTATTTGCTGATTGGTAAAATAGGCCATTAATTAGGTGATAAAATTGCATGCCTAGTTACATCCTTCTTATTATTCATTCTATGAAACATGTACTAAAACGTCTACTTTATTCACACCTGTCAAACCGTTTGCGCTTACATCATTAAATGTCTTTTACGTAATAAGGGGAAAAAAATTCAAGTTATTTTAACAATTTACCCAACAGGTGGCGTTTTTTATTATTGTTATAAATGATTGTAATTTGTATAATATTTTCAAAAGTAATTCCCTTTTATTTTCAATCAGGTGTGACAATTCATAAAACCAAACATCATAGAGGCGTTTGCGATAAGCGAATTTTAAAGATCTTAGATCAGCTAACTGAACCGTCTCGACGTGCCTTAAAGATTTTCGAAGGCGAGATTAAGTCTCGTCCTAAAATATCTTCTTTTCTAAAGAAATTAAACAGAAAAGTTTGTAGGTAAGGAATATTACATCATATTATTATATTATTATGGTCTAATTGCTATTTAACGTACGTTTTTCCCTTTTTAGAACGTATAAAGCATATAAAAAATGCATTGAGAAGGAACGCTCTTACAACGAAAAGAGAGCAAAAAGAATACTTCATAAATACAAGATATTAACTGATGTTGTTCATAAATTCTGCTCAAAACCTAAAATAAAGTCAGATATTATTGAATGCTATACAAAATCGTCATTCGCATCTCTCGACTTGGTATTTTGTTTTAAGCAGGAGAAATTTGGTATTTCCAAAATTCCTAGATCTCGATGCTTGTTTGTATAGTAATATTAAAATAAATGTTCATTTTTAATATACCTTTTTCTATAGGTTTAAAAAACAGTATATTGCTTGTCAAAGTTTGTATTTAGAAGAAATATGTGGTAAAGAGACAAAAGATTTTTATAAACATGTAAATATTTTACATTTATCTTTAAAAAGACAATGTTGGAAAGAAATACAATCGCCATATAATTATTCAGGTTTTTATATTGTTGTTCATATTTGACGATTGGGTGGGATCTTAAGTGTATAACAAATGTTTAATTTTTAAACAGGAAGTCTAACGTTTGATAGCAATTGCTCGCTGAATTCTACTACAAAATTTAGAGCATCTTTCGCATCAATGGTTATTAAACTGGAAGATAAATTGTTTAATTCCTTCTTTATAAGAGAGCCAAAAGAATTGACAAGCCTTTGCAAGTAAGTTGAAAGTTTATAGGGGAAAAGGGTGGGGGAGGAGGGAAAGAAATGATTTTTATTGTCTATTTTTTACAGTTCGTATAATTTCAACCAAAGAAGAGAGATTGCAAATTTACAAAAGAATTGTCCAAACGTACTAAAAGCTATTTATGATCAATCTCCAATGTTTGAAGATTCTCAAAAACGTTTTGAGCAATTCTGCATTAATCAAAAGGCTTTCAAAAACAGCAACTCCTGTTTTGATGAAATGCGGAACAATAAAGTTTGTAAAGCTTCCGAAGAGAAATACAGGAAACTAATCGCAGATATTTCGCATGTGAGCTATCTCTGTAATAAAGATTATTGGAAAAAGGTTTTTTTCCTCCAAAAGGAATATAACTATCGCTTGGAGAAACACAAAAGACATTTATACGAACAGCTCGTGAAGGAAACTTTGCAGAATAGGGAAATAAATAGAGAAATTGAAACTCTAACAGATTGTATAAGTTTAAATATAGTAAAAAAATGCGGAGGAGAAGTACTGAGTAAAGTTATAAGGAAATTAAGTAATTCTATTCTCAATTCTACACATAGTATCGGACTTGAGTTTCGGCCGAATTGTGAGGTGTTAGCCGAAGCCAGATATGCTAATATTGGTGTTCAGATTACCCGAGTTACAGTACCAACTCGGCCAAGATCTATTACACGGCTAGAAAAGAGTATACCTTCAACAGAGACTCCAATTTCTGAAAAGTATCATAGTTCATCTGATAGGATAACCTTTGGGGCTTCATTCTTAATTATAATTCTCTCATTAATCTGCAGTCGGGCCATTTCTTCATAACTCTATATTGTTTTAAAGAAAAAAGAAAGTTCGATAAGATTTTATTCGAAGTATGTGATAAGATTTCAGTGCGATATGACATTTTTGTATATATATATATATATATAGATATATATATATATGTATAAGTTTGTTATGTATTTGTTGGTGCTCCTTAAACTGTGGTGTTCGATTGTTTTTCGTTTTGTTTTTTTTTTCTTCTTTTAAGTAATAAATCTTTCTTTACACAAGAAAACTATTTATAAAAGAGCCTAAATCGAATAATTAGTAACTTTAGCGATAGACTTTACAAAGATTTATTTATTAAGGTATTCTTGTTTTGCTTTTTATAAAAAAAAAAGAACTTCGCCATACTTGTTCATTTCGAAATGTGTTCTAATTGAAATAATACACTGTCCTAGTTTATTTGTAATATGCAGACGTTGTGTTGAAATTTTGCTTAGCAGGTATGTTTATTAACAATTCAACACTTGCAATAGTTGACGTCAGATGAACGAACAAGTGAAAACTACGGGAGCCGAAAATAACCCTCACAAAGTATATAGAAATGGAGAGAACTATTCAAAAAAATTGAGAATTGTTCACATATCTGATACCCATCTTGAAAGGGACAATCAGAATATACCAGACGGTGATATAATTATTCATTCAGGTGATTTTGGTCAATACAGATCGGGATTATCAAAGGAAGAATACTTTTCAAGATTGAACAGTTTTTTTAAAAATCTACCTCATAAATATAAGATTTTCGTTGGTGGAAATCATGATAGTCCTCTGGTAGATTGCCAGAGAAGTTTAATAACCGAGTGTCAGTATTTGATTGATGAATCGGTGACGATAGAAGGTATACGAATATACGGATCACCTTGGAACAAGTGGAGATATACATCGTTTGCCAGAGCGTTTACCATAAAGAATATAAAAGCCAAGTGGGAATTAATAGATCAAGATTCGGACATAGTTGTAACTCATCAGCCGCCATTTAATTTGCTCGATTTGGCCAGTTATAACCATTATATACCGAATTTTTTGGTTAAACTTCTAAGCTCTTCTCGCTGCGAGATTTGTAGTCAATATCATCCAGGTAGAAATCATTGGGGATCGAAAAGTCTTCGAAGGATTCTAACTGAAAAGATAAAGCCAACACTACATCTATTCGGTCACGTTCACGAGTGTTTTGGGGCTACAACAAACGATAAAATACTCTTTTGTAACAGCGCTATTAAACAACGGGGACATCCTCAGGTTATCGATTTCTACTTTTAAATCGGTAATGGCGGGAAACAAATCTGCATTCAAACACGAGAAAATTGGTTCTGGGAAATTAAAGGCTCGCGTAGTAATTGTTTCTGATACGCACGGTTGTCACAATAAGCTTTTACCTTCGATTCCTGATGGAGATATTTTCATACACGCCGGCGATTTTATATATTATGATGATCATAGTACTAAAGATTTTAAGGGCGCTTGTCTGCAAGTAGATGAGTTCTTTTCAAAATTGACACATAAAAGGAAATTCATTGTCTTCGGTAATCACGACCAGCCTTTCTGTGATATTGCATCCGATGTCATTCGTGATAGTTTGAAGAATGTTGAATGTTTACTGGACGAGATGGTCGAAGTGGACGGTCTTCGAATCTACGGTTCACCTTGGACTGTTAGAAGAGAAAGCTCGTCGGCAACTTCATTCACCAAACAACGTGAAGATATGAAAGACGTTTGGGAGAAAGTTCCAAGAGATTTGGATATTCTAGTAACTCATAGTCCACCTTACGCTCTGCTAGATGGTGAACCTGAGGGTACTACTCCTTGTAAAATTAAATGCAGAGATCATCCCCATTTAGGTTGTCCTCATTTGCGGAAAGCTATTCTTGAAGATATAAAAGCAAAAATGCACGTTTTCGGACACAATCATCGAAGTAATGGTCTATATAGATATTCTAAATGCAAAACTTTGTTTTGTAATGCTGCAATTGATATGAGAATGTACGGTTTGCCTATTGTCGTTGATTTTCACGAATAGTTCTTAAATTTTCTTTCCATCAAGATAAAGCATAATATACTTGTCTTTATAAGGCTGTATAGAAATATATTGCACAGTCTTTTTTTATACAATATATTTGTTATATACGTAAGTAAGAGGATATTAATTGAAGAGTTTGACTATGAATAACCAATAAAATATATCAATTATAGAAAGAATTTTATCCTTCGTTGGCTTGTTAATCTTTCTCTTTCTTTTTAATTTACATGGAACAGCGTGAATAAAGACCATAGAGTGAAGATAAGAGCATGCGGTGCGACTTTAATTAATCTAATAGACAGCAGTTGCAAAGAAGACTAAAGGAAGTTGGAAAATACTTTCTAAAATTAACCAAAGGTAGAATATAAATCGGTCATATAGGACTGTCAGCAGATCACCTTATCATAAAATTTCATACGATTTACCAAATAAATTAGACTGGAGAAAGGAGTTTTTCAACACTGAAATTAAAAATTTTACGCCCTTCGCCAGCCCCTTTTAAAATAAATAACGAATATCTACAATGTCATTTCTTATAAGTTATCTTTGTCATATATCAAGTATATCTTATGAAAATACTTAGAGATAATATGAAAACCAGCTGAAGAAATCTTTACTGTATATTTACTGTATATTTTCCAGTATATACAATTTATATATATATATATATATATATATATATATATTACAGTAGATGACCAGTTTAAATCGTATTAGCATTATTTCTACTAATTAAATAGAATTAATTTTTTCGCATGGGTATGTATATTCATTTATTTAATTAGCTGCTAATACTATTTTCACATGCTTGGACAAAAATATAGAAAAGTAAAAAAACACTCTTTCACTCTCTCTCTCGTTCTTTCTCTCCTTTGAGAAATGTACAGTATATGTACAGTATATTCCTTTGTTTCTATAAAATAAGTTGACAATAGAGGCATACAAATTTGAGGAGAAAAAGAGCATACAAAATCACTCGAACTGAAAAGAAGGGGAAAAGAGAAATAGGAGAAAGATATTTCTCTTAAAATAGACTTATAATTGTTGTACTAACAATATAATTTTACTGAAATACGTAATTTTTTTTTGTTTCTGTCAAAGGAAAAGCTATCATTTCGGTTTGTTGATGTTGAATTTGTGACAAGGAAAGCATTACGTTTTGATGTATAAATATAGAAAGTTCTAAATAAGGTAACCGTATTTTCACTCTAACACTTCCCTCCCCTTCCCCTCCCTCCGCATGTATGTTAATATTTCATTTAAGTGAAAAGTTCTTGGAAACAAAAAAAGATTAAGGCGACAAAAAATTAAAAGTCTGCTAATAGACGACTTATAAAGCGTCTCATTAAAGGGGCATCTTGTGGAAGAATAATACAAGTATATGATGACTACAAGTTGAATAAGAAAATCGTTGTCGTTCCGGCTTATCCCCCTCCCTCTCCCTTAAATTATTTAAATAACTCTTGACCTAAAAAAAAGTCTATTGATAATAGAATCTTTTTTATCAGGAAAAGAAGTAGGAGAGCGAGAAAGGCGGAGAGAAATAGGGAGAAACTTTCATAGAAGAGGAACAGAGAGGGAGATTTATCTAAAGCAAATATTTATATTTTTATTTAATAATAACAAAGAAAGAAATATTAACAAGAGAAGCCAGTTTCTTTTTCTACCTGCAGAAAAAAAAATCCAATCAATATCAAGTACCAAGCGTCTAAACGTTCCTACATAAAAGAGTAAGGGAAAGAATTTTGTAAAATATTTCTATTATTCATTTCTACGGAGTGAAGCGTCTTTTAAGAAAAAGGTTTATTGGTGATTGTTCAAGTATTTATTAAACAAATTTTATTTGTATACAAGTGTAAATCATATAAAAAGGTAATAAATTATATAGTAATAGATGGGAAACAATGAAAATTCTTCTTCCCCTTTATTTTAGCGGAAATAATCAAATCTACAAATATGTTTATAAATGTATATACAGAATATAAATTTATATATATCATACAAAGCTGATAAACAACAATTCCTATTTGAACAAACGCAAAAGAGAAATATAAAGAATAAAGAAAAATGGCATTGAAAAAGAAAATAGAGAGGAATAGGGCTATTTAAGTTGTATTTTTACAGTTTTACAGCATAGTAATTACCTATAGTGAGCAAGGAGGAAAAATAGCAGCGCACCTGTAGAGAAAAATAGAAATTATAAACAGTTAGAAAAGAGACCGTACAACGAGAGGTTTATCTTATCGACGTTGAAAGTTTGCAGGAGAGAGTTAGAAGAGTACGGTATTATTATTGTATATTTGTTTCTTATTAAACTGTCCTTATCTAATAATTTTAATTATTTACTTAAATGATGTATATTTTTTATTTTCCAGATATTCTTTTGCATCTCTTCAATATTCATTCTCCACCTAAATTTTTTTTAGTTATCCTCTCTTCATTTCTCTCTCTCTCTCTCTCTCTCTCTCTCTCTCTCTCTCTTTGTCTATCTTTCATTCTCATTCACCCATTCACCTTCTCCCATTCACTCATTAACTTACCCATCTATTCTCAGTGGTTCAGCATCATCTTCTCCATTCTTTCTTTCTCTTCTTTCTTTGTGTTAAAAGATTAAAGAAAAAAGGAAAAACACAACAGATAGATTAAACATTACAGAATAAAAAAATATGAATGCAACAACTACAATCTGGGAATTATCAGTTCCATTTTGGGCAACGAGTATCAGCTTTATTTCAATAGAAATATTGCTTACAACGTTTACAAATATTCTACTCATGGTTACAATTTGCTATTCTCCGAATTTGAAGACGCCGGCGAATGCTTATCTGATAAATATTTGCGCAACAAATTTAACGTTAATGGGTAGTATGCTGTTATCACTGATTATGTTAATAAGGAGAGAAGTCTCAAACGAGTCAATCTTATCTAAAATTCAAATATTTCTACGTAATACTTGCTTCCTACAATATTGGGCCTTATTCGCAGCAATTGGATATTACAGGAGCAAAACTTTGTACAAGCCTCTTGTTAATATCAGATCTAGGCGAAAAATCATCAAATTAACAACAGCCGGAAGTTGGTGTTTATCCATATTAACAGGTTTAATAACAACGGCTATGTACTCGTCTACAAATAATTCTCTTTGCTGGAACGCCTTCAGGTCAAAAATATCATATACTAATACTTTTACGTTAGATAATTTAGAGCCTTTGAATATAGTTGGTGTCTTCCTCTTCGCATCAGCATTCCTCTTTTGTCTTCTCATAATAGCAGCCTCCTACATTAAGATATTTAATCCTTATTGCACTTCCCTAAAATCCGGTAGGAATAGAGTAGCTCCTTGGATAATCGACGATACGGAAGTTGTGAGAAAAGGAAAAAGATCTTATAGACCTTTTCCAACAACTGAAAATGATTCGACAATAGTGCATTATCAGAAAAAGAGTCATTCGGCATCAATAGATGAAGTTTTCGCGGCTTTGGAAAATCCAATAAGGGCTCAAATAAAGTTGGGTTATAATATTCATCAAAAGAATCTTCATAGAACAGTCAGTTCAAACAGTAATGGGTCGGAAATATCAAAATGTCCCGAGTTTAGTGATATTACGCCCGCGGCTCAATTTAGTAAGTTTAACTGGCTAAGGAATATTCACTCAACAACAAAGGCCAATCGTAAGGAGAAGTTAAGCCTATCAAGTGCTACAAAAAACAGCTTAATAATGGTGTTAACATTCATCATTTTGTCCTTTCCTTTACTTATTGTCTCTTTACCGGGCGTCTTCAAACAACGTGTACAACTATCTACTTTTCATCACGTCATGCTCTCGTTTAATATCGTATTCTATTTCAACGCACCGGCCTATCCAATTTGGTATTTAATATTCAGTCGGCGTGTGAGGAATTGTTTGCAAAAATTGTATGATTCTTTATTGGCAAAGATGAACTTCAGACGTTAATAAATAGACAGCGGAAATAGAAAACGAAAGGAGACGTGAACTTGAAAATTCTCTCTTTATATTGACTTTTGTTCATGTGAAATTGTAAATAATAATAATATATTAATAATAGCTATAATAATAATAATAATCATAAAACAAATAACACAGTAGATAAAGGAAAGCGAACGAAAACGTTGCTTTGTTTTTTTAAGACCGGTACGCCATCTGTCGGTTATTTATTTTGAGAGACTCTGCACTCGTTTGGAACATTTTTTATGTTCTATTCGAAACGAGGCTGTTTTCATACGGGCACAAGAGGTAAACATTACGTGCAACTAGTTAATTGAACAATCTTAGTTCTTAGATGATTTCATATTAATTGAGTATATAGATAAAATCAGTTTATTTTCAAGTGAGTGGTAAAAAATTTTTCGTTATTTTTTTGCAAACAACTAGCAAAATCATCGTTATGTACACTATCATTCAATAACATTTTGCGTAGGTAGAAATCTTTGAAAATATGACTGGTCTGAAAAGGATTGATATTGATTTTTTATAGACATTTATTTTTTATAAATATAAGATTATTAATAAAAAACTAACTACAAAATTGACCAAATTTGTAATATTGTTTATATTATCTTCGTTTCTTCTTTCGTAAATACTTTTACCATAAATACAGGCAAAAAAAATGGCAGACGGCGGATTCGATCCATGCGAATGCGTTTGGAGTCACGAAGGGGCTATGCAAAGGCTATTGAATATGGTAAAAACATAATAATTTATCTTTAAACAATTAATTTTTAAACATTTTCCCTCAAATCCCAAATAGTTGCGTAATTCGCAAAATCAATGCTCCGATACCGAATGCTTTCAAAACCGTAAGTTTTTTTTTCTTTTAAAAAATTTGAAAAGAACAGAAAACCATTCAAATCGACTCTATATTATTATTATACTTCAACATTTTATTCATAAGAGAGTTGAAATCAATAAATGTTTATAAATAAAATATATAAATTTTGATGACAAAAAGTGTTCAACGTGGAAGGCACAGGCGAAATATGTTTGTTTGGCTGGTTCTTTCAAAACACAATCGTTAATAACAATAGTTATAAAATGTATATAGCACACCTATATTATCAACTGGGCGTTTTATTCTAAAGAACATTTTCATGTTCCGAGAGATGGCGCTGTACATTCTTTTTCTAAAATATTTTTTTACTATTATTTCTATTGTAGAATAAGATAAATTGGTGAATTGATGTATAAGTAGTTTTAGTTTTTGATTGTTTTTAATTTTCCTTCAACTTCAAAGGTAAATTTTTCCATGAAACAAAAAATTCTATTTAAAATTTAATAAACGAGCATAAAAAGGAAAATAGTATAATATTTTCCTTTTTATCCAGTTTATAACAAAGTTGCTATTATAGCTTGTGTTTTTAACGAGATACCGTTTTTAGGAAAAGTAAAATTTGGTATATTATAAAATATTCTGTTCTAATAAACTATGAAATATATTGGCGAGTAGTTTCTACTATAATTGGAATTGTTATTAATTTACAGCTCCTGGTCCTACCGGAACCCCTGGAGATGGAGGATATAGTATGATGATGGTAATGCTGGGATGGTTAGTAGTAGCCACTGCTTTGTTTCTCTTGAGGCCTCAAAGTCTTAGACGTGTTACTGGTGGTGACCAGAAACCAAGTCGTAATGGGCAAAATGTAATATTTAAACAATTTATATTATTATTTCAACTAAAGAATACATTTTCTTATAAATAGGATGACAATCAATCGCCTCCTCCTCCCCCTCCGGGTATTCAATAAATTTCTTAAATAAAGATATCACCTACAGAGCTGCTTGTTGTAAATTCAACATCGCTGTTGTATATGTGATGGAAATGGAATTTTAAAACATCATTTTACTACTCTTCAACACTGAATATTTAAAAGAATCACAAAGAAAAATCTATCATTTGAAATAGTGCCCTCTCTTTGGGAATTTAATAGGGAACGTTTCTACTTTCTCCTCTCTCTCTCTCTCAGAATACTTACAAATATTTGTATTTTTTTTTGAACGGATTAGGTTATTATGAAAAAAATTTTTCACTTTTGCTTTTAAAACGAAAAGTTTAAGAAAAAATAATACGAATTTTTAAACCAACTTTTCTATTAAAGATAAAAACTTGAAATTTTAAAAAAGCAATATTGAAAAATTCTCAATTTTAATTTTTGGTCATATTTTAATTAACTGCAAAATTAATTTCTTCTCTACAAGAACCAAAAAGGTCTTTAATGTACGTTCATTCTTTTGCAATATGATATTATATATAAAATGTTATATTTTCTTATAATTAAATGAATTCTCATTCTTCGCAGCTAATGCTTTTAAATTTGTTATTTTTTAAATGAAAGTGTTTAGTAACGGAAAATGTTATTATTATTCGCAAATATTGGTCAAAGAAACCAAGTTGGACAAGTTAATCGTATAGGAAAAAATCAACCAAACATTGTTCTCTATTTATGAAACAGGCGCCAGTTTCTTCATATCGTTTCCCCTCTTCTCTATAGGCAAATAAAGAGATGTAAACTTTGCAAAAGAAGGGATAATAATTCCATCGTTTCTACTTAAAAAAGAGGATTAAATACCTCATTTACTACATTTGTACTTGTTGGCACGAACAAAAAAAAGTGGGTAATTAACAATTGTTACACAAACATCTACCTTCTAATGAAAGCAATATTTTTTGTTTGTCCCTTTTTTTTTTCAATTCATCAATGTAATTTTCAAATGACAAACTCGAGATAAAAGAAAGATATTTAATAATTTCTCCGCCCAATAAAATCATTAAAAGCAGGTTGTTGTTTGTTTTTTTTCTTTGACATATTACAACCAATTTATTCGATTCTCTTATAGTAAATAAAGATTAAAAGAAAGTGAAATATATCATATATATATATATATATATGAAATCTATAAATAGACACTAGATAATCTATGTAGTAGAATATAAACAATATTTGGTCAAAGATTATTAAATTTACTAAAATATAAGTAGCTTAAAGATATATGTAAAAACTATGTCAAATTACAAATTACAACACCGATTCGTGTAATATGAAATCTACATAAAGTAGACGTGACTTTTAAAAATAATGATAATTTATGACGTCAAAAGTAGGAGGGAGAATATATATTTTACGTTACACTTATTCTTCACATTACTATTCATTCAATTGACACAGAGAAATCTCTACAGTTGTCATTATCATCTAAAAGTAGAACGATATTAACAGAGCGTCTCTCTCTTTTTTTTCTTTTCGTGCAAAGTTGAAATAGCAATAATCAACACAAAAGTAAATGTAAGATTTACAATATTTGTATGATAATATATCTTATATATAGATGTTTAAATTATCGTTGAGCTCTTTTTTAATAAAAGATATATTAAACATATATATTAAATATTAGAAATCTTAATGATGAATAAATTTAGAAGCTAGAACGCATAGGATAAAATAGTTAAGATAAAACGTTACTTAAAATAGTTTCACACAAAATTTATATATATGAAAGGAAACAATCGATTTTCTCCCGATTAGTCGTCTCCTTCGATTAGTGAATCGTATTACAAACATCGAAAGCTTTTTGATATAGACACACAAATTCACAAGGGTTATAAATGTTACAAAGTTAATAATAATCGTCACAAGTACATTTAAATATATATATATATACAGTAAAAATATACTGTATATAAAATCAAATAGGCTTTTGATAAACCTCGTAGACAAACAAAAATAGGTCAACTCCTCCTATAAAATCAATATATACAGTAAAAATATTTCAATCGGAAAACTATGGCACAGCCAAATTGCTAAAATATATGTATATATAGAGAGAAAAGGGATGAAAAATGATAGAAAGAGAGAAAGAGGGGAAAGAGATGGATTAGTAAAATAATATCTATATAGGTTGAAAATAACAAAATGGCACGAGACTTTTTAAAAAATAATTCATCTTGAAAATTTAGTTAGTACTTTAAAAAGAAAAGAGAGGAATAGACAAGGGAATGATAGATAAGAGAAAAATAGAGGAAAACTCTTAAATTAGGTTAAATCTAGCAAAGAAATTAGAAGATCTAAGTTTTCCAATATAAATACGTTTTACTGAATAATGACGAAGAGAAGTATTTTCTATTTTTATTATCTTCAAAGAGAGCATCATGAAGTTATTCGTCGTCGTTGCTGGAACTTGACTTTTTCGAAGACAGTTCCGGACGTAAGTTTCCGCATTCCTTGCAAGCGCATGTTTGCCATTCATACTGATTACTCTGTTCTTGTCTATGGGATAAACAAACACAAGGTGAATGATTATGCTATTGTTGAAAATTGATTAAAGTGTCAAATACTCTCTACAAACCTGGGTGCTGGTCTCTTTCCTTGGGATATTGGGGCAGTTGCCAAAGGATTATAGCTGGTACTATACGATGATGGTGGAATAGCTTCAACTTTGTCTTCGAGATGAGACTGATCGCCCATAACATTCGAGTTTGCTCCCCTCTCTGGCAGATGTCTCAAAGATGACGGAATATCGTTCAAATGATTTACTATTGCGTTTGCAATAGGAGAAGGATTCGAAGAAGAGCAAGAATTCGAAGAGCAAGACGAAGTACTTTCCGATGGCGAAATCGGATGATTACTGGTAAATGACATCATATCTGGCAAAGGGGTTGCCATGTAATTAGAAACGGATTGATGATTATTCGTTTGCGATAGATGCTGATTACACGTTAAACCCGTTGGGTTTGACATCATATGCATTCCCATATTTTGTGGGCTTGTTAACTCGGTCAAAACGGGACTACTAATTCCCGGCATTGACGGGCTCTTTATACCCGCCGTCGATGGACTTTTCATCATAACGCTAGAAGGGCTCTTCTCTAACGGTACAGACGGACTATTTACGCCTGGTGTCGTCGGACTCTCGGCGTTGTGAATTGGCGAAGCAATATCGTCTGAATTTTTGTCTTTGGGCGACTTACTACTACCATTCTTACAAACTTGATCGACTTTTTGTTGTCGTAGTAGCCATACTTGATTTGCCATAACCTTCCTTTGTTTCGTTACAAGGGCGCACTTTTCGCACGCGCAGTACTTGTACTTGCAATAGTATTTATGGGATTTTACAGGAGCAACTTCGTCGTGAACCTTACAACGTTGACAAGTTGGGCGACGTCTCTTTCTGTTTGAACTGAACGGCATGCAGTTTAGGTTTAGAATCTGAATTAAAAATATAATCACTTACTCAGGCTCTTGTTCAATTTCGATTGGTTCCAAATCCAAGGGTGGTATTTCCTGCGAAATATGGGCCTGTTGAAGCATCATTCCTTGCCCTCCGCCCATGGGATTGTGATGCTGATGTGACATTTGAGGCTGCATGGAAGGCGGCGGTTGCTGATGCATAGATTGATGATGGGGCTGCATTTGATGTTGCAGTTGGTGAGACGAATGGTGCGGCGGGGGTTGTTGTACCTGTTGTAGTGAATGTGGATGGTGATGGTGAGAATGATGGTGCGAATGATGCTGTTGATGATGTTGTTGATGATGAGCGTTAGGATGCATGTAAGGTTGGACTTGCAGGCGCCTATTTGCTTCAACAGCTTTTTGCTGTTTTAGAGCTGCTTGAGCTCCCCTTCTCTCCACAATCAACATACATTTAGGACAGGTACAATTTCGGAACCTGCAATGTTGCTTATGACTCTTAAGAAGAGATACAACACCATGATTTCTACATCGAGAACATTTAGGCTTTTCTTTGTCATCCATTGTTTCAGTATTATCATCTAAAATACATGAAAATAATGATATGTTTATGCCAACAGTCTAGCTTTTGTCCAATCCCCTAGATATATAAGATTCCCTAATTAGAGCAGAAATACCCGGATTGAATAAATAATAGCATAATGCTAATCAGGGCTTCTATTCTTTCTACACGAGACATGCCCATTTGCTCGCATTGATTAACCCAATATTATAATAGAGAAAAGGGCGTTTCTGTTGAGGGGTGGAGAGGAGGGGGGGGGGTGTTAGAAAGAGAGAGAGAGTATTGATTTGTTCGCCCTATTTTTTTTCATCAGTCTGATTCATTTGTATAGATTCACAGTCGGATATCCGATTTTTTAATAATAACTCAAATTTTCTTCACCGTAAGATATTAAGAAAAGAGGATTTACTTTGTAATTTTTCCTTTTCCGACTTATATAACTAACAAATGAAAAAGAAAAGGCAAGAAACGTTATAAAATACATGGCGTATATACAACTTATTGTTGATATTCAAATAACAGAAAACCTACTAATCCCTAACACTTTGCAATAAAAAAAACAATCCAGAGCACAATATTCTAAATATAACTTTCTGATAGATAAATAAAAAATACTAAAATTCCTACCTGTTACTTATGAAATGCAGATTTAACAAAAATTGTATCTTACCATATGAGATAAACGAAGAGAGAGAGAGAGGAGAGAGAATTGTCTATATTTTCTTTCAACTAAGTAATGAGATTCCTTACTTATGAGAATATGAATTAATAATCTAAGTGTAAACAAAACTCCGTTTCACCGAATTCTAAAACGAATAGATATATAATAAAAAAGGGAGGGAACTAGCGAAAAAAAATGCGCGCGCACCTACCTTCCCATACTACCCTGCGCATACTGAACAATACAAAGAATACAAGCTATAAATTTTCTGTCAAAAATGTATCGATATATCTAATAAAACAACCTTATCTAGTTGAATATTTCAAATAAGAAAAAAGTGGGAATAGGTACATTCTATTAAATGATATAGAACGTTAAAATAAATACTCATTCTTACTCTTCGGCTATTGGTCTCTTTCTTTCTGGCTGTTTCGTTCGCTGTCCCTTTCCTGCTCCTTCTCGAACTTTGATCGACTCAAAAAAAGGACTAGCTATTTTGAATATAACGCATGCGCGCGCAGAAAATACACCAAGAACGGGTAGGATAGCTCATAAATTTAAGTTTATGGCAGGCGGTACTGTGCAGGGCTCGCGTTGTACGCTCTATACAGACACAACATTGTAACACCATCGATCGTCGGTTCGCTTAGAAGAAAATAAAAACTAGAACTCGGTATGAATAAAAAAGAGGTCACATTGCGGGAGAATATATACATCTCACTCGGAAAATACGTCGAATTCAAAGTGTTACATTGTTGCGCGACCATTTAGCATCAACTGTGTCGTTCAAGAGCGTCACTTTAACCAATGTCCTCTGATCAATTATATTTAAATGTTATCCCAACAGTCTGTCTAGTTGGTTAGTTAGTCTAAAAGCGCTTTAATTAAATCGTTTTCCTACATTGAAACTATTCAAGTCCATAAAAAAAAGATTCTTAATAAAAACTGTAACATAAATTTTTCATTTTCCAATAAAATTAATAACAATAAAAAAGAAACCTCGTAACAAAGCAAGAAAAACGATGTTTTTCCAGTATTTTACCTGAAATGTTTTGGAAAAGTGAACTGCCGTTCTTAGACTGACCCCCCTTCCTTTCCCTTGACTGATATACTCGCCAAAAAAAAACAAGGCCGCGCATTTTAAAAAGTTATATTTGAAAATTACATTGATTCTATTAAACTAGACGATTTTCGTTCGGAACATTGTATTCCCTAAATTAGATATGATATATTATTTGAATATTTACTGCAATCCAACTAAATTTGAATAGATAAAATTAACATAGTATTGTAATAAACTTGGATTTTTTTCAAAAAAAAGGATACAATGAAAGAAAAAAGAATGTTTTTAAACGTGATTTTACATAGATTTTTGCAATGATTTCATAGTTTTTCGTTGAAATAAATGTACAAAAAAAGTATGACTGCTATAATCTACCTCTTTTTCATTGACATATAAGTATATTTATCTATCTCTTTCTCTTCGCTCTCTCTCTCTCTCTCTCTTAAAAACATTTTTGATTCATAGCATAAAAACGAAGTGAACTTTTTCTTTAAAGAGAAATGTTTATAAAAGTTTCAATTTTGTCTTTATTCACAATAACCTCTTGCTAAGTTTTAGAAATATTACTAACCTGTTTTATTCGCTGACGGCAGTTCAACAATTGCTGATAGGCAACTGGCAGACACGTGATGCACACCCGCCATCTAACGCGTGGAAATAAAAAAAAGTAGCTCCGGCATCCTTTTCTCTAGCCTTTTTTCGAGCTTGGTAAAAATCATTACGCGAAACAACAGTCACTCAATGTCCATTCGTTCAGACTATAATAACCTTTTGGGCTCTTACCATTCTTCCTCCCTTTTTCCATTTCACCCTTATTTATAAGAATTCCCTCTTAAAATCTTGTCCTATTTAAAACTGGTAACTTTATTTTTTCCCTCTTTTTCCCTTCGTTAAGATCCCAATTACTATATCTTTTAGTTTATTCAACATTTCGTAATCATCATTTATTGGTGATATGAGAAGATAGCAGGGAAGAAGTGATCGGGGAGAAAGTGGGAGAGAGAGAGAGAAAAGGGGTGGGATAAATGTTGGTAATTTATTAGTAGAATAAAACTATGACACTGTAATAAAATTCTTGAGAAGGTAATAGAAAAATAAAAGAGAGAATTGGCAAGAAAGTGCCTTAGTTCGTTTAACAGCTTTTAAGTGTTAACCGACTAATGAGTTATATAATTGTTACGTATTCTGTCAGTATATCATTGTACAAACTCTTTCTTAAGAGCTTTGACCATATCAAACTAAAATGAATTGTAACAGCGCAGATAGATAAATAGTTACGTTTTTCCTTTGCCCCCCTTTTCCTTTCCTTCCTTCCTTTTCTTTCTCTCTCTCACACACTCACATACATATAAATACACTGTGTCTACCCCCTTACCGATTCCTTTCTCTTTTTTTTTATCTCTCTCTCTCTCTCTCTCCTAAATATATATAGATGTAAAAAAAACAGCAGGAAAATTTTTATAAAAGGTAAAAAGTAACTTTTGATCGGTAGTTAATGCGGTTTTTTGAATTTCAAAAGGATAAAAAAAAGGGGTGAAGAGGGTAAAGGTAGTACAGAATTGTTCGGTTAAAGGTGTTTAACATATTTCTTATATTCATAAATTTGCATAAATTAAAGAGGATTAGACTCTCTTAAAAATCTTTTTCCTTTGATTTCTTGTATTATTTAGAGATGAAAAGTCTATTAAACTCCTCGTTAAGTATACATGTTGCGTCATACCTGTAAGAACGAACGTTTAACAATTGCAGTTAATGAAAGCAAATAGATCCTTTTTGACGCAAACATTGTACAGTAAAACGGCATTGGCCGACCTTCACCTTTACATTTTATTTCTACTGGAAGATGCTATTGAATTATGTACTGGTCAAAGGGGAACTTTATTTTGGTCAAATAATTTTAACATCTCGAAACAAACAAGATAGTGTTATCTATTAAATAAATAATACCGCACGACATATATCGTTACTACATGCGCAGGCGCATTCCATTTAATTGTATAGAGAATATTCTTCCCCTTCCATACAATTTCCTATTGATCGTGAGCGAGTCCGTATAGAATTCGAGTTAACGTCGCTCTCGTCTATTTACGCTAAATTGTGATTCGCTGACGAATAGAAATACTTTCCAAGAGATTTAACCGCACAACATCGAACTATTTTCTTATATAATTGTATAGATTCGCCCTAGTTTTAAAACAATCGGTTAAGGGTTGTTCAATTAAGATTCGCTGATAACTAATTGCTATTAGTTAACATATCTTTAATATATTTATAGCAGATTAGATGAAAACAAATGACAAATCATAGAGAAAAAAGAGCTTCTGTTGAATATTGTTTTCACTAGAACTTCCAACAAGAATTTTAGCATATGGCCATTAAAATTCGAATATTTTTTCGATTTGTATCTATCAATTAGATCATAATGCAAATGTTAAAGGAATATAAAGGTTAGTTTTTCTTTTAATTCCTGTTTATTCGATAAATATAAAACAGAAACGTTGACCTACTTTAGCGCCGTTCTAAAAAACCAAAGGATATAAACAAAGGAAATTGTGAGATTTTCTTAAATAAATCCTTAGATAATTAATCAACAACTAGATAATAATAACTTGATTAATTCTTTAATTATTATAACCCTATAACTTCCCTAATATTTCTGCTATTTTTGCATGGTAATTTGCATACAGAGGTAGATCTAGTTGTCGAAAAGGGAGGAAGGGAAGGGGAGAGCTAGGGTTGAGAGGTTGCAAAAAAAGAAAATGAAAAGAGATTAATTGTTAGAAAATAGTTCATTTACACAAAACTTACAAAATTAATACAAGTACAGTTTGATTTATTACTAAAAATAATTAAGATTAAAATCATAAACATTTTCGTAGTTAATCCTATAAGAGTTTATTTTATCTTGGATAAGAGAAAAACGAAAATTGGTTAGAGTAACATATTGTATATTTAACGTTTTTATAGTTGGTAAATTTACAGCGAATCTGTTGGAATCTGCGTTATATCTTTTTAATGGCTGTTTTCTTTTCTAAAGATAGTTTATGCATAATCAGGAGAGAGAGAGAGAAAAGAGCATTTTTATTTTCTATCTAACAACTGCTATAGAAGTATGATAATCAATTGTTTTTTAATGCTTCCAAATCTCTATTCAAGAGTCTTGACGAATAGGTAAATTAGCATAAGCAACGTTCGTTAAACGTATAAAACTCCTCAAAGAATCTTCTGTAGGATATATCTTGACCTACTTTCTATTTATACGAAATATTATCTATTTTATATAATATAAAATCTATACTACTTGTATCTTCTCTTCAAAAAAGCTAAATCTTTTTAAAGAAATTCTATACCTATTTTACAAAATTGAGATTAATGACGTCGAATTTTTATTGTTCCCTATTAAAAACCCGGCTCTGTTAATAGACAAGAAGCAAATCATATTTGCCATATAACATTGATGGCCTAACATAATTTCTATTATACATTGATAACGTATTCAAATGTAATTATGTAAAAATTTGCATTTAGATTAACAAGGCGACACAACATAATTTAGTAATTTGTATTCATTTGATGGAAGGTTGAATAATTAAGGGGTCACTAATTTGAAGAGAACTTGTAGTGAAAGGATATGAGATAGTCGTTGTATAAATTTCTTTTTTGATTAAGCCATTTCGAATGTTATTCTTATCAATTATACACAGGGCAATAGTGTTGATATTTTGTTTAATGTTCTTGTCTAAATAGTTGGATCATTAAAAGAGTGACTGTATATGTAAGCTTCCGATTCTCTCTCTCTCTCTTCTTTGTCTCTATCTCATTAGTTGATATTCACTTTAAAATAATCCATAATTTATTTAAGTAACGCGGCGTTTGCGTTAGTTGCAATTAGAAATTGTATTTTCTAGCCAGACAACTCTACTTTTCCACAAATATCCGACAGATGGCGCCACAACTACTTAAAGGCAGTTAAAAAAAGAAGTACTTTTTAAATTTTTATTTCTCTTCATTCAATAAGCTTTAAAGTATTATTTCGGAACAAACAAACAAACAAACAACAAAAACTAACAATATCTTTAAAATTAGAATTTGAAATGTTTGAAATATTTCAAAAGACTGTTCTGTACTGTTGACTTTCTACTACCAAACCAGTTTGACCTTTACCATTTTTCCCACACCTCTTACTGCAGTTACCAGCAGCAACGTCCTTTATCTGTCTTTTTATTTTAACGTAAGTCTGTAAATTTCTCTGTCTTGCCGCCATCTGGTTCGGTTCTCGCCTTTTCCTTCGAACGGATCGAATGGCCGATGGTTCTCCAGCCCATTTTTTGGAACTTGCCGCACTACCGTTTAATAAAATTTTCCGACCTCGGTTTAAAGGGGGTAGAACAGGAAGCTTAGCAATCTCCTTTCTAGGTTCCTCGCGAATAGCCGTATTTTGGTAGTTGTCCTTTAAAAGAGGTTTAGTTAAAGGTATGATACTACTTTTTCTTCTTGGAAATCCTGTTAGAAAACCCCAAATAGCTTTTGGTTGGGAGGAATTTCTTCCAATACTGGGAGGTGAGTGCTCGATAGACGAGTGTTCCACATTTTCAACAACGGCTATTTGGGGGAAAAGGTGAATTTTACCGTATTCATTTTTTCTAATTGAAACTTGTTGTTGATCTTCAAGCTTTCTCTTTTTATTTTTTTCCTTATCCAGAATCTCTTTGCGTAATTTAAACGAAACTTGACGTTGTTCGTAAAGTTCGTTAAAACGTTCTCTATCCGATCTAACTTTCTCCATTGTCAAGTTTGTCAACTGTCTTTGCAACTTAACATCTTCAAGCATATTTCTATATTTAGCATTGATAAGTGACTTGAAATGCGTAGCCCAATTTAAATCGTCCATTATACGAAAACAATTTATCCAATAACTTATCGTTCTTAATCAGATACTGTCTTTTATCTTTTCAAGCGTTATATATTTCATATATTTGTACGGAATATCTTTACCCAATCTTCTTTCGAGTATAAAAAGGTGGATTAAAGTGACGAAAGTGTCAGATTATCCGTTAGCTAAAGCTTTCTTCTCAATGCGGCCTTTATAATATTGCACAAAGCTGATTTATCGTCTTCTAATAGATCTTTCACTCGATCGTTAATCGTCTATTAGCATGAAAAGACGGTGAGAAGGAAAAAAATAAGAGTATCAGTTTAAATCTTTCGCGCTAGCGATAACTGGTGTTACCCGCCACCTGTCGAAAGGCAAAATAGTCGATGTCAGCTGCGGTGGCGAAATAAAAAAAAACATTTTTTTATGGCAGATCGGGCTGAAGCGTGTAATTTTCGCAGTCAATACTACAGCAAAGTTGATTTTAAGATAGTAGACCATAAAAAGACAGCCGAAAGATTATTTGCCGAAAGAATCGTTGACATCCATAAACTGGAATGTTTATGCCTCCGACCCGTCACTTTAAATCATCAATATCGCTATTTGACATGGAGAGTTCTCTTAGGTAATGAAATAGAATGAAATATATGATTGATATCTATAGATTTATGTGTTTATTTTAGGTTTACAATCGCCAGTCAGAGGGGAAACGACCGAAGAAGAATATCGAAAGAAAGAATTCGAAGATCTGTATAGAACATCACAAGAGCTTTTTAATACATCGAAAGCAGAAGATAATACTAAAAATTTATTATTATGCTATCGTTTGAAGTTTGGAACTATACCGTTCAGTTGGATAACAGATAAGAATGTTGACGAGAACCTTAGTTCCGAGGATGTTTCCTTATTAGCAATATTCTCTACAATGCTAGAAATTAGCGAAAACCTATGTGATTCATTCTGGTTAGCTACTCGATTTTATCAATCTTCAAAGAAATTTAGAAATCAGTATGATCTTTTGGTAAATAATCTTCTTTTTTGTTGTTTATTCTATATATGTAAAAATAGAAAAAAGAACATTCTATTTTTGTTCTTTTCCCTCAAATAGATTGACAAGGTTAAAATCACTATGAGAAACGAAGACGATCAAGTCTACGAACATATTAATAGTGTAGATCTCATTGGTAATTTACCTATAAAGTTTTGGTTCTCTTCCTGTTTTGCTCAAATATTTCCCACCGCTAGTCTGGAACGAATATGGGATAAAATTATTGCTGGATCGTCAATGTTTATGGTTAATGTGACTGCTGCCTTAGTTCTCTCGTTTAGGCGGCCTCTTCTAGCCTTAAAAAGCGTCAACGATATGCTGCAGTGTTTTGAACAGGTACGTTTAGCATACGTGATCAACACGGCACGGTAAAGTGAACGGGACTAAATTCTTTATTCAATTAACAGCAACTAACCGAGAATCATGCAAATCTAGTCGTCAGCCATGCCTTAGATATGTGGAGAAAGAGTGGATTTCGTACAACTCCCATTTCAGGATCGGATTCGGTGAATCGAGTTTTATCTCAACCTGTTAGCCGCTCCATTCAAAATATCGGTAATCTAAGTTTATTTAGGAGTTTGCAAAAGCTTAACTCTTTTGTTAGAAACACATCTAAGGAAAAAGTTCGTAATTTTACTTCTCAGAGGAAATAAGTGATGCGATTTCTCTTCTCCTTCTACTGTTTTATTTATTTATATTTTGGGAAACTTTTTTCTTTCCTACCCTTCTCCTTCCTTCCTTTTCTTTTTTTTCTATTCCAACAAAATAGAGAGTTACGTGTATATCCTTTTTCTTTTGTGTTGTCGCCGAAGATCTGTTTTTTTTTTCTTTTTTTTCGCTAATTTACACAAAGAGTTTATATTTATTCTATTTTTTCCCCTTTTGTTTTTACTTATTTTTTAATTTCTTCTCTCAAAAGAAAAACAAAAAAGATTAGAGAAAAAATTTTCGTTTGCTCAAAGAATTTGTAATGTTTTTCTGCGTTTTTATAGAATGAGTTTACTTGGGTATGTTATAATACTGAAATTTGATATTAAATAATAAAGAAACTATTACAGAGAGTTTTAAAAAAAATATCTGATTTGTTATGTTTCGGTATTTTCTATTCATTTATTGTAAAAAGAGAAAACAAGAGAAAGAAAGAAAGAAAGAAAGAGAGAGATAGAATAGAAATGAAACAAAAGCGCTAGAGAGAAAACAACCAAGATAGGTATTTAAATATGTAATTTCATCCTATTATTATTTTTTTAAATTCTTTTATGAGATATTGTTTATAAGAGAAAAACTTGAAGAAATTTTACACTTAAATGATAAGAAGGAATCTTTTCCGCATTTCTGATCAAATTCAACTATCAGCTTTAAATCATCAAGATTTTAAGGAATTTTTTCTTATCTTATCAAATTTTTGTTCACTTCTCATTCGAGGATTTTATATGTATTTCAACATTAAGTAAAGTAAACAAAAGTATCTTAGATAAACATAGGTTATTATTTTCTTTTAAAAGATACAATACGATTAGGTCTTTGTACGGGAATAATAAACTTTTGGATAGAAATTTTGTTATAATTACTCTTCGATCATGACAATCTGGGGTGCATAAATTATCTTTAAATGAGTAGTAAATCAATTCATGTTAAACTATAAGAATTGATTATTGTTATTTATTGCTCAAAAAATTGTTTTATTTGCTCTTAACCATTGTTATTTCAACGAATAACTTCCGCTTCGCTTCGCCCGTATAGTGGCTCCATCTTTATTTCCTTACCTTAAAATTCCCAGGACTCTCAAGTGATCTTACAATCTAATCACTCTTTTTCTTCGTAATCATCTCTAGATAAACCTGTTAAATAAGATATAAGCAACTATATGGAAAGCTACGTTCTCCACCTTTCCACACATTTCCCCCTCTCTTCCTTCTAATTCTCTTTTACTTGTCAATCAAGCAACACGACCAGAGCAATTCTACTTTCAATCAAGATTGTGTTAAAAAAGTTCCGGAGTAATAGTTCTTGGCCTGATAAATGAAATAAAATTAAAACAAATGTACCCAGAATTCTATCCTTTCTCTCTCTTTTCTAGCATTATCATTGCATTGTCTTTGGGATTGTTGGAATCTATTCATTTACGTAGGAGATAAATGATAAAAGTATTTAAGGATAGGAATTCTATAACATATTAAAGAAATAAAACAGGTATAAGAAAGAGAGAAAGACACATAGATAGAAGGAATATGTGAATAAATGATAGAAAGAAAGTGTATAGGAATAATAATATAGAAAAAAAGAAAAAAAAAGTAGTTTAAATAAATAAGGTCTAATATGAGAGCAGAAAGAAAATTAAACAAAATAAAAACATTTAAAAACGACTAAAAATGGATTTATGTAAAGGGAATATTTGAAAATCAATTGTACATCATCTGGAACCGACATAAACACATTCCAGAAATAGTTTCTTATTCTATTTTAGATTCAACACACTACAACGTATATATTTATATATATATAACAGTTGAATTTACTGTTCTCCCTATATACTAATATATATATATATATATATATATATATATGTATATGGAGATCAAGCTATATTTTTATATTCGTGTTAAAGTCATGAGGAAAGTAAAACTGATTTAAAAAAAAAAATAGACATAAGGAACGCTAAGTATAAACAAAGATAATACATCTGTACTGCAAATATATAGTCTTTACTATACGTTATATTGATATATATGTATAGTATATTTATAATGAATATTTGAAAATTGTATAGTCTTTATACTACATGCACTACAAGATTGCATGAAAGAGTCAATTTTGTACCACTCTAATCTATATTGCACAGATAAAAGACAGAAAAACGTTTGTATATTTTTACATAAGGAGACATATGTTTATATATATATACTGTATATATGTTGCACATAGTATCCATAGCAGATTATAGCTTACTACGTGAAAAGGAAAGAATATCTTTTAAAAGTTTAGTAAGATTAGATATCACGAATGATAAACACGATTCTGAAATAGGTTAAAAATAGCAGAGAATGGCTTTTCATGCAATACATCGTAATCAGAAAGTCTAGGATATTAATTAACTTTACCACCGTTTTTTTTCATTAGTATGGACAGCTTACCCTGAATTTACTTTAATTGTACAATGTTCTATATATACATACATAGTAGTATTATATTCTATCTGTTTATACACATGTGCGTTTATGCCTACGTATACATTTACTAGTCGCTTTATAGAAAATTGAAAAATCGTAGAGTGTACATTCAAAATACTAATTTTCTTTTAAATGCTTACTTTGCATAATTTATAGTTAACAACATATTGAATTAAATACACCTACATCTTTCTAAAAAGAATTTTTGTCAGTGTTTTCAATAGACCCTATTTGAATAATTATTCACTAATATTGTAATTAATAACCCGACAGATGGCACACGTTATTCATTAATTGTTGATTTTGCATAATTTTATTTATGAAAGAGCTTTTATCATTTTTCCATCTACTGGACCAGTATTTATTAATAGTACAATGTTATATATATATATATATATTGTATATTGTATACTATAAATGTACTATGTATATACTGTATAATAAGTCTAAAGGGTAAATTAGACACTCAGGTAGGAGTCAATTAACTGAATTAATGAAGTTAACTCGGTATTTTATATCTCTTTTCTGCGAAATTAACAGGAGAGTTCATTAACTTTTTTTAAAAGATACTGAAATTCGATTTTATATTTTAATCTTAGCATTAATTAAATGAAGTTATACATTACAAGGTTTATAAGAGAGGGAAGGCAGTTTCATCTTCTTAATTCACTTGTTAACTAGGTAATTTAAATATGTACATACATCTATATATATATATATACAGTATATATAAATTTATATATACTGTATACAGTATATATAGTACCTTCACGCATGCATACAATTTTGCCCTATAAAATAATAGGATGCAGAATTAGAGGATAGAAATGAAGATAATGATTGTTATATTTAAACTTAGAGAATACAAGATATATAATAATAATCTTTGTATATTTCTCTATGTTTAAACATCTAGAATTTTATCAATAGAGAATAGGAAAAACTCCAAGAATAGAATCAATTTATGCATGAGGTATATATATATAAATTTCTATCACCTATTTTTGACATGGAGAGGAAACGGAAAGTTTCTTTTGTAAACAGTATATAATTTTATAAAAGATTAACGTTCAATTATACTTATATCTATACATCATAAATTCAGCGTATGTGTTACAATTTTCAAAGAAACCTATATATTTCTATCATTCTTTATCCCCTCTTTCCCCTCTTACTTTCCCTTTCTCTTGTAATTCTTTCCTCTCTCTCTGTCTCTCGATTCTTTCTTTTCATCTTTTTGAAAAAAACCTTCATATTATATTATGTTTTCTATATTCTCTTGTTTTATCGAGCGGAAATCAGTTTTTTTTTTGGTGAATATGTTTATTAGCGAATTATGATAAATATATGCATTTTTTTTGTGTAGGCGGCATATGGAATCTTTTGAAGGTGTTTTTAAAGAAACTATTAAGTAAGATGACTACCTTAAATATAATTATGAAATCTCTGTACAAGGTCAATTTTTTAACAATTGAACCTTTAGAAGAAATCTTCTATTCATAAGAAACCAGATGGCGATAGTTGGAAAGAAATATTGACATTTACTAATTTTAAATTGCTGTCGGCCCGAAAAATTCAGTGACCCGAACCAAATTTTTTACACATTATACAGTATCTATGTTTATTAACTTAAAATGATCAAGGGGAGTGTATCTCCTTGAAAAAAAATTGAAAGAATCTCTATCAAAGAGAATAATTTCGTTAAAAATATCTTTATCTTCTGCGCATTAAAAATTGCTAGAATCAACAATATATTAAAATTTAATTTACAAATATACAAACAAACAGATAGACAAACAAATATGGAGTTTATGTTTTAAAGTGAGAAAGATAGAGAGAGAGAGAGAGAGAGAAGAAGAAGAAGAAAAAGAGCAAAGAGAAATTGGTATATATAAATATAGAGTCGCACAGTAAAACACAGGACGACATAAGGATAAAATAAGTCTAAAAGAAGTATCCCATTGTCGCATAGAAAAAATAGGCTAACCTTTAAGAAGCAAGATTAACGAATATATATTATCGTTTTTCTTTTTAATTTGGGTTAAGAGTAGCATCAGGGGAAGGGAAGAAATTAAGAATCGTTATTCTTAATTTTAGGTGAATAGTATAGTGCTTGTTTATGTTTGTTTTGTGAGTACTATATAAGTGCATATAAGAAAACAATATACACGATCATATATAAGAAAAAGTGTATATATGCATAACAAGTAACAATATATCATGGTTGGATGGTTTAATATTTCATTTTTGTCAATCTAGGTTCATTGAACTGGTCAGAACTGATAGAGTAATCAACGAAATTAAGTTCTTTTAATGATAGTCAATTTAAAAATTTATATATATATATTCTATCTATCTATCTATCTCTCTCTCTCTCTCTCTCTCTCTCACTCAGAATAACTCAAGATTGCACTTTTTTCAACTTTAACTTTACCACTTAATATCTTTAATAATTGATTTAACGTCATCTTAAAATGTTATAAAATTACACGTTCTGAATATATACAGTATATATAGTTTATTTAAAAAAAAAAGAAGCAGGAATATACTCTATAGTTTGTCGTCACAACACGAGTTTGTCTTTCTAAAAAGAAAAAAAAATGAGAAAAATAATAATAGCCAAACAAACATATGCAAATCTTGATTATTAATTATTAGCAGTGTTAGTTAAAGTTTTCTCTTTTTAAGTTTTTTTCCTCTGTATTGGGAAGAGATAAAAAAATATAAGAGATGGAGAAAATTAAGCCTATAAGAGCAGGATGTAAATTGATACTGTGATGGAAAATTAACTAAAGAAAAATCTTCATTTATTTGTATGTGTTGTATATTATATATAT